AGGGAGAGGAAGAAGCAGACTTCCTGCTGAGCAGGGAACCTGATGCAGGGCTTCATCCCAGGACCCTGGGATCATGATCCGAGCCAAAGGCAGACCCTTAGCTAACTGAGCCACCCAGACAGTCCCGAGAAAGAGACTCTTAAGCAGGCTCCATGCCCAGTGCAGAGCCTGATGTGGGGCTGACACAGGGCTCAATCTCATAACTCTGAGATTGTGACCTGAGCCAAAACTGAGTTGGACACTTAACCAGCCGAGCCACTCAAGCGCCCTATCATGTCTTTTTGTTTTTTGTTTTTTTAAAGATTTTATTTATTTATTCATGAGAGATAACAGAGAGAGAGAGAAAGGCAGAGACATAGGCAGAGGGAGAAGCAGGCTCTATGCAGGGAGCCTGATATGGGACTCGATCCAGGGACTCCAGGATCACGCTCTGGGCCGAAAGCAGGCACTAAACCACTGAGCCACCCAGGGATCCCCTATCATGTCTTTTTGAATCAGGGCGTAACTAGCTGCCTTGGACGTGGATTGTAAATTCATGCACTCAGAAAATAATCTGTGAAAATATATTGACACAAAAAGATACTCTAAATATATTGGGATGATTAATGGTGGAGGCATAGGAGTGAGATATGGGGGTTACACAAAAGAAGTAGATGAATAGATAAAATAAGGAAAATGACAGCACTTGCACTCTAGATTTGCCATGAGAGTTATTTATTTATTTTTTTAAATTTTTTAATTTATTTATGATAGTCACACACAGAGAGAGAGAGAGAGAGAGAGGCAGAGACATAGGCAGAGGGAGAAGCAGTCTCCATGCACCGGGAGCCCGACGTGGGACTCGATCCCGGGTCTCCAGGATCGCGCCCTGGGCCAAAGGCAGGCGCCAAACCGCTGCGCCACCCAGGGATCCCTGCCATGAGAGTTAAATGAGATCCTGCAAGTTAACCGTCTGGGACCACACCTGGTGGTCCCATGCCCAGGGCTGGGCATCTGTGTGCAGCCCCTTTGCTGAACCTCTCTTCCCCCATCCCAGGTCTTGTTTGCCACAGAGACCTTTGCCATGGGTGTAAATATGCCTGCCCGAACGGTGGTGTTTGACTCCATGCGGAAGCACGATGGTTCTACCTTCCGTGATCTGCTCCCTGGAGAGTATGTGCAGATGGCAGGCCGTGCAGGCCGGAGGGGCCTGGATCCCACAGGCACTGTCATCCTGCTCTGCAAGGGCCGTGTGCCTGAGATGGCAGACCTGCACCGCATGATGATGGTGAGCCGGCCAAGGTGGTGGCATGAGGCTGAGCTGGGATATCACCAGCTCTGGGGACCTGTTGGATTCTCTCTTCCAGCCCTCTTCCCCCTCCTTGCTTTCCACAGTTGATCCCTGAACAGTGTAGTGTTAGGGGCGCCTACCTCCTGCACAGTCATATATCCACATATAACTTTTGACCCATGAAAAACTTAATAGCCTATACTGTTGGCCAGAAGCCTTACAAATAACACATGATTAATACCTACTTGTGTGTTATATATGTATTCTCTGTTTTATTCTTGCAATAAAGCTGGGGATTAGAAGATGTTATAAAGGAAATTATGAGAGAAAATACAGGACTGTATGGCATTTATTGAAACAAAATCCATGTGTAAGTAGACCCACAAAGTTCAAACACATGGTGTTCAAGGGTCAGCCATTTTTTTCTTTTGCCTGGGAGAAACCAAGGTCAGAGTGAGCAAATCTGAGGTTTAGACTGAATCTTACCTCCTTTAGTCTTTTGTCACCGTGAAGACAGAGCTAGGTAGAGCCTTTGAGGGCCTATCAAGTTTTGTTCCTTTATTTTGCAGAGGTGGTGAGGAAGCAATTTGTCTAGGGTTTCATGGTTGCAGGGCAGGGACTGGATCTGCTGGGACTAGAGCTGGTCCCCAGAGGGCTGGCTGGGGGGCCACCCCCCCCTCCAGTCTCACTGACTTCTCTGACTTGACCCAGGGGAAGCCATCACAGTTGCAGTCCCAGTTCCGACTCACGTACACCATGATCCTGAACCTGCTGCGGGTGGACGCCCTCAGGGTGGAAGACATGATGAAGAGAAGCTTTTCCGAGTTTCCATCCCGCAAGGACAGCAAGGTGAGGAGGTTGGGATGACCAGTATACTGGGCAGGCTGTTGGGACAAGGGAAGCCAGGCTGGGAAGGGGCAGACACCTAGAGACTGGGGGTGCAGGCAGGGAGGGTGGCACACTAGGCCTGGGGACTGTCCTTTCACACTTCCCCCCACTTCCACCCAGGCCCACGAACAGGCTCTAGCTGAACTGACCAAGAGACTAGGGGCCTTGGAGGAACCTGACACAACTGGCCAACTGGTTGACCTGTCTGAGTATTATGGCTGGGGGGAGGAACTGACAGAGACCCGGAGCTTGATCCAGGTGAGTGGGTGTTGGAGGCATGATGGAGGGAGGAGAGAATGAGACACTCTGGGTGCTCCTGAACCTAGGCCCGGCCTAGTCCCTGTGATGTCCGTATGATGCCTCCTCCGCTCTCTACTCTTTAGCGACGCATCATGGAGTCTGTGAATGGGCTCAAGTCTCTCTCAGCGGGAAGGGTGGTGGTTGTGAAGAATCAGGAGTATCACAACACACTGGGTGTGATCCTGCAGGTGAGGGCAGTGGAAACTTGGACCCCAGAGGGAAGGAGGGAGAGACGAGGGAGTGGGGGGGAGACCCTATCTCCATCTTCCCCAGTTGGCTGTGGTGGTTATAGTCACAATGGTACACTCACATCCCCTGTTGCTCTCCTTTCCTGTTGCTACCACTTTGTGCCTACCTCCTTGTCCTTTCCTGAAGACTGTTTTGATGGGCTTGGTTACCAGTCCATCCTGGTGGGCTTTGCAGTTGCTCTGTGTCCCTGCCTGAGGGTGGGGACCTGCTCTCCATCTTTGATGTCTACTCCTCACATTGCTCTGGCCTGGCCTCCCCACCTGCCTTAGGTCTCCTCGAATTCTGCCAGCAGGGTATTTACAACCCTGGTCTTGTGTGATAAACCTGTGTCTGAGGACCCACAGGAGAGGGCGCCAGCCACCCCTGATGTGCCATACCCGGATGACCTTGTGGGATTCAAGCTGTTCCTGCCTGAAGGTGAGCATGGGGCAGATGTCCAAGTTCCTGACAGCAGTGTGGACAGGATGCCTGGGTCCAGGGTATTGTTTGACTCTGCTCTCCCCTTTGCACAGGGCCCTGTGACCACACAGTGGCCAAGCTCCAGCCCGGAGATGTAGCCACTATCACCACCAAGGTGCTCCGAGTGAATGGGGAGAAGATCTTGGAGGACTTCAGCAAGAGGCAGCAACCAAAATTCAAGTCAGAGATTCTGGAGTGATCCTTTTTTCTTGGGAGGGACTATGTAACGGGGTATGGGGAGGTGTGGTTGGGGTGTCAGGGTCTTCTGTGGAAGAAAAGACTCTGCCCTAGGTCTCAAGACTTTGCTCCTTCCTCAGGAAGGATCCTCCCATTGCAGCCGTGACCACTGCTGTCCAGGAACTGCTGCGTCTGGCTCAGGCCTACCCAGCAGGACCCCCGACCCTTGACCCTGTCAATGACCTGCAGCTCAAGGATGTGTCTGTGGTAGAGGGGGGGCTCCGGGCCCGGAAGTTGGAGGAGCTGATCTGGGGGGCTCAGTGTGTGCACAGCCCCCGTTTCTCTGCCCAGGTAGGTCCTGAATGCCAGCTCCCAAGTTGAGAAGTGGGGGGTGTGGTTCCCTTCTGGTCCCCTTTAGACCGGCCAGCCCCATCTCTGCCCTTGTCCTCGGTGCCACCTCACCTTGCGGCATGAGGAAGGCTAACGTGCTTCTGCTGGTGGCTGTCTGCAGTACGTGAAGCTGCGAGAGCGAATGCAGATACAGAAGGAGATGGAGCGCCTGCGCTTCCTGCTGTCAGATCAATCACTGCTGCTGCTCCCAGAGTATCACCAGCGAGTAGAGGTAGGAGGGGTACTGGGGGTCGGAGGGGGGTTGGCTAGCGAGGGAGAAGATAGCAGGCTCCCAGCACCCACCGTCTTTCTTCAGGTGCTCCGAACCCTGGGTTACGTAGATGAGGCGGGCACCGTGAAGCTGGCAGGGCGGGTGGCCTGCGCCATGAGCAGCCACGAGCTGCTCCTCACTGAGCTCATGTTTGACAATGCTCTGAGTGCCCTGCGGCCAGAGGAGATTGCAGCCCTACTCTCCGGCCTGGTCTGCCAGAGCCCTGGGGACCCTGGGGAGCAGCTCCCAAGTACCCTCAAACAGGTATGGGACACCCACCCCACTTCCTCTCCTTTGGCTATGGCATTCCTGAGCCCCACCCCCACAAGTTCTCCAAGTGACTCCCCTTTAGCCCTGTTAAGTGCCCCTAAGAGCTGGAATGCCTTCTTCCTTATCTGGGCTATCCTGCTCCTGGAGAAGGAAGGCAGGGCCTGAGCCTCTTATTCTGACATCTGCAGGGAGTGGAACGTGTCCGGGCTGTGGCCAAGCGGATTGGTGAGGTCCAGGTGGCCTGTGGCCTGAACCAGACAGTGGAGGAATTTGTCGGGGAGCTGAATTTTGGGCTGGTTGAGGTTGTGTACGAGTGGGCCCGTGGCATGGTGAGTGACTGGGGTTTTGTGGGTGGCTGGTTGGGGAGAGGCTGCCCAGGTCTATCTACCACATTCCTGCTTTCCCCACAGCCCTTTTCCGAGTTGGCGGGGCTGTCAGGGACCCCTGAGGGCCTGGTGGTCCGCTGTATCCAGCGCCTGGCTGAGATGTGTCGCTCGCTGAGGGGGGCAGCCCGCCTGGTAGGTGAGCCTGTGCTAGGTGCCAAGATGGAGACGGCAGCTACCCTGCTACGGAGGGACATCGTCTTTGCTGCCAGCCTGTACACTCAGTGAATGCTGTCTGTGTAAAAATGTAGTAATAAAATAGCAAACCCCTGCCTGTCCTTAAGGTGTTGGGCAGGGATGACTCAGGCAAAAGACACACCAAGAAAAAAAAAGACACAGCAAGAACCACCTAGAAATACGCTTTTATCTGCGCACATGGAGACAGGACCAGCCCCTTTGAAGTTTCAGTCCTTGGGGGAAGGTGTCTTGGGGGGTGATGGGAGGTCCTGGGTCATGGCTTCCACATACCACGTGGGCAGGAAGGCATAGGGTGCATCTTGATGTTTCGACACCGTGACTGGGCTGCCAGGCTCCCAGGAGAAGAGATGGACAAGCCTAAGGGGCACATGGGGTCACAGGTTGAGGGCTGGAGGAGAGCTCCGGAGACCCAGAAGGCAGGGGCAGAGCTGAATGCCTCACCTGGGGTCATCCTGCACAACTGTGTTCTGGGCAAAGCTAAGGAAGGCAGCACAGAAGTTCATGCACACGGAGGGATTCCAGCCATCACGGTCATTCTGGAGGGCCGAGGAGGAGGGAGGTGGAAGGCAGGTGGTGAGGGGGAAGACAGGAAAGGGGAAGGCGGACTGCAGCCCCGCATAGTGGACCTGTGGTCTGGGTGTGGGGGACGCTGGTGGGAGCTGCAGCACCACTGCCTTACCCTGACATACTCGAACATTTCCATAGTAGGAAAGGTCTTGAGGGAACAGACGAAACCTTCTGGGTTACGGAAGCCAGCAACGACATTTGGGACCCCCAGAAGGAATGACTGAGCCCACCATTTTAGGAGCTTATGTCTGTCAGGAAAGGCAAGGGGTCAGTAGGGCCCTCCCCCCACTCCCCAGCTTCTCCCTCTCCCCCCCCCCCCGCCCCCATCCCTTTTCCAGCTGTGTGCTCTAGGCTCTCCTCCTACCCACCCCCACCCTGAACCTGTAGAAGCTCCTCCAGTGGCCAGGCCTGTGCATCTCTTTCGCGGTCTTGAGCTCCACATAGCAGGTGGGGGCTGTGTGGATGGGGCCTGGGGGTCTGTGCAGTCTACCTCCCCTGAGAAGAGCAGAGGGTGGTTTCCCAGGCGGCTTCGTAGCACAGAGCAGAAGGCCACATTGGTGTTAACATCCCCAGACGGGTCTGGGGAGCTTTCAGGTTTGTCTGCACAAGGAGAGAAGCAGCAACAAGGGAGGGGACTTTCAATCTCTGGGGAAGGGGGAGAGGGCTCCAGAGCAGATGCAACTCTCACCTGCACACATGTACTGCTCAAACTTGTACCCCATGTACATGAGCTCCCGGAGGAGGGGTGGCCGGGCGAGCCTCTGGGCCCGAGCTGCTGGTGTCTCTACCTCACTCAGGTATAGTGTCCCCTGGAAGCGGGAAGCTGCCAGCTGCCAGCCTTCCTGCTGCTCATATGGTGTCGTCAGCAATTTTGTCAGGTGCCCCCGCCATGTCACTATGGCCCCTGCTAGCCAGCCTGGACCCCTGAGGGAGGAGTGAGAAGCATTAGCTCAGGTGATTTTCCCAAAGAGCCTAGGTTCCTTCTAAAGACCGAACTCACTCCAGCTTTGGCTCTCCTAATCTTAGAGAGTGGGTGCAGGTCTCCAGATCTACATGTGTGCTATGCTTTGCTCACCCCTCCAGCTGGCCTCGGTGATCCAGGAGCCAGCGAAGCAGGTGGTCCAGCCCTTCTCGGACCTCCTCATCCCTGGGCTGGTACCGATCAGGGTATCCATCTCTGAGGTCAAACTTGGGGCCTTGGCCATAGGTAGGGGGTGGGCTGTAGTAGCGCAAGGCGTGAGCATCTCCGTGGTACTGGCGCTGCGCATCCAGGGAGAAGCAGCCCAGCTCGGAAGGGCGCCGGTAGAAAGGAAAGGGGCCGGAGTAGAGGGCAGGGTCTGTGGGCAGCGAGAGTGCCGGGCGCGCGAGTTTGTTCCGAGGCTCGGCTACATCTGCCTCCGGCGCTCTTCTCTTGGTCTCTCTGCGATCCATGAGGTCCTGAGAACTGGGGGCTAGGAAGTTACCCTTTTACGGGGGAGGCCCGGGACTAAGCGAGCCTCCCGACGGCCAGGCTCTGGCCCTGAGCACAAACACGACAGCCGCACAGCCCACCTTTCCTCTTGCCCTGCGCGCCGCTCCCGACGCCTCAAACGCGGTGGGAGCTGAGGAAGGCTGTCCCGGCGCAGATCACCGACCCGGAGGCCTCCAAGCCCGGGGGCCCCCTCCACCGAGCGGAGACGTCACGCAGGTGCGTCCAGGAGTCGGGAGGCGCGCAAAGGTGGGGTCCGCGCTCCGAGTCGCATTCAGCGGCAGGCGGGGGCGCGCTTCCCCCGGGAGCTCGCGCTCCCCCCGCCGCCCGCGCGCTCCCGGCCCCCGCCCCCGCGCCGGAGGCAGTCCCGGCGGGTGGCAGCGCTGCTCCCGGCCGCGCCGAGAGGGCCCGCGGAAGCTCTTGGGGCGCGTCATCCTTACCGCGCCGGGCGGGCGGGCCTCCAGGCAGCCTCGCGTCAGTGCTCTGCGCCGGAAGACGCCGTCCCCGCGCCCCCTCCCTCGGCGCCGGCCTCTTCCCCCGCCTGAACCCCGGGACATGAGCCGCAAGAGGCAGGGTCTGGTCCCGGACCCCTTTGGGCTGAAGCGGCGGCGGGAGCGAGGGCAGGCCGAGGCGGATCCCCTGAGGGGCGAGTCGGGTAAGCGCGGTGGCCCGGGGCCGGGCTGGGAGCGCGCCCGCCCGCCGCCCCCCGCCCGCCGCCCGCCGCGGTGACCGGTCTCTCCGTCCAGGGTCGGCGCGCGCCGCGGTCGCCGAGCTGGTGCAGCTGTTCCCGCGAGGCCTGTTCGAGGACGCGCTGCCGCCCATCGCGCTGCGGAGCCAGGTGTACAGCCTGCTGCCCGACCGGACGGCGGCCGACCGGCAGCTGGTGAGCGGCGTCGGGGCGACGGCCTCGCCGGAGCGCCGCGTGCCCCTGACCCCAGTGGGTCGGCGGGTCTCCCTGGGGGGGCGCCGCGGACCTCGCGGAAAGACCCTCCGGCGGGAGAGCACGCCGCATCGTGGAGGTGGAGGAGCGACTCCTGTGACAACGGAGTCCTCGGGCGAGGTCGGAGCCTCACATCGCGGGGTGTTGTCGCCGCCCTAACCGTGAGGCGACGCTGGAGGGCAACGTTAGCCCGGAGAGGGGACGCCGTGCCGCGTGGGTCGGAGGAAGGGGGATAGGCAGGGCGATCGGTTAGGGAGACGTTGCGGCGGCCGACCGGCGAAGGCCTCAAGTAGGGTAGCGCGGTAGGAGGGCGAGGATGGTGACGGTGAGGAGCGTGGGGAGCAGTCCGGGATGATTCAGGTTTTCCAGATGGCAGGACTGGGTGGGGGAGTGAGTCGAGTAGGGACGCACTGAGTGGCTGGCGCAGGCGACACGTTTGATTTTGGAGGACTTGGAGGTGCTTGGGAAGCATCTAAAGGCAAGTGTGAGCAGACAGTTGGATGTGAGGGACTGGAGAGAATTCTGAGCCGGTGATACTAGAGTTGTAGCGGTTCAGTCAGTCTGTGGAGGTGGGCGAGATTGGGTAGGAAGAGGGAGTAGAGGAGCAGTTTTTGACCTTTTTACAGACTTTAAGAGATAAAGCTATGGCCCTTTCTCTCCAGAAAAATGCATATATGCCGCATACATACAAGGTATATGTGCATTTTTTTTTTTTAGGGGGAGGGTGGGTTGTTTTACAGATCCTCTGAGGTCCAGGGTTAAGGACCTCAAGTTTAGAGTGAAAGGGCCAAACCTACAAAGCTAAGAGATGCCCACATTTAAGGCAGTGTTTCTCAAAGTATGTCCTGAGTTCTACCTGTATCAGAATTACCTGGGCTTCTTGTTAGAAAATACAGGTTCCTGGGACTCACCTAAAGCTAATAGATGCAGATCTCTTGAAGTAGGACCTGGGAATCTACATTCTGAATTACTGTCCCAAGTGATTCTTAATGTTCCTTAAAATTTGGGACCCATTGTTGTAAAGGGAAAGCAGAGGAAGAGGAGTCTCGTCTCTGGAAGAGGCTGGGAAGGAATTGTCAGAGTTAGGAGGAACCCAGGAAGAGGCCTGTTGAGAAAGCAAATAGATTTTCAAGGAGGTGGAATAGTTGGCAGTGTTAGAACCTGTGATTTAAGGCCAGTAAATTAAGTAAGGTAATACCCCAAATCAGTCCATTGGATTTAGTATGTGGAAGTTTAATGGTAACCTGTCAGGACAAAAACAGGGAAGAAAAGGAAGTTGGAGACTAGCTCCACTCTCGGGAGGAAGCAAGTTAGATAGAACCACTTCTTTTTTTTTTTAGATTTTATTTGTTTATTTATGAGAAACACACGGCGAGAGAAGCAGAGACATAGGCAGAGGGAGAAGCAGGCTCCATGCAGGGAGCCCCACGTGGGACTCGATCTTGGGACTCCAGGATCACACCTTGGGCCGAAGGCAGGCGCCAAACCGCTGAGCCACCCAGGGATCCCCCATAGAACCACTCCTTACAGAGTTATTTGTTGTTTGTAATTTACTGATGGTAGCCTAATTTTTAAAAAGCTTTAAAAATTGCGCAAAGGAAAATATAAACACACGATTTAAAGAATGTTCATAAGCAGATACCCATTTAACTACCACCTAAGGCAGACTATAGCCACATACATCACTCTCTGATGGAAATGAGATGTGTCCCTTGGTGATAACTATGGTCCTGACCTGTATAATAATTGTTCCCTTGGTTTTCTTTATACCACCCATGTGTTTACCCGTAAACAACATAGCCCAGTTTTATCCATTTTTGACCTCGATGTAAATAAAGTAATATGTATGGATGTATGTACTGTATTTATACCGTGTTTCATTAGGTGGATACTTTTGAAATTCTTCTCAGTTTCAGGTAGTGATAGTGCATTTGCTTTCATATATTTCTATTTTGTGAATATATCCCATTTTGTCAGTTCTAGTGAAAAATTTCCTATGTTTCTAGGAAATTGTTAGTCATTTAAATTTTCTAATTTAGATAAAGTCTGTAGTCTTGTTTTACTGTCTATTGGATGTGTAGTGATGACCCCTTTTACATTCTTTAGATTATCTGTGCTTTTTTCTAGTCCCACCCCACCTCCCATTTTCTTGGTCAGTCTCACCAGGGGCTTATCAATTTTAATAGTCTTTCAGTCAATTAATGCTTAGTTTTGTAGTTCTCTCATGTTTTCTATTTTATTAACGCTTTCTCTCTACTGTTGGGTTTATTTTACTTTTTTTCCCATTTATTTCATCCTCTTCCTTTCTGATAATAGGCACGTCAGGTTGTCATTTATCATAAGCACATGCAGATATATATAGTTTTGGCACGTGTTTTAATTATGATTCAGTTTAAAATATGTTGTAACATTTTTGTGAGTTTTTTCTTTGACCAAGGGTTGATTAGAAATGTGACTTAATTTTATACAATTTCATATTACCTAGTTGTTACTGATCTCTGACACAAATGATATTGTGGTCAGAGAACATACACACTATGATTTCAGTCATTGGAAGTTTATTGAGACTATGTGGTCAGTTTTGCTAGTCTATGTATATTTGAAGAGAATATATATTTTTCAATTGTTAATGTAAGTTATTTCCTCACTGAGTCTGCTCTGTTCTGTGAATTTATAGTGGATTGATATACTTTTGAGATTTTGGACTTGCTATTATTTCTTCAGATACTTTCCCTCACCCAAAATCTCGACCGCTAATTCCTTGAAGGCAGGGCCTATGTGTTAATCACTACTTTATCTTAGTGTCTGGCGTATGATTGGTCTTATGAAATATATGTTGATTGATAGGGAACTGATGAGATGGGTGGATAGAAAGGTGGGTAACTAATTTGAAAAGACTACTTAGTAAACCACCTGATTCTCTCCCCACAGTTTTTCCTTTGCTTAGAGAAAAACTCCCCAATATTGGCAATAAAATCTCCCTGCCCAGAAGTTCCCAGAGATAGCAGAGTGGCTTACCCTGATGCCCTTCTTTTTACTGCCATCTCTCTGGAAACAGAAGGAGCTTCAAGAGCAGGGGGAGATCAGAATCGTCCAGCTAGGCTTTGACTTGGACGCCCATGGGATCATCTTCACTGAGGACTACAGGACCAGAGTGCGTGTAACTGTGTGTGTGTGTGGGGGGGGGGGAGGCAGGCTGGGAAGTTGAAGAGTGGAAGGAAAAAGAAACATACTCTCTTACTCTGTCTCACAGAGAGGACATAGGACTCTGGTGAGCAGTAATATGAACGAGAGGGAAATGAGGGAAAGTCTGAGAGGTAGAAGGACATGAGTGAAAGGGAAAACCAGAAGAGAAATGTCCTGAAGGGGTCAGTGGAGGGTGAGGGTGGGGCCAGACTGCATCTGTCATCTCTGGTTCCAGGTCCTCAGGGCCTGTGATGGCCGACCATATGCTGGGGCAGTGCAGAAGTTTCTGGCTTTGGTACTTCCAGCCTGTGGGGACCTTAGCTTCCAGCAGGACCAAATGACAGAGACCTTCGGCTTCAGGGACCCAGAGATCACGTGAGACTTGGGGGACCAATAGAACTTCCCTGTTTCCTCCCAGTCCCATCCAGCCTTTTCCTTCTTCCAGTGCACCTACCAAAAAGATAGACTCTTCTTTTTAGTAAAATGACCTAAATTTGTACTCTTTCACCAAGAGAGGAGGCCTGTCTTTACCTGAGGCCTTAGAAAGAATACTGGTCTAAAATCCAGGAGCTCTGGATGGCTAATCCAATGACTAGTTGCCCACCAGGTACCATAAGTGCCTGTTGTGAACCCTGCTGAGACTAAGAGAATAGAGAGGGGTAGGAGCTTGGGATGGCCCTAAAGCCTTCGCATTAAAAAGCGGAAACCAGGGTGAAGTGAGGATTCCATTTCATGGGGCCTTATCTGGCTCAGGTTCCCTATGTTGTAACCCAAGGTATATGTGAAAGCATTTTAGATATTTTTAGTAAAACATGGGAGGATCCATGGTGAGGCCTGGGGAAGGCAAGTGGCAGGAGCACAGAAGAAAGGCCCTTGTTTATCCCCTGGGGTTGGGCCAAGAGTATGTGAGGGCATGTGGTCAAGGAGGAGGAAGAGAGGAGAAGCAGCTTTAGTTGAACAGGTAATAGTAAGAGGAAAAGAAAGTGGGGGTGGGAGGCAGTCTAGGGAGAGGAATGGAAGCAAGGGCCTGGGGTGTTAAACAGCAAGGTGAGCAGAGAACCACTCCGGGTGGGCTACTGTTACCTAGTCCCCATGCATGGTTGTGCAGTTTTGGGGAGACAGTGTCCAAGTGTCAGTGGGCCTCCTCTCCTGGCTTCTCGCCCTCCTTAGGCATCTGGTGAATGCTGGAGTCCTCACCGTCCGAGATGCTGGGAGTTGGTGGCTAGCCGTGCCTGGGGCTGGGAGATTCATCAAATATTTTGTTAAAGGTATTCTATCTGCAGCTCAAGTCCTCAGCCCTTTAAGAACACCTTTGGGTAGCTCCTTGGGGCCCAAGCCTTATGCCTTTCCCCTCTCCTGTGCCACTTCTCCAGGGCGCCAGGCTGTCCTCAGCATGGTCCGGAAGGCCAAGTACCGAGAGCTACTCCTATCAGAGCTTTTGGGCCGGCGGGCACCTGCCTCGGTGCGACTTGGCCTCACTTACCACGTGCACGACCTCATTGGGGCCCAGCTAGTGGACTGGTGAGTCTCGCCCTCAGCCTCTAGCAGATGATAAGGCAGTGAACCAAGGTTGGACTCCCTCCTGGGACTATCCCAGGCCAACCTCTGAGTTTTACCCAGACTTTTGGCCTAGGTATCTGGCTCCAGCCTTGTCTTTTCTTTTGCTTGCACAGTGTCTCCACCACTTCTGGAACTCTCCTCCGCCTGCCAGAGACATGAGGATTCTGCTCGTCATTGCATACCTCTGCTGAGTGGGTTGAGAGGGGTCCAGGAGTATGTCCAGTGGTGGATGAGATAGGGTCACCTTGGGAAGACGCAGGAGCCCGGATGAGTGTTGGGCTTGCATCTGTATAAAGGGTCAGACGTGATTGCTGCTGTTTACCTGGGCTCTGACCCAGTGGTGGGGTTTGGGCAATGCTTCTCTGCCCTTCTGTGGGACTGGAGCCAGAAACCGTGCCAAGGCCATGGCTCTTGCCTTTCACACAGCAAAGTACAGCTGTCGCTCTTGGGATAGGAAGACGGGATTTCCGGGAAGGCTGGTGAGAGAGGGCAGAGTTCTTTCTTAAATGTTAAGATCAAGCTGCCAAATAAAGTACAGACCATGTGCAATTTCTTGGATGTCTTTTGTTGGGGGTAATATGTATCTGGACACCTGGTTTGGGGGCAGAGTTAAAGCCAACCTTGAGCCTGAGCTTTGCCTCATTGTTCCGAGAGAGAAAAGGACACTGGGGTCCATTCTCCCTGCAGGGTAGTAAGGGTATGCCCTGTGTCCTCAGCCGTGGAATTTGTGTTGGGGCCTACACAGAGCGAAGACCTGGTGTCGTTCAGGTTTTGTGGGGATTGTAGTTAGAGACAAGTGTCTGGTATTTTGTTTTGTTAGGATTTTTACCAAGGAAGCCATGTGTCTCCAACCATGTACTGAGCCACACTGGACTCCTACGCCCATGCGCATGTACACCCAGGTACACCCAATATAGCGGCTGCCCAGGGCACTGGGATGAGAGGGTTAACGTGGAAGGACAGGACTCGGAGCCGTGATTTCCTCAGATTCCTTCAGAGACCCAGGTGTTGGGGGTTGTCCCTCCTCCCCCTGACCCTGCTAAACACCGGGCTTGGGGCCAGTTGCATTTCTTGCCTGTCACATGGTTTCCCAGCTTAGCAGGGCCAGGGGAGGAGCAAGGTCCAGAGTCAAATCTGCTCAGAGCCCGGGCTTGACCAGAGAGGAGCAGGCAGACAGACTGGTCTGATCCCTCTTGGGTCCTCCAGCCATGAGGCTCCTCTGGGGACTGGCCTGGATGGCCAGTTTCTTTGCCCTATCCCTGCATAAGCCCAGGTCGGGAAGGAAGGACACCGAAGTGCTTGAGGAGGACAGGGCTGGTGGTGGGAGAGCAGGCGTAGGGGACCTAACTGAGGACGGGGGGACGGAGGGGCCTGGGGGATGCTGAACACCAACCTTTCCTGCTCTCCCTAGGTTGCTCCTGTTTTCGCCTTCTGTGGTTCACCTGGGGGTCCCCCTGTCAGTGGGGGTGCAGCTCCAGGATGTTCCCCTGGGACAGGTGGTGGCAGGATCAGTGTTCCTGAGAAACCCATCCAACCTGAATGCCCTCTGCTCCACAAAGGCTGACTTTACCCTCAGCTCAGAAAAAGACTTCGTGCTCCTTAGCCTCCAGGTAACTAGCCTCCACTCCCCTCTATGGCTTCTTAGCAACTCTCATCCTGCTCCCCTCTGGTCAGCGTTTTGTGCTCTCGCTAGGCTCCCCCTGCCACACCTTGCATGGCTGCCTTTCCTGTTTCTGTCTCCATCTCTAGCTTTTTCCGTCTGCCCTGTCTCTGACCTGCTTCCTCTCCCTGTCATGAAAGATCTCCCCAGAAGAAGCAGAGAACTGTGGCCTCTACCGCCTCCTCAGTGGCCCCGAGGTCCAGCTGGTGGCCCAGTCAGCATGGCTGAAGAACTTTCTGTCCAGAAAGATAGATGTTCAGGGCGTCAACCTTCTTTTCTCCTCTCGCCGAGGGCACCTCTTTCTGCAGACTGACCAGCCTGTTTATAACCCTGGCCAGCGGGGTGAGTCAAGCCCTGGGCCTCTGCCTCTGGCTCTCCCAGCCTGCCCAGGGCATGTTTGGCACCTGTAAGTAAGAGCCTGAATGTGCTACATAGGGAGGCTGCTTGGCAAATATTTGTTGTCCTCCTTTCACTGGCTGGGAGCAGTGAGGGCTGAGGCCCACCCTTTGCCAATGGATTCCTGCTCACCTCCTGCCCTTCTCTCCCAGTTCGATATCGGATCTTTGCTCTGGATCAAAAGATGCGCCCATCCGCTGACACCCTGACGGTCACAGTAGAGGTGAGTCCCTGACTTCTGACCTTCTTGACCAGGAGGGCTGCTGATCTGCCCTCCCACCCGTGACCACTTCTACTCCCACCGCAGAACTCCCATGGCCTCCGTGTGCGGAAGAGGGAAGTGCGCGTTTCCTCCATCTTCCAGGATGACTTCATGATTCCCGATATCTCAGAGTGAGTACCCCCCTGGCCTGGCGACCGCCCCGCCATCCCCATCTTCATTGGCTCTCTGCCTCCAGCGCTCTGTCAGAGCTCAAACCTCCTCTCACAGTTCTGGGCTCCCCTCCAAGTCAGCCCTCTTCCCGGGAGCCAGGCCTCTGGCCTCCTGCACAAGTGGGCTGAGTCCCTCCCCCATCTGTAGGCCAGGGACATGGAGGATCTCAGCCCGGTTCTCAGATAGCCGAGACTCGAACAGCAGCACCCAGTTTGAGGTGAAGAAATATGGTGAGAGCTGGAGACGCGAGAGACGAGCCTCTCCTTTCCTCAAGGAGAAACGGAGAGAAGGGGAGGTCTGGGGACAGGGCAGGGCAGGGAGGTGTGGGTGCCATAGCCCTGAAGGGAGGGAAGTTTTCAGAGGGTCCTTTCACTGGAGTCTGACCTGCCACCCCTTCACCCTGAGTCAGTCCTTCCCAACTTCGAGGTGAAGATTGCTCCTGGAAAGCCCTACATCCTGGCAGTGCCTGGCTTTCTTGATGAGATCCAATTAGACATCCAGGCCAGGTAACTCTCCCATCTCCTGCGTGGGGCACGCAGGGTTCCCCATCAAGTCTGAAGGAGCTATGAAGCCCTGGTTCCTCTCGCCCTAGTGCCACCCCCATCCCCACCCTGAGACATGGGTGTTATTTCCTAAACTCACCCTCTTCCCACTCTCTCTGCGGCGGCAGGTACATCTATGGGAAGCCCGTGCAAGGGGTAGCATATGTGCGCTTTGGGCTCCTGAATGAGAATGGTGATAAGACTTTCCTTCGGGGGCTGGAGAGTCAGACTAAGGTAGGAAGGAGGGTGTGGGGAGCGTGGGAGGGTGGAGGTGAGGGGAGGAGAGGGAAGGGAAGGGGGTCTGGGGAGGGTGGGGCAGGAGGGTCCTGCCCTCCGCGGGGAAGGGCAGGAGGGAGACAGATCTCACCCTAGGCCCTGTTTTCTTCTATGCCCCAGCTGGTGGATGGCCAGTGCCACATTTCCCTCTCAAAGGCTGAGGTTCAAGGTGCCCTGGAGAAGCTTAACGTTAATGCTGCTGACCTCCCTGGGCTGCACCTCTATGTTGCAGCTGCCATCATTGAGTCTCCAGGTGAGGGGCTTCCCTTATTGTAACCCCTGCCCCCAACCCCTGACCTTCGAGCTGACCCTCTGTTCTCCAGCATCGACATGATTCCCTGCTCTTCTTACCCTTGTGTCTTGTGTCTTGTGCCTTGTGCCCAAAGCCAGAAAAGACCCAGGAGACTGTATCTCCCCAACTGTGTTTCTGGGTGGTTTCAGGAGAAGGTACTCCTGCTTCCATCTCAGTTTTCTTTTCCCCTTCACCCCACCCCCACCCCCACCCCCACCCCCGTCCATCTGGCAGACACATTACACACCATCTGTATGCTGGGTCCTGTGTAGGCCTCAGCAAACAGAGATGAATACAGGACGGACCATGCGCTGAGCAGCTCACTGTCTTGTGAGCAAGAAATGCTTGAGCTGCATTCCCCCTCACTCTCCTGCTCATCCTTCTGGGGCTCTCTGTCCTCCACCTCTCTCTGCCCCATCTCTTGCAGGAGGAGAGATGGAGGAAGCAGAGCTCACATCTTGGCGTTTTGTGTCATCTCCCTTCTCCTTGGATCTTAGCAACACCAAGCGACACTTTGTGCCTGGGGCCCCCTTTCTGCTGCAGGTTTCTTCTGGAGGAGAGGAAGGGAGGGTGGGGTGTTGTCAAAAGGGCACATGGCCTCACTGAGCAGTCTCTTTTATCTGGCCCTCCTCCCTGCCCCCAGGCCCTGGTCCAAGACGTATCTGGTTCCCCAGCCTCTGGTATTCCTGTCAAAGTTTCAGCCACGTTGTCTTCGGCTAGATCTGCTCCTAGAATCCACGAGCTTGAACAAAACACAGATGGGAGCGGCCAAGTCACCATTCCCATCATTGTCTCTCAGTCCACTTCAGAAGTGCAGCTCTTGGTAGGACATCCGCTTGCGGGACAGGGTAGGAGAAGGAAAGAAAGGCTGGCTGGCTTCTGGAAAGCCAGGGGCTACCCTGGCTACCCCCCTGTCCTGGGCTGGGGGAAGAAGCTGGGTCCTGGGGTCTTTGCCACTGACCCTAGCCCTGCCCTGTCCCTCTTTCCAGGTGTCTGCAGGCTCCCCTCACCCTGCTGTAGCCAGGCTCACTGTGAGAGCCCCGCCCTCAGGAAGTTCTAGGTTTCTGTCCATTGAGCGGCCAGATCCTCGACCCCCTCGTGTCGAGGACACTCTCAACCTGAACCTGCGAGCTGTGGGTGTCAGCGGGGACAGCTTCTCTCATTACTACTACATGGTGCGCCTTGACCGGTTGTCAAGCAGGGCAGGATGCAGGGATTGCCTCAGGCGGGAAGGAGCCCTGGGCATGGAGGGAATGGTTTTGGGATTGGGGATGTGCAGTAAAGAGGAAACCATCCTTGCCCCAGATCCTGTCCCGGGGCCGGATTGTGTCTATGAATCGGGAGCCCAGGAGGGACCTGACCTCGGTCTCCGTGTTTGTGGACCATCAGTTGGCACCCTCCTTCTACTTTGTGGCCTTCTACTATCATGGGGGCATTCCAGTGGCCAACTCCCTGCGGGTAGACATCCAGGCAGGGGCCTGTGAGGGCAAGGTAACTGACATCGGGAGGGGCGGTGTGTTAGGGGATCGAGAGAGAAAGGAGAGATTGCGAGCGGGTACACTGAGGAGGCGTGGGGCTGAAAGAAGCTCTCCCCACTCTGACTGCCACCTCCTACCTCTGCCAGCTGGAGCTGAATGTGGGCAGCAACAAGGACTATCATCCTGGGGAGACCGTAAAGCTCCACCTGCAAACAGATTCTCCAGCTCTGGTGGCACTAGGAGCCATGGACATGGCTCTGTATGCTGTGGGTGGGAAGTCCCACAAACCCCTCAACATGGGCAAGGTTTGTCAAGACCTCAGTTTTCCCCGGCCCCTCTCCCCTTTTTCGCTCATTGTCCTGCTGTCCTGAGCCCTGGACCCAACCCCGAGATCTCACGCAGGCTCCCTCGAGGCCTCCCTCAGATCTAGACTCCTGTGGTCTCTATTTCCCCATTCTCCGTATGTCTTTCAGGATTGCCCAAACCCTGCCTTCTCACCTGGAGCTGAGTGGCCGATCTGGCCCCTCAACTTGTCTGCAACATGGTGGCCTTTTCTTGCCAGGTCTTCCAAGTTATGAACAGCTATGACCTTGGCTGTGGTCCTGGAGGTGGAGACAATGCTCTTCAGGTGTTTGAGGCAGCTGGTCTGGCCTTTTCTGATGGAGACCTGTTGACCTCAGCCAGAAAGAGTGAGAACAGAGGAGGAAGGGGGGTTGGGTGGTGGGAAGATCAGGAAGGAGGAGGGGTCTGGGGGCATAAGATGGGAGGAGGGTCAGTGTATAGGAAGGGAGCAAGGAGGGGAAGTGGGAGGCTATGCACCCTCTGCTTGACTGCGTCCTGCTTTCCACCAGGTCTGAGCTGTCCCAAAGAAGGAAAGCTCTCCCGGAATAAGAGAAACGTGAACTTCCAAAAGGCGATTCATGAGAAGTGTGAGTTGTGGGTGCCTGTGTAGCTCTCCACTAGGCCCAAGGGTTGGGGTGACGGGTCTGCCTCTTGGCAGCTCCGCTCCTGGGTGGGCCTTGTAAATGGTATTTGGGGCCAGAAACCCAAGTTCTGGGGTTGGGGATGGATGGAGGCTCTCTCCACTGGCCTCACCCAAGTTGCTGGTCTCTCAGGATGAGCCGTCGTGTATCTAGACGTCAGGGTAGGAAATGAGATGTGTCTCCATTTGGTTCCCCTGTGCTTACCCTCGCCTGGCCCTGCAGTGGGCCAGTATGCTTCCCCAGTAGCCAGGCGCTGCTGCCAGGATGGGCTGACGAGGCTGCCCATGGTACGCTCCTGCGAGCAGCGGGTGGCTCGGGTGCGGCACCCGGCCTGCCAGGGGCCCTTCCTGTCCTGCTGCCAGTTTGCTGAGGATCTGCGCAAGAAGTCCCGCTCCAGAGGCCAGGTGGGCCTTGCACGAGGTGAGGCCCTGGGTGGCGCTGGGGGGCAGGCGGGCAGCCCTCTGGAAGGGCAGAATGGCCCCCCTCCTCATTGCCCTTCACTGTGGTCCCCTAGCTCTGGAGGTCCTGCAGGAGGAGGACCTGATCGATGAAGATGACATTCCCGTGCGCAGCTTCTTCCCAGAGAACTGGCTCTGGACACTGGAAAAAGTGGACCGCGTCCGCCAGTGAGGGGGTGTGGTGGGCTTGGCCTTATCTCTGGGCTCTTGTCTGGGGCCAGCCCAGGGTGTGACAGGGCTTCTCGCCTTTCCCTCCGCAGATTGTCACCGATGCTCCCTGACTCTCTGACCACGTGGGAGATCCATGGTGTGAGCTTGTCTGAAAGCACAGGTGACATGGCCCTGCCTAGACCTCAGTGCTCCCCCGTCTCTCTCCCCTGGACCCAAGCTCCCCATGTAGCCCTCTGCTCTTAGCATAGGGCTGGGGGCAAACTCCTGGGGATGTCTGTGTCGGTGTGTGCTGGGGCCCAGAGACTAGGAAGTGGCAGTGGGGGACGGGGAGTAGGGCAGAACTGGGTCACCTCTGGGACCCAGTGGCCTCTGGTCTCTGCACCCCCTGCCTCACCACCCCCCATCTGCCAGGCTTGTGTGTGGCTACACCAGTCCAGATCCAAGTGTTCCGTGAGTTTCACTTGCACCTCCGCCTGCCCGTCTCCATCCGCCGCTTTGAGCAGCTTGAGCTGCGGCCTGTCCTCTACAACTACCTGAAAGACAATCTGACCGTGAGGCCCTGGAGAAGCCTGAGCTTCCAGGGAGTGGGTGGGAGCCAGCGTGGGTGAAGTGTGGGGAGCCCAGGTGGGTGGGGGCTCTGGCCATCCCCGTCTTCCTGCACCCAGGTGAGCGTCCACGTGTCCCCAGTGGAGGGGCTGTGCCTGGCTGGAGGCGGAGGGCTGGCCCAGAGTGTCCTGGTGCCCGCAGGCTCTGCCCGGCCTGTCAGCTTCTCTGTGGTGCCCACGGCGGCGACAGCTGTATCCCTGAAGGTGGTGGCTCGAGGGTCCTGGGATTTCCCCGTGGGGGATGCAGTGTCTAAGGTTCTACAAATTCAGGTGAATGGAGCAGTCCTGAGTCCAGGTCCCTAGGCTCCCAGATATACATTTTCCCCTTGCCCCTCAAACCCTCTATACCCTCTCTGCCGGCCAGGCCAGAGGCCCCTGAATACCTTGGTCTGATTGTCTTCTACAATTCTGATCCCACTCTGTCCCTGAGATTCAGACTCCCAAGTCCCAGGGGGTGTGCAGTGGGAGGGGCAGGTCATAGTGCTGTGTGACCTCTCATAGCTGCATTTCCCCTGAGACAGAAAGAAGGGGCCATCCACACGGAGGAGATTGTCTATGAACTCAATCCCCTGGGTGAGTGGCCCCCTGCCTCTGGCCACCAGTGTCCTGATTGGGAGATGTGGGCCGCCAAACAGATTGCCAACTTCCCGCATTCCCCCAGACCACCGAGCCCGGACCTTGGAGATTCCCGGCAGCTCTGACCCCAATATCATCCCAGATGGAGATTTCAGCAGCTTTGTCAGGGTTACAGGTGGGAGTGCCCTCCAGTCTGTCCCCAGGGCAGCCTCAGATTCATGTGAAGCCCACAGACCCCTGTTAGATCCCGTGGGTCCCCAGACCTGCTTGCTGACCCTTGCCCTTCCATTTCCCCTCTAGCCTCACATCCCTTGGACACTTTGGGCTCTAAGGGGGTCTTGTCGCCGGGAGGCCTGGCCTCCCTCCTGAGGCTTCCCCAGGGCTGTGGAGAACAAACCATGATCTACTTGGCTCCTACATTGGCTGCTTCCCGCTACCTGGACAAGACGGAGCAGTGGAGCACACTGCCTCCCGAGACAAAGGACCATGCTGTGGATCTGATCCAGAAAGGTGCCAGGCACAGGGCGAGTAGGCATGGGGCTGGGAGGCGACAGTTAGAGGCAGGGGGTGGCCCAGCTTGGTGGAGGAAACAGGAGGGGGCGCCTGCTGGGAATGGGGAGCGTGACCCTGGGCACCGGTGGTGGGGAGTGAGTGTCACCTCAGCAGCTGCCTCTTGTCCTCAAGGTTACATGCGGATCCAGCAGTTTCGTAAAACGAATGGTTCCTACGGGGCTTGGTTACATCGAGATAGCAGTACCTGGTGAGGTTGGGAGTGTTTCCAGGTCTCTGAGAGGGGCTGGGGGTAGGGTGGGGTGCAGAGCCAGGTACAGTGGGAGGGTGGGTAACCGGTGCCTGGGTGAGCAGGGATGTGTCCCCTGTGGGGACCAGGCACTGTCCCCAGCCATCTTGCTCTCCCCGCCAGGCTGACGGCCTTTGTGCTGAAGGTACTGAGTCTGGCTCAGGAGCAGGTGGGCGGCTCACCTGAAAAGCTGCAGGAGACAGCCAAGTGGCTGCTGTCCCAGCAGCAGGAGGACGGTTCATTCCAGGACCCTTGCCCGGTCTTACACAGGGGCATGCAGGTTCGGGGCTGAGGCCGGTCAGAGGATCCCAGGTGGGAGGGCCCTTCCTGTTCCCACCCGCCTGCCCCCTGCCCCACTCTTGGCTGACATCTTTTCTGCCCCCTTCATCTAGGGGGGCCTGGTGGGAGACGATGAGACTGTGGCACTCACAGCCTTTGTAGTCATCGCCCTTCAGCACGGGCTGGCCATCTTCCAGGATGACGCTGCAGAGCAGTTGAAACAGAAAGTGGTAAGTGTACCCGGGTGTCTGCCCTTTCCTGATCCCCAGCTACACCCCTACCCCCTACTCCTGCTTTCTCCCCAGGAAGCTGGGTGTCCAGCTCCCTGACCTTCCTCCCCACTTTGTCCTAGGAAACCTCCATCTTAAGAGCAAACTTGTTCTTGGGGGAGAAGGCAAGTGTTGGGACCCTGGGTGCTCATGCAGCTGCCATCACGGCCTATGCCCTGACTCTCAGCAAGGCTCCTGAGGACCTGCAGGAGGTTGCCCACCGCAACCTCCTGGCCATGGCCCAGAAGGCTGGGGGTGAGAGCCACGGGGATCCTGGCAATGAGCCTGGGCCATGGGGGACCCCAGGACCCCTGAGTGTGCCCAAAGGGAGAAATTGAATGAAGATCTTAAGGAGGAATGGAAACATGAGCAGAGATAATTGGGGGAGCATCAGAGGGCCAGGCAACTAGGGCCCGCCCCCCCATTCACCCATGGGTCTCTGCACTTCCAGATAACCTGTACTGGGGCTCAGTCCCTGGTTCTCAGGGCAACGCCATCCCACCTACCCTGGTTCCTCAAGGCCCAACAGACCCTGTGCCCCAGGCCCCGGCTGTGTGGATTGAAACCACTGCCTACGCCCTGCTTGACCTGCTGCTTCGGGAGGGCAAGTCAGAGATGGCTGACCACGCTGCAGCCTGGCTTACCCACCAGGGCAGTTTCCAAGGCGGGTTCCGTAGCACTCAGGTAGGAGCTGCCCAGGGGCTCCGGGGGTGGGTGGTCCTGAGACAGAGTGCCTGAGCGCTGGCTCACCTCCCCAGGACACGGTGATAGCTTTGGATGCTCTGTCTGCGTACTGGATTGTTTCCCACACCACCAAAGAGAGGGGGCTCAATGTGACCCTTAGCTCCATAGGGCGCAGTGGGTTCAAGTCCCATGAGCTGCAGCTGAACAACCACCAAGTGCAGGGGCTGGAGGAGGAGCTGCAGGTGAGCCACTCCCTCACCTGGCTTGCCATGCCCCCGCCAACCCTACTGTGGCCAGGCCAGAAGTTGTCACCCTCCCATCCCCAGCCCTGTGGAATCCCCACGGGAGCTTGTCCTGATATCCTTGTGGGAAGATACTTGCTGAATGACCTAGAGAAAGTCACCTAACCTCTGAGCTTCATTTATCTCATCTCAAAAGTAATATATGCAGAGTCTACCCAACAGGGTTTTTAGGAGGCTAAAGTGAGGTAGTGGACGTGGAGGAGTAAACCTCATGAGTTTGGGGTCACAGAAGAGGAGAGGGTGTGTTCGGGGAGGAGGTGTCCTGTGTGCCTTCCTGACATCTCTTTGCCTTCTCTGTTCCTGCAAGTTTTCCTTGGGCAGCAAGATTAACGTGAAAGTGGGAGGCAACAGCAAAGGGATCCTGAAGGTGAGAGCCAGCAGCCGTGAACACCTGGGTCCTGGCCAGGGGTGGCCATGGTCTTGAGAGGGAGGCCTGAGGGCAGAGGTCATGGTCAAGGAAGGAGGGAGCCCCCCTGGGGTGCGCAGCCCCCATCAAGGCTGATGGTGTACACACCCAGGGCTCTCCCCTGAGCCACAGGCCCCGCGTGTCTCCTGGCACCTCCACCACAGTGCCACTCCAACCCCTTCTTCCTCCTGTGTGCCCTCACCTGGCTGATGGGGCCCCTTCCCTACGGGATCCCAGGCACCGCTCTAGAGGCCACCTTAGTGTCCCTACCCCAGCCCTTCCTTATGACCCTGGCATCTCCTCCTCTACTGCCCTGCTGCCCAGGGCCCTTGTCACTTGTTTCCTGGACTCTGCTAGATGGTTTTGGAACTTCTCCCTACCCCCGTATCTCTCCCCTCTTACCATTGTGCACATGGCAGGGGTATCAACCTTCTGAAAACACTAGTCAGACTAGCCCTGGAGAAAAGCCAGACTCCTCCACCTGCACGATCAAGCGTCTGCCCACTTCCCTGACCAGACAGATCCGCTCATCTACACAGATCTCCTTGCCTTGAATGTCCTTCCCTCCTTCTTCCCGAGTGACAGACTTGTTCTTCTCCTGGAAGCTTGGGCCAGAAGCCTTCTTGGAGCTTTCCATCCCAGCCTCTTCTATGCCCCCTGGAGAGCACTTGCCCCTGAGGGCAGGCCCCTGCCTCCTGTCTCACTGGCTAACCCCAGACCTGGGCCATCTGTATTTATAGACTGGTCAGGAGGGAGGAGAAGGGCCCAAAGCCTGGACTCCCTCAGTCCAGGAGATGCCCCAAGTGTGGCCCCGGAAAAGGTGTGTGCTCCAAACGTGCCCTGTTCTCACCCCTTGTTGAGCTAGATCCTTCGTACCTACAACGTCCTGGACCTGAAGAACACGACCTGTGAGGATCTTCAGATTGAAGTTTCGGTTGTGGGTCATGTTGAATACACAAGTGAGTGTTGGGGTCGGAGGCCTAGGGCCCTGAGGGGGCCAGTGCCGAGTGCCAAGTCATGATGTCATCACTGTCGCTGTGCAGGGGAGGCCAACGAGGACTACGAGGACTACGTGTATGAGGAGATTCCAGCCAAGGACGACCCGGACGCCAGTTCCCAGACCGTGACACCCCTGGAACTGTTTGAGAGGCGGCGGAACCGCCGCAGGCGGGAGGCCCCCAAGGCGCCTGAGGAGGAGGAATCCAGAGTACAGTACACTGTGTGCATCTGGTGAGCACTGGGGTTGCACTGGCACAGGGGCATCACTGGGCCAGGAGGTGGAGGCCGGGAAGCAGAGGCCGGGAGATGGAGGCTGCATCCGCCAGCCAGGGCATGTGGGCCCCGGTCATGTTGCTCTGCAGGCGCAACGGCAAGGTGGGGCTGTCAGGCATGGCCATTGCGGACATCACCCTCCTGAGTGGATTCAGTGCCCTGCGTGCCGACCTGGAGAAGGTGTGGTCAGCATCTTGGGGGCAGTGGGGGGTGGTGAAAGCGCTGTGCGCTCGGGAGCCTGCTCTGTCCCTGATCTTAGCCGCTGAGCCCTGTCTGGTGCAGGGCTCAGGGCTACCTCCCAGTGACCATCTGTCCTTCCCCACAGCTGACCTCCCTCTCTGACCGTTATGTGAGTCATTTTGAGACTGAGGGGCCGCATGTCCTGCTGTACTTTGACTCGGTGAGCCGGGAGGGGCAACCAGGGAAGGAGGACACTGGGTTTAGTGAGCATGGGTGACAAGGTTCCCCAGGGGGCAGCTGGATCAGCAGCCAGCGCTCTGGGAGAGAGCCTGTGGTGTGAGCAGGGAGACAGGACAGATGAGTGCTGCAGCAGGGTTCCGTGCAGGCTGGGAGGCCACCCTGTCACCCTGTTGGTGGGCGGGCGATGGGGGCCGAGTTGGGATGCGGCTTGGGGGCTGGTGCCAGTCAGCATTCAGTAAAGCTGAATTTACTCAACTGAGGGCTGCCTTGCTTGTTCCTACTTGACCTTCCTCATTTTGGGGGGTTTTGTTTTTGATATTGAAGTGTATTTTCTTTTAGGAAGTGATAATAGTCACGGATGAGTTTTTGTCTTTTTGTGCCTTTATTTGGCTAAAGCGAACAATCATCCATCCTCTGATGGCCCTCAAACTTTTTTTGAATGTGAACTGTAATCTCTTGGAGAAAATGTGAAAAAGATATGTTAATACTGTAACACCATTAAGCCAGGCACTTGGGGATCAAGGAACCCCCCCACACTGCCCTGCCCAGTGCCTGCCGACGGGCTGGACCCCCCATTAGCCTGAGAAGCTGGGCAAAGGAGTTTGGTTGAAGATGAGGGGCCAGGAAGATTCCTGGGCGAGGAGTTGACTTAAGCAGCCCAGCTCAGGAGGGAAAGTGGCAGGGTACTGGGCAGGACCGAGCCAGTGTGGGCGTGAGGAGACGGGTCTGGGCCTAAGTCAGGAGCTGCAGGGTCACAGAGGTGGGCAAGTGACAGCACCTGCCGTTAGGTTATGACAGATAAATGGAGACCCTGTTGCACTGGTGATGAAGCAAGGCTGTCGGGAGGGGGGCGGGCTTTGGGGCAGGCAGAGGAGTCTGGGGAACTTCTAGGTCTCACAGCAATCCTAATGCAAGAATAAGGCTGAATGTTTAATTTGGGACTCATCGGCTGGGAAGGTTTTGGTGAAAGCCAAGGAACAGTTGAGACCTCAGGGGAACGCAGGGGACGGGAGGAGCCCAGGCCCCAGACTGCGCCTCCAGGGAGGAAGAAGAGGAACGGTCACGCATGATGAGGTCAGAGAGAGCCAGGGACGGCCAGAAGCTACCCTGAGCTTAGAGAGTTTCATGCACAATGTGTCCATGATGTGAGACTGCCCCTGGGCACTGGAGACTGCGACGTCACCGACTGGCAGTGAAGTCAGCAGAGACCTTGCAGAGCAGTTTTTAGAATTCTGGCAGCCAGAAGGTACTAGAATGTGAAAGATACTAAAGATAAGACCAGGGATAGGTCAAGGAGATGCAGCACAGTGGCCCACAGTGGCCCGCAGCACCCAGAGAGCATGCCCTGACCTCTCCTCCCCACTGTGTCAGGTCCCCACATCTCGGGAGTGTGTGGGCTTTGGAGCAGTGCAGGAGGTGCCTGTGGGGCTCGTGCAGCCGGCCAGCGCCGCCCTGTATGATTACTACAACCCTGGTGAGCACCTGGGGACACTCAGCAGGTGGGGAGCAGGTGTCCCTGTGTGAGACATCAGGAGCTGGGGCCATGCCGTGGCAGGATGTCCTGCGGCTCCTTGGGATGAGGTGGGGGATGGGGGAGGGACATGAGCTCTAGCCGCCCTCTCTCTTCCCCAGAGCACAAGTGTTCTGTGTTCTATGGGGCACCCACTAAGAGCAAACTCTTGTCCACGTTGTGCTCCGCTGACGTCTGCCAGTGTGCCGAGGGTGAGACCCAGGGCCGGGAGGGAGGGCAGGGAGCCGGTGAGGCGAGGGCCTGCGCTGTCTCACCTGGGCCCCTGATGCAGGGAAGTGCCCCCGGCAGCGTCGTGCCCTGGAGCGGGGGCTGCAGGACGAGGCCGGCTACAGGATGAGGTTCGCCTGCTACTACCCCCGAGTGCAGTACGGTCAGTCTTCCGCGGCCGCCGCCAGGGTCTCTGCCTGGGCCTGCTCCTGATCACAGCCGGAACACACCTGTGCTCCCTTCTCTTAAATTCCCCCACAGGCTTCCAGGTTAAGGTCCTCCGAGAAGATGGCAGAGCTGCCTTCCGCCTCTTTGAGACCAGCATCACCCAAGTCATTCATTTCAGTATGAGGGGAACGGATGGGCAGGTGGCTGGGGTGGGGGATAGGGAGCCGAGGTCAAGGGTTTGTGGCCCGGGTGCTCTGGACAGTGTAAGTTCAGGGCCTGAGCTAAAAGCCTCTTGGAAGCTCCGGGCTTGTCCATAAATCGAAAAGTGGCCATACCTCCCCGTAAGGAGCGGTGAGGGCCAAATGAGAGGTTCCACGCACAGCCCTGGGCCCCCCGCTCACCCCGGACCTTCTGCCCCCCTCTGACTACTCCTGTGTACATCATCCTCTCAGCCAAGGACACCAAGGCCAAGGTCGGTCAGACCCGAAACTTCCTGGTTCGAGACTCTTGCCGCCTTCGCTTGGAACCTGGGAAGGAATATTTGATCATGGGTCTGGACGGGGCTACCTCGGACCTCAAGGGAGAGTGAGTTTTCTGGGCCTCCTCTGTCTCCTGCTCTCCTCATGCCTCATGAGGGAATGGATGCCCAGCACCCAGACCTGCCCCGTCAGAAACCAGGTGCCTCGTGCCCTCCTCTCGCACCTCCCCACCCTCCCACCCCTGCTGACTGCCTTTTTGCCTCTACAGCCCCCAATACCTGCTGGACTCGAATAGCTGGATTGAGGAGATGCCCTCCAAACGCCTGTGCCAGAGCACCCGCCACCGGGCAGCCTGTGCCCAGCTCAGTGACTTCCTCCAGGAGTATGGCACTCAGGGGTGCCAGGTGTGAGGGTCACCCTCCCGCCTCCCCCAGCTGATACCTGGATTGTTGCTGTGCCCGGGCCCCTGGACAATAATAAAGGCCTCTGGCAGCAAAGTGTCAGTGTGTCTCAAGGATTGAGAGCAGTGCCCCTGCCACCTTTGCCAGCTTCTGAGGCCAGGGTTTGCATCATCTTCAGTTGTCAGAGCCTGGATGACCCTTGAGAGTGTCTCTCTCAGATAATGCACTGGGAGCAACCCTAGTGGACTGGTGACCCTGTACCCTAAGGCTCTGGCATCACTCTGAAGCCTCCCTTCTGCTGTGCGTGTGGGGTGCTCCCCTGCCCCACTGTGGCCAGCGGGGGCCTCCGGTGCAGCTGGTGCTCAGCCTCATGCCTCGGCTCTTCTGCCTTAGTTAGAGTGGCTGGTGGCCACGCGCTTCCCGCTCTGCCCTCGAGCAGCTGTGAGTCCTGGGGTCTCCTGCTTGGAGCCGACCCCTGATCTCCTTACAGTGGTTAGGGGACTTGCCCAGAGTTGTACAAGGACTTGGTGATGTGTGTATTAATACACTGGGCCAGCCCTCCCTACCTGCCAGCCTAGCTCTCCCCATGTGGCGGCCCCCCTTGGATTTCGGGGCTGACCTAGAAGACAAGCGAGAGAAATTGGCCGAGATCAGCTTTGATGGAAACTGAGTCTGTTCAGCAGCCTGCCACCCGATCGTGCAGTAGGAATTTGTGGCACTTTCACTCCATGCTGTGCCCTGGGCCAGGTCCCCGTCCTCTGAAACATGTAATGACTGGAGCTGCCTGGTCCTGTGCGGCATGTAGCTGGGGCATCTGACCCAGTCTGGGGGAGGGGAGAAGGGGAAGGCTTCCCGGAGGAGGTGACATCTAACTTGGGTTCTGAAAGCTAAGGCATCAGGCGGAGAGGGTGGGGGTGGGTGAGGGCACTTGAGGCAGACAATGGAGACCATGAAAGGCCCAGAGGCACTGGAGGCACTGGAGAAGCCACTTGGAGGCACTGCATGTAATCCCATCGTGTCTGAAATTTGGATTTGGAGGTGGGGTGGAAGAGCTGGGGCCAGCAAGGCGATCAGGTCACTTTATGAAGGTTTGTTCCCACTCAGGCCAACTTCCCGGCTCCCTGTTCTTTCCTGTGGAGCCCCTCCGAAGCCATGCAACCTTGGGAGGTTCTGGCCTCCACCCACGTCTCAGAGGCTCCCCAAGGCTGTTGCTGCCATGGCCCCTTGGCTGCCCATCAGGTCTCTCCCCAGAGCTGGTCAGCAGGGGCGGAATAAAGCCATTTATGAGAGCTGGGGATTCAGCTGCAGCAGTGGCGAGACGCGGCCCGCGTCTGGGGTGGTAACTACGAGGAAGGAGGCAGCTGCCATTGCCCACCCCACCCCACCCCACCCTGAGATCCCACCCCTGCTTGCTCCCTCCCAGCCCTGGACCTGAGCTGCCTCATCAGGACCCCCATTGGCGGCTCCCTCAAGCTGGTCGGTGGCACGGCCAGCATTTCCATGCAGGGTCTCCAGCCACGTAGCCTGTGCTCTCTGGGTAGAGCCAAGGGGGAGAAGGTCTAAGTCCTCCTGGGTGCAGGGATCAGTTCACAGAGCCAGGGTGGGACCTGGTCACCTCCGAGCCCTCACTCCCACCCCAGGCAGCCCTGACCTCTCACTGGCCGCTATCACCCCTCCTTTGAGCCTCCCAGCTGCTTCCTCACCCCTAAAGTGGTTCCTGCCTGCCCTACCTGCCTTGCACCCTTTAGGGCAACAGCTCCCAGAATAGGTCTGGGCCTCCATCCCAGCTGTGGCTGTTGGGTCCCTTCCTGGGGACTTTGGCATCAATGGGGGGCGGGGGCAGGGTTCTTGACCGAACATGCCAGGAACCTCCCTTGACCTGGGGCCGGACCTGTAACCCGAGGACTCTGACCCGGGAGGCAGCCCATCCTGCCTGTAGCAGGGAGCACAAGCCGCCCAGTGCAGGGAGAGAGGAGAGGGCGGGAGAAGGAGGAGCAAGAGAGGGCAGCTGTGCTCCCCACCCCCCAGATTCCAAGGTCAGTGAAGTCCCTCTCTTCCTGCTCGCTCCAGTTCTCTGAGGTCCCCCTATATCTGCACAGTGAGTTCTTTTTGGCTCAAGCCAGCCTGAGTTGGCGCCTTTCCCCTGCCACCACAGAGCATATCAAGGACATAGTAAGAGCTCCAAACTGGGGGGGCATGTGGTTCTTCAACTTTTGAGACTGAAATAGGGCACGGTTAATAATTACACTGGGACTGCAGGTGTAACCTGGATGACCCAGGCAGACCAGGCCGAAAGGTCACCCCATCTGTAGGTGAAGAACACGCAGGCTGCTTGCATCTCCTTTTGTCCTTGGGCAAGCCAGGACGGGCATGTTAGGCAGGCATGGCCGTGGTCTCTCTGAGATAAAGCTTTGGCGGGATGGTGGTCCAAGGTGAGTGGCTCTGGGAGAGGGCACAGGCCCGAGAGTGGCCTCATTGTCCTGTGTGGTTGGTGTGCAGCCAGAAAATCGATTCCGGCTGCGGGAGAAAGGTCAGGGTCACGTTCCCCTTTCTTCTTGATGGATGAGGGACCTGTTCTTTGAGATGTGGACTCCCCAAGGCCAGGGAGGCCGATGCCCTTCCAGGAATACGTGGGCGGGACAGCGGGCCGGGACCCGACGGAAGGACTCAAAGGAGGCCCCAGAACAGTCGGAGCACAGGATGGATGGTGGGGCCTCAGGAGCTATAAGTGGCCTGGCCGGGGCCCTTGCACGGGTCTCTGGCCATGCTACTCCTCGGTGTGCTGCTGCTGACTGTGCTGGCTGGTGCCCGCCTGCTGTGGGGCAAGTGGAAGCTCAGGGGTCTGCACCTCCCACCTCTTGTCCCTGGCTGCCTGCACCTGCTGCAGCCCGACCTTCCCCTCCACCTGCTGGGTTTGACGCAGAAACTGGGGCCCATCTACAGGCTCCGCCTGGGGCTGCAAGGTGAGTCTGCCTCTGCTCCGTCGCCAGCCCCACCGCGTGGGAGGTAGGGTCCCCTTCCTGCTGACACCCCACTCTGACTCCTCCCCAGATGTGGTGGTGCTGAATTCTAAGAGGACCATCGAGGAAGCCATGGTCAGGAAATGGGTGGACTTCGCCGGCAGACCGCAGACGCCATCCTGTAAGGGCTGGGGCGGTTCTCCAGGGGACGTGGGCTGTCAGAGGCAGGGAAGGCCAGCCTGCGGCTCCCATGGTCCGTCCCTCCCCTCTCCTATTCTCCTACTCGCAGATAAGCTGGTGTCTCTGCACCACCAGGACCTGTCCCTGGGGGACTACTCCCTGCTGTGGAAGGCTCACAAGAAACTCACCCGCTCAGCCCTGCTGCTGGGCATCCGCAACTCCATGGAGCCGCTGGTGGAGCAGCTGACCCAGGAGTTCTGTGAGGTGAGGCTGCCACCCCACAGCCGCCCCAGCTCCGCTGCCCCTTGCCCGGCGGCGCCCGGCCTGCTTAGCTCCTGTTCCTCCTCCGCAGCGCATGAGAGCCCAGGCTGGCACCCCTGTGGCCATCCAGAAGGAATTCTCTTTGCTCACCTGTGCCATCATCTGTCACCTCACCTTCGGAGACAAGGTCAAGGTTTTCTTGCCCTCCATGTGCTGGGGCCCTTCTTTAGCCCCTCCCTGGCCCTCTCTGGTCCTGAACTTTTTTCTTCTTTTTTTTTTCGGCAGGAGGACACCTTAGTACATACCTTTCATGACTGTGTTCAAGACCTGATGAGAACCTGGGAGCACTGGTCCATCCAGATGTTGGACATCATTCCCTTTCTCAGGGTGAGGGGTGCAGCCCAGACTCCCTGGGTCCTGGGAGGGGTGGTGCAGGGGGAGCAGGCCTCCTTGCCAGCGGCTGCACCCTTTTGCCCCCTGCCCCAGTTTTTTCCCAACCCAGGCCTCTGGAGGCTGAAGCGAGCCTTGGAGAACCGGGACCAGATCGTAGAGAAGCAGCTGAGGCAGCACAAGGTGGGAAGGCCACGTGGGCCTGCCTCCCCCGCAGTCTGCCCCCAGGGGTCCTACTGACCCAGAGCCAAGCAGGTCCTCCGGTGGCGCACCTGCCGGACAGGTGGGCTCCCTGAGCCCTTCTCTCCGAGCAGCGCTCAGGCGGGCTCCTCCTCCCCACCACAGGAGAGCATGGTGGCAGGTCAGTGGAGGGACATGACCGACTACATGCTCCAGAGGATGGGGAGGCTGAGAGCAGAAGAGGGCTGTGGACAGCTCCTCGAAGGACATGTGCACATGTCCGTGGTGGACCTTTTCATTGGCGGCACCGAGACCACGGCCACCACCCTCTCCTGGGCCGTGGCGTTCTTGCTTCACCACCCTGAGGTGCGCCCTGGGGGCAGCCCGGCTGGGGCCCAGGAACTCGGTTCGCTGCCCCCCCCCATGGGCTGCGTTCACCCAGGGGCGCTTCTCCCAGTGGGCACGAAGGCTCCACTGGGTTGCTCTAGGGAGGGGCCCGGGGCCGGGAGGCCAGGCAGGCCTGGGTCAGCTAGCTCAGGGTTCCCACCCCAGACACCAGGCTTGCTCCCATTTCCCAGATTCAGCAGCGACTGCAGGAAGAGCTGGATCGGGAGCTGGGTCCTGGAGCTTCAGGCTCCCGAGTCCCGTACAGAGACCCCACACGCCTGCCCCTGCTCAGCGCCACCGTTGCCGAGGTGCTGCGCCTGCGGCCCGTCGTGCCCCTGGCCCTGCCGCACTGCACCACGCGGCCCAGCAGGTGACTCTCCTAAGAGCTGGGCACACGGGGGACCAAAGGGTGGGGGATCCTGGTGGGCCTCTGACTCCACCTTCCTCTCAGTATCTCGGGCTACGACATCCCCAAGGGCATGGTTGTCATCCCCAACCTGCAAGGCGCCCACTTAGACGAGACGGTCTGGGAGCGGCCACATGAGTTCCGGCCCGGTGCGTGGTGGCAGGGGAGGGGCGGTGGCTGCGGCACAAGGGCTGGGGGCGGCGGAGGCCAGTCCCCACCGCTACTGGACCCTGGTTCTATCCTCCTGCCCGCAGATCGCTTCCTGGTCCCCGGCGCCAGCCCCAGAGTGCTGGCCTTCGGCTGCGGGGCGCGTGTGTGCCTGGGGGAGCCGCTGGCACGCCTTGAGCTCCTGGTGGTGCTGGCGCAGCTGCTCCGGGCCTTCACGCTGATGCCCGCTGCGGGCACCCTGCCCTCTCTGCGACCCCGGGCCCGCTGCGGTGTCAACCTCAGCATGCAGCCTTTCCAGGTGCAGCTGCAGCCCCGGGGGGCAGGGGTCCTGGGACGTGGCCAGCACCCATGACAAGCAGGACACACGGCGGCTGTGTGCTTCAGTTTCTCCTTTTATTTCTCCCGTACAAACCCCTTCCCTCCCCCCTGTAAACATGGTGCTGTGAGATCGCAGATGGAGAAGGCTCCCTCCTCCGGTGGCTGGATAGTGAGGGTGGCCCCTGGCTCTTCTCTCAGCGCGACCCCTCAGTGCTCGGCAGTCATACTGGGGCGCCGGAGATGTGAGCTGTGGTCAGCCTCCCTGGGCTGCTGGGGGCTGGTAGCTTCTTGGTCTGAGCTTCATTTCCGTGAAGGGCACAGAGAACTCGAAGCCCTTCCAGTAGTACCAGCTCACCCCCTGGGAAAGGATCGTTGAGACAGAGTCAGAGCCAGACAGACGTCCCATCTGCTCCCCAGCCTACACCCTGCACCCCGGCATCTGGGGAGATGGTTCCCAGAAATCAATCACCCTCCCCCGCACCCACTTCATGATCCTCAACTGCAAAGGCCTGAGGCTTAGTCTAAGCTGGCCCTTTACATCCAATAAATCGTGCCTATGTCTCCCTCGAGATAACCTGGTGAGATTAGCATTATTGTTGCATTTCACAGATGACAGCCCAAGGCGCCAAGCGGCTCTGTCACTCATCCCGCCACCCCGCAGCAGGCTGAGCCCTGAGCCACTCCCAGCCCCTCACCTGGTGGTCCACTGTACTTCCATAGAGCCCGTTGAGGTTGGCGTAGTGGCAGTTCCTGTACCACCAGGCCCCGCGGTATGACACCGCGCAGGAGATGAGCAGGTTGTTGGGGTCGCGATCACGGGCGGAAAAGACACTGCCACTATGGTAGCTCATGGAGTCCCCTGGACCGGTGTGAAAGGGGCAGTGAGGGCCTCCCCTCCCCTGCCCCACTGTCCACGGGCCCCAGGTCCACCCCTGACCTGCTGTGCCGTGGTAGCCATCCAGATGAAGGCGGTAGTGCTCCGCAGCTGAGTCTACGCGGAAGGAGTCATACTGTGCGAACACGGCCTCGTCCCCAGCCCGCAGGTCCACACGCATGGAGTAGTCGCCCGCTTTTGTCAGGCTGTGCAGGGCCTCGTTGCCTGGGGGTAAGGAGGTGCTCTCACCAGAGTCCCCCCATCCACCGGCCCCGCCCCCGCCCCTGTCCCCGTCAGGCACTGACCCAACCAGAACTCCCCAGAGATGTTGCCGAAGCCGTGGGCATAGTCCTCCCAGTCCCTCCAAAAGTCTGTCTGTCCGTCCATGCGGCGCTGGAACACCTGGGAAGCAGGGGGAGCCACCATCAGCCATGGCTCCGGGCACAACAGCCCGTGCCCCGCGCGGACCCTTGGGCGTTCTGCCTGCCACCCACCAGCCAGCCGCCCCCGTCGGTCTCCATGTCACAAAACACATTGAGGGGCCGCTCGCGGTTGCCATTGAGGAAGATGGTGGTGGTCCTGGAGGCGCCGGCTCCGTTCTGCATCTCCTCCCCGCAGTCCCGAGGGAAGGGGACTCGAAGTCCACCTGGGGAGAGGAGAATGACGGACCGGTCCCGTCCCCACACCCCGGCGCCCTGCAGCCCGCTCGCCCCCGCCTCAGGTCCCAGAGCCAAATACCAGTGGTGAAGGAGGTGGACACCGGCGGCGCGAGGCTCCCGCCCCACACCGCCCGGAGCCACACGCTGTAGGGGGTGGAGGGAAAGAGGCCCAGAAGCTGGTGAGAAGTGGCCCCGCCTGGGAGCAGGACCTCCTGTGGATAGATGAGGAGCAGGTCAGGGCCGGGCAGGGGACCCACTGGGGGAGGTGGGGGACGGGACGGGCAGCGTCTCCTGGAACCGGCGGGGCTGGCCAGTGAGGGGGAGGAGCACCTGTGTCTGTCCACCAAGGGCGTTGAAACTGAGCAGGTAGCCAGTCGGCGGGACTTGGGGCTCAGTCCAAGTGAGCAGGGCCGTGCGGGGGGTTACTTCCTTGGCCTCCAAGTCCTGGGGGGCTTCCAGCCCTGGGAGGGGAGGTGGGAGGAGAAGATGGAGATGCAGATGGAGATGGAGATAGAGATGACCTCCCCTGCCCCTGTGGCACACCCTCCCAGGCCGTACCTGTGGTGAAGGTGATGCTGGCTGGGGAGGTGAGGTTGGGGCCCCGGAGACCACGCACAGTCGCTGTGTAGTTGGTGTGGAGCCTCAGGCCCCCCAGAGGGTACTCCACCGCGCTGCCAGGGGCCGAGGCCTGCAGTGGGGGGTCTGGAGGTGGGGTGAGCATCAGCCGCTGCCCCCTCGGTGCCCTGCCAGAGCCTCTGTCCCCTCCCTGACCAAGTCCCCTCTGGAGGCCTCAGCCCAGCTCACCCCCTGGGGCTGTGACACGGATGTTATATGTGTCCACGGGGGCCTGAGGAGGCTTCCAGTGCAGCAGAGCTGATCCCTCCGTCAAGTTCAGTGCACGGAGCTGGGTGGGGCCATCAGGAACTGGGAGAAGGGAGGAGGCTCAGAGCTGTCCCCGCTCCCCTCTCCATGCCTCACCTCCCCAAGCTCTACGGGCCTCCTGTCCACAGTCGAATCCTCTCACACCTCCTTCCCCCTCATCCTGTCGGGGACCTAGCCCATCTCACCTGTGGTGAGGTAGCCTGTGAGAGGCTCACTCTCCTCAAAGCCACGGACAGAGACCACGGTCACCTCATAGTGAGAGCCTGGCATCAGCCCCTGGAGTTTCTGGGTCCGGGCTTGGCCATCCACCTGCACACTCTGTGGCTCCCCTGAAAACACACAGGCTTGGGAGTTTGCCCAGGGAAGCAGGCAAGAGCCACAGGGTGAGCAGACTGCAGGGGGCGGGAGGGCAAAAGGGGGGCAAAAGGGGGTCACCTCCATCTGCCAGCTGGTAGGAAACTTTGAAACTGTCCACTCTGGATGGTGGAGGCATCCAGCTGACCTGGGCCGACGTTTCCCTGATTTCCCTGAACTGAAGGTCCCGGGGGCTTTCCAGAACTGAGGGGAGAGGTGTGCCGAGGAATGTCAGTGAGGGTGCCGGGCAGGGAGGCTCCTGCCTCGGGATCCCCTGCCCTGCTCCTTCCCAGGGCCCCAGTGGCTGCACACCTGCTCACCACCAGCCCTTTCCTCCAGACCTCAGAGAGGAAGACTCTGGAGATTCCCCTCAGCCCCACCACACACCAACCTCCCCTCTGGCGGAGGCACTAGGTCCCGCCCCCCCAAAGTACAAAGACCTCTCACATCAGGGCAGCACACGAATGTGCCCACTATGGGGCCTTACCGGGGCTGAGGGTACGGGCTGTGCCCTGGATGCTGTCGGCCTTATGGGGCCCACGCAGCCCATACAATGTAAGGCTGTACAGGGTCCCCGGATGCAGGTCCCGGAGCACGGCTGAGCGCTGCGTCCCGGGCACCGTCAACTCCCGCTGCAGCAGGGGACGTGAGTGGGGCTCTAGAGTGTTTGGTGATGGGACCCCAAAACGGAGCAGGAAGGAATCAAAGGCCTCCGATGGGGCCTCCCAGTTGAGCCGCAGCGAACTGGTGGTCACATCAGTCACTGACAGCTGGGACAGGCGGGGCCCTGGCTCCCCTGGGGTCAGACCGGCAGGAGCAGGCCCTGCACAGAGTGGGTGGGAGACAAAAGCACACCACGTCGGTGGGCTGGAGCAGGTCTCTTCCACCACCCCACCCCGCCCCCAAGTTTCTCATATGTGAGGTGGTGGAGCTCATGCGAGGCAGGTACTCAGCTGGGGCCCATGTGAGCATATGTGTGGAGAGCCATGGGTGGCTGCTGCACCCCTTCCTCCCTCCACACTGCCCTCCAGTCACTGCCTCTGGGCACCCCCTTTAGCCCTTCCAGTCCCAGACCTGAGGTGGGTGAGGCCTAGATACGGGGCCCTTGCCCGGCAGTACCTGTGGTGCCCTCAGCTGAGATAGGCCCCAGGCGCTTCCCTCCATGGAGGCCATAGAGGAAGAACTGGTAGGAGGTGCTGGGCTCCAGGCCTGACACTAGGACCTTGTTCTGGTTGCCACCCACGAGCAAGGCCTGGGGCTGCCCATCTGTGTCCTGATACTGGACCACGAAAGAGTCAAAGGGGCCCTGGGCCACATTCCACAACAGGTGCAGAGAGTCTGGGGTTATGTCGCTCACTGCCAGTGTCCTTAGGTGGGGCCCTTCAGGGGGCTCAGGGGCCTCTGTGGCCAGGCTCCAGGGGGCTGGTGTGTCTGCTTCCGGGGCTGTGTGGGAGAAGCCCAGGGGAGAAGCTGAGCAGGGGTGACCAAGGCTCTACTAGCATCGACCTTCTCTTGAATCTCTCCTTTCCCTGCTTTGGCACTGATTCTTGCCCCCCACCCCCAACCCCGGCCTCTCTGAGCACCAGCACTGTGGCCCCATCAGACACTTGCTTCTCCTTCTCCTCCTCCATGTATTCTGGGTGTCTTATCTTGAGGTGCATGCACAGCCTGCTCCCTCCCCACCATGTCTGGGTGCCTATGCTCCTGGCCCAAGGCTGGAAGAGCTGGGGGGGCATTGTGGTCCAGGGCGGTGGAGTGGGGGTGCATAGCTGAGGACAGAGCTGGCTGGTAAACTGGAAGGGCAGATCGCACCAACCAGGTCGGGCCGATGGGCCCCATCCTGCTGACCTCAGCTGGGTGTTAATAACTCCCAGCTCCATCACTGTAGCCACTTCTGGTTGCTATGCCCCTCACCTATTTTCTTTTCCAGTTATTTTCCACTTGGGAAAAAATGCTCCTGACTCATCCACAAGAGGGAGTTTGCCCCTATCTGGCAAGGCTGCCCGTGGGGAGGTAAGAGCTGCCTCAGTAGAGTGAGGGGAACAGCTGGCAGTGCTGGGCAGCATGGGGGCTGGGAGACAGGGGACCACTGCCAGGGCCTTTCCTTGTGCCTGCCTTGGCTGCCCTGGCTCCTGCTTTGGATGGACTCCTCGGGTTACCATCGGAGCTGGTCCCACTGCACCTCCCTTCCTCCCAGGCCCACTCATGCTCACCTGTCACTCCCAGGACGGAGATGGGGCCCAAGTGCTGTCTTCCGTGGATCCCATAGAGCAGGAATTTGTATTTCCTGCCAGGCTCCAGGCCCTGTATGGTGACGTCCCGCTGGTCTTTGGCCACAGGCACTGCCCGGGGCTGCCCAGCTGGGTCCCTGTACTGGACCACAAAGGAATCAAAGAGGCCCTGGGCTACCGTCCATGAGAGGCTCAGGGAGTTGGGGGTCTCATCTATCACTGTCAGCTCTCCGAGGCGGGGTGGGTGCTGCTGCTCCTTCTCCAGGGGAGCTGTAAACAGAGTGGGAGGAGAGACCTTAGTTAAGAGCTACCTTTACTGCAGCCCTGGCAGCTTCTTGGAGACATGAGGGTCTAGGAAAGGGTCCCTGCACTGTGGCTTCAGTCTGCCTGAAAGGAAGAAAAGCGAGCAGCTTGATCTCTCTGCTGGAAGCCACTGCCCCTGCCCCCACTCCCTCCCTGCTGTGATCAGGGTGCAGTAAATGCAGAGAAGATCACCTTGTGAGACAGTGTCCCTGGGGGTGTAGAGAAAGGCCTCAGTTTCTCCCTGGCCCCTGATCCCTCGAGCAGGAGGTGGCCAGAGCCAAGAAAAGCTCCCAGAGTGTATCTGGGTTGTCAGGGAAACACCCCTAAACACTAAGAGCTGGGCTGGGCAGCCAGCCAAGCTTGTGGGCTCCCATGGCTTGGCCATGACCTCCTCTCTCTTGCTATCAGCCTGGGCCATCCTCCTACCCACTTTCCAGCCCTCCACTAACACCACTGGACCAGGGCAGGGTTGGCAGGGGGGCAGCTGGGGTAGAACAAAGGGGAGAGCAAAACACAGAGGAGACCTGCCCTGGCGGGGACAGGCGTTAGCTGATGGGGTCAGAGGAGAAGCCTGTATTCAGTGCCCATAATGAGGGTTTGGAGTCTGAGTGTCCCAGCTGACTGTGTGCCCCATCCCCATCTGGCCAGGGTGACTCATGGTCCTGGGAGGGAGGTAAGGGTCAGTGACCCACCTCCACCCTTTCCTCAGGGGGTTGAGTAATAGGCACAATGACTCCAGATTTTTCCATAGTCTTTCTACAGCCAAACCTTCCATATTTTCCACCTCCTGCCTCGGCTGGGACAGAGGGGAGGACGGGAACATTTATTAAGTGCTGATCCATATTTATTATGCATATGCAGGTATAGTAACTGTGGTTCCAGGGAAAGAAGTGGCTTGTCTGTGGCCACACCACCGGCAATTGGAATTTGAACATGGTCTGCTTAGCTCCAAAGACTGGATTCTTTTTATGACATCAGCAGTCAGTGAATGAAGGGAATAACGCACATACAAAATACTGAGAATAGAGCCTGGCACGTGATGGAGGCTCAGTAAATGTTTGCTCTTGCTGCCGTAAAGGCTGAAGGCAGGGATAGGCCAGTGGGGGGCAGCTCTTGGGGCTTAAGTCAGAGACAACTCTAAAAAACATGGGGTGCAAGGCTGGGGCTCACCTGTGCTGCTGTCGGCAGAGATGGGGCCCAAGCGCTTCCTGCCCGCCAGCCCGTAGAGCAGGAACCTGTACTTCCTGCTGGGCTCCAGGCCAGGGATGGTGACCTCACGCTGGTCTGCGGCCACAGGCACCCCCCGGGGCTGCCCATCCCTGTCCTTATATTGGACCACGAAGGAGTCGAATTCACCCTCGGGGACCGTCCACGAGAGGCTAATGGAGTCCGGGGTCACGTCTGTCACTATCAGCTCCCCAAGGCTGGGAGGTTTCGTGTCTGGGCCTGGAGTAGACAGAGAGGTGTATGGAAAGTGACAGAAATGGTGACAGAAGCTGGCAGAGCTTCGTCAGGATGCTAGGGCTCTGGGAGCTGGTTCTGAGAGCTGGGAGGGGGTGGCTAGGCCACCGGGCAGGAAGCAGGCCAGCAGAGGAACAGGGAAAAAGATGAACCAGGTTAGCCAGCAGCATCCCCAGGATGTATGACAAGTAGGGAGAAGGATGAGAACAAAGAGGGGTCGGGGAGCTCTGGACCTGGATTTTACTGGACCCAGTAAATAATCAGGTCAGGAGGCCCCAGCTCTGGAGCTTGGAGCATAGAAACAGGACACTAATTGTCACCACAAGGGGGTGAAGGCCTGTCTGGAGGCACAAGCACCCATGAGGGCCTCCAGCATCACGCGTCTTTGTGTCTACAGACACAGAACCATGGCGTTTCTCATCCTGGAGCCCGAAGAGCAGGGACTTGTACTTGCAGGTGGGTCCAGACCCGAAATGGTGATCTCCCGAAGGCCTCGAGCCACAGGCACCACCTGGGGTGCCCCTGCACATCCCTGTACTGGACCAGGAGGAGTGGAAGGGGCCCTGGGCCACCGTCCATGAGAGGCGCATGGTGTCGGAGGTCACGGCGGCCATGGCCAGCTCCCCCAGGCCGGGGGCTGCGGGGGGCTCTGTGGGCAGAGAGGCTAGAACAGAGCGGAGGAGGCTGATGGGTCAATGGTGCGACCCTTCGAAAGAGAGGGAGTGCTTTCCCCAGGCTATGAAATAAATGTCTTGTAGCAAGCTCTTCTAAAGTGCTTAGTGCTTCCCAGGCGTGGCTGTGAGCACTTCACACACAGGCACGAAGATCCTCCCACAAAATATGAAGTACGTGCCTCTAGTATTGTCATTGCCACTATGTGTGGATCTAAGGCACAGAGAAGTTAATATATGGTCAGAATTCACACAGTCAGTGGTTCAGAGCAGGATTCAAACCCAGAGACGTGGTTCTGCAGCCACTAAAGACCAGAGCCACTGCAGACCAGAGACGTGGTCTGAGTCACTAAAATACCCAGTCTGGGAGCCTGAGAGGCCATATATGAATATTTCAACAAGTTTAAGGTTGCTGATAAGAAAGGAAAGTGGACAGGTAAATTTATGAAGTGAAAGGTACCTGCCAACTAAGCCTGAACAGTCTCCTACATCCTTCGTGAGTAAAGGATGAGGAAGGATATTAGTGCCACATGAGAAAAGAGAGGAACCTAAGGGACCATTTGTGAGGAAAGGAGGAAAGCAGGACAAAACAGGAGACGTAGGGGACAGGGTGCTCGCTGTCGCTCACCGGTCAGGCCCACGGTGGACACGGGGCCCACGCGCCGCCCCCTGTCCAGGCCATACAGGTGCATCTTGTACTTGCGTCCCGGCTCCAGACCCCCAACGGTCACCTCACTCTCGTCGCCCGGGACACGTACCACCTGGGGCCGCCCATCCCTGTCCTTGTACTGGACAGTGAAGGAGTCAAAGTGGCCCTGGGGGACGGTCCAGGAGAGGCTCAGGGAGTCTGGGGAGGATCCCGTCACCGTCAGCTCCCCCAGGAGGGGCTCCTTGGGGGGCTCTGGGGCCTCTGTGCTGGGTTCTGTGGGGCTGGGGGTCTCCTCCACCTCGGTGGGGGTTGGCGTCTCTTCTTCTGCAGCTGAGAAAGAGACACATGGAGAGGGTGAGGCAGGGTCCCCGGGAGACGTCCTCAGGTCTTAGGAGAAGGATGGAGAAGCTGTGACCGGGTCTGGGGGCTCCCGATTCAGTTCAGTGAAGCCCATTCTCGGGGCTGGGTGGGCTTGCTCAGCCCACATCTCACAAACATGCTGGGAGCCTCCAGGGTCAGCCATGGGGAAGCCTGTCCAGCCACCAGCACAGCTCACGGAGGCCCGCCCTTCTCCGCATGGGAGGACCCCCTTGGTCTTCAGGGAGCCCCAGAGGGGGAGCACCTTGAGCAGAAGGGCCTCCTGCACCCCACTCACCCATTACCTGAGAGAGGGGGGTCCTGCCACTGACCCAACCCTGAGGCTTCCACTGGCTACTCACCTGTCACCCCAGTGGCAGAGATGGGGCCCATGCGCTGGCCACCGTGGAAGCCATACAGGTTCATCTTGTACTTGTGGTCTGGCTCCAGGCCTGAGATGGTGACCCCGTCTTCATGCCCTGGCACCCTCACCGCCTTGGGCTGCCCATCCCCATTCTTGTACTGGACCAGGAAGTGGTCAAACTGGCCCTCGGGGATGGTCCAGGACAGGTGCAGGGAGTTGGGGGTAGCTTTGGTCACTGCCAGCTCCCCCAGATGTGGCTTGATGGGAGGCTCAGAGGACATGGTGGATGGGGCTTGGGTGGTCACAGCTTCATATTCTGGAGGAGACAGAGACATACAGGGACAGATGAGGATGTGCAGGTCAGCCTCTAAGTAGGTGTCTACAAAAATAAGATCATAAGGAGCAGAGCATTGCCACCCACGGCGGCTCTAACTCATCCACTCTTCCCTTAATGTCCCAGGTTCCTGTGTTGGCCTTCTGGGCACATATCCTCATCTTGCCCTGCCCTCCCCTGCCCTTCCCCTGCCCACTGCTCTCTTCAGTACCCACCTCCCCTGCATCCTGGGCCCTAGACCTCCCTTCACTGGGGTCTCCTTGGCATCTCACTCCCTTTGGCTCATGTGTTTGCTCAGACCCCAAACACCTCACCCTTCCCCAGCCAGGGCGCTGGAGGCTTCCTGGATCTGTCTGCGTCCCCAGCTGCCATCAGACTCAGAGTGTCCAACCCACTCCTAAGTGCCTCCTGAGCTCCTCATACCTGTAGCCCCACCAGCCTGCCTTGGGGCCCATCCCAGTGCTGTCGCCTGCCACCTGGGTCACCACCTCCCCCCTAGGCTCCCTGCCTCCCTGCTCTCCTTGCCCACCCGTTCCTCACAGGGGGCCAGGATGAGCCCTTCAGTGCACATGGAACGGCACTGGGCTCAGCTTAACATTGCAACAACCGTCTCTATCCCCAGGAGGAGTCCCTGCCTTCTGAACTGCTCCTACTGCTCTACCCCTGTCTCAGGACTCTTTTCCCCACTCAGAGGATATCACACAAAATCCTCTCAGTCCCTCTCAGGGGCCACCATGATCCTAGTTCCCAGGCCTTGGCACCAGCTGTGACGTGGATCTGACTCTAACGCTGTCACCAAGCTAACACCTTCCCACCTTGGGTCCCAGCTGTCCTGTGGGTACCCGGCAGGCTGGCTCAAGCATGCTGCCCGGTCCTGGCCCGGCCCCAGGACCTCCTGCCACACACACACACACACACACACACACACACACACCTCTTTGCCTGATGGCTGGTTCGCAGCCTGTCTCCCCATGCCCGGAAGTCCCAGTATAATAAGAACTTTCTCTCTGCCATGATCAGGTTCACTCCAGTGAACTCCAGTCATGACCTTGAGATCATGACCTGAGCCGAAATCCAGAGCCGGAAGCTTAACCCACTGAGCCACCCGGACTCCTCTTAAATAGTCTTTTTAAAAAGAGTAACACACTAAACATGAAGCCACGAGGTACGGGATGAAGTATAGAGCATCTGCGTTGAGTTTACCAATACAGCAATAATATATCCATACAACGGAATGCTCTTTGGGCGTAAAGGAAATTAGACAGGGGTGGGACAACCCTGTAAATAGACTAAAAATCATTACGCTGTATACTTCAAGCAGGTGAACTTTGAGGCATGTAAACTACATCTCAGTAAAGCTGTGAATGAAGAATACATTCCAGTGGGGGGAAGGCAAGGGGTGCGCGGGGTGCAGAGGAGCCAGACTGGCCAGGAGTTAATACTAGGCTGCAACAGGGCAATGGACACGCGGGAGCTCCTTATGCTCTTCTTTCTCTTTGTGTGTATCCAATCTTACATATTAGGTATTTGGTGAGTGGATGAATTAATATTTCATGGCATTTCCCAACCACGCATACACACACACACACACACACACGCGCACACACACACACACACACACGATCTTTCCAGGGTTCCCAGGCAAAACAGAAAGCCACACATGGGTCAGTGGATCACTGCCTCGAAGGCTTCCACCCCACATGCCTCTCAGGCACATGCCCGGCACGTCCCTGGCCGTCGGCTTCCACCCCACATCACACCTGTCCTGACATGTTACTGGGTGGAGGGCAGGTTACGTGAGGCTTTAGGTTCCTGGATTTCCAGTGGAGGACACTCTGGAGGCTCCACCAATGAGACTTTACCCAGCACAACCCTGAAGGTCCCCGCCGTCACTCACCGGTCAGGCCCACGGTGGACACGGGGCCCACGCGCCGCCCCCTGTCCAGGCCATACAGGTGCATCTTGTACTTGCGTCCCGGCTCCAGACCCCCAACGGTCACCTCACTCTCGTCGCCCGGGACACGTACCACCTGGGGCCGCCCATCCCTGTCCTTGTACTGGACAGTGAAGGAGTCAAAGTGGCCCTGGGGGACGGTCCAGGAGAGGCTCAGGGAGTCTGGGGAGGATCCCGTCACCGTCAGCTCCCCCAGGAGGGGCTCCTTGGGGGGCTCTGGGGCCTCTGTGCTGGGTTCTGTGGGGCTGGGGGTCTCCTCCACCTCATCCTGGGGGCCTGAGAGAAGACGCAGGGATGGTGACTTCATTGTCAAGTACTGCTCATGTCAATAGGGACAACACAGTGCAAGCAGCAGACTCTTCCAGCTTTCAACAGGAGCTGGAGAACCTCGGGGTTAGGCAACTGGTAATTAATTGATGGAGAGTGCTAGACAGGCTCCAATCCCCTTCATACTGGACTGGCCAGGACCATAAACATTCAAGAAGGCAATTCAGTCATGTGGGTAGAAGCCAAAATACTTCTCATGTCCTTTGACCCAAATCCCATTTGGGCAGCCATCCTACAAAAATTATGAAAAGTTGGAAAAAGTTGTGCCATGGGAGTCTCTTATGGGATCATCCATAACAGCAGAATGTGTCAGCAATAGAAATGACCCAGGGATGATGATTAATTTTGTTATGGCACTTTTACCACATAACATCAAATAACCATTAAGATGATGATTAATGCAGGTTGTACAGCCACAGAATAGACCCTCACAATGTGAGTTATGTACAAAAACAAAGGAAGAGCCAGGAATTATGTGTACACTCTGCATTTGAAAACATACAGGGAGGGATCCCTGGGTGGCGCAGCGGTTTGGCCCCTGCCTTTGGCCCAGGGCGCGATCCTGGAGACCCGGGATCGAGTCCCGCGTCGGGCTCTCGGTGCATGGAGCCTGCTTCTCCCTCTGCCTATGTCTCTGCCTCTCTCTCTCTCTGACTATCATAAATAAATAAATAAATAAAATAAAAATTAAAAAAAAATCCACTTCTTTAAAAAAAAAAAAAAAAAAAAGAAAACATACAGGGAGAGGATGTGTTTTAGACATTATTATTAATGGCAGTTTTTGGGTCAAAAGGTATTCTGATGGCAGATTTTTCCTCCTATTTTTCAAATATTGCTTAATGTTGATATTCATTTCACTAGAATAATGTGGACTTAGAAAGAAATCCTGGAATATAAAAATTAATAATTTGGTGGGGGCTGTGGGGAAGTGCCATGCGTTCCTTACACTGCCCTCCTTACTTTGTGTGTGCTTGTGATTTGTGTGACAGGTCATAAATTTGAACAGTGGATAACAGTTTTCCTTCCAGTTGGCAGCTGTTCTAACATCTATTATCTGATCATTCCCCCGTCCTCCTCCTCCTGCCACACTCCTGTGAACATATGTAGAAAAAAGAGGCCCATCCCCGAGGAGTCAGAGGGGCTGTGTGAAATTGGTCCTCTGTGTGAAGTATCTTCAGGAGAGGAGAAGGAACCTCATAGAGCCTCTCACTTAGTCTCGTAGAGGCGGTGAGCCCCACCCCTACAGAAGGCTCTCTCCAGGGTGCTGGGCTCTCCCTCATGGCACACAGAGAAACTCTATTCTCATGGGGCATCAGAATCGAGCTGACACTGAATAGAGAACCCAGAAATGGGCCTTCAACTCTATGGTCAAATAATGTTTGACAAAGCAGGAAAAAATATCCACTGGAACAAAGACAGTCTCTTCAATAAACGGTGTTGGGAAAATTGGACAGCCACATGCAGAAGAATGAAACTGGACGCCTTCTTACATCAGACACAAAAATAGACTCAAAATGAATGAAAGATCTAAGTGTGAGACAGGAATCCATCAAAATCCTAGAGGAGAACACAAGTAGCAACCTCTTCAACCTTGGCTGCAGCAACTTCTTGCTAGACACATCTCCAAAGGCAAGGGAAACAAAGGCAAAAATGAGCTACTGGGACTTCATCAAGATGAAAACCTTTTGCACAGCAAAGGAAACAGTTGACAAAAATCAAAAGACAACTGACAGAATGGGAGAAGATATTTGCTAATGTCTTATCAGATAAAGGGCTAGTACCCAAAATCTATAAAGAACTTATCAAACTCAACCCCCAAAGAACAAATAACCCAATCAAGAAATGGGCAGAAGACACGACAGACATTTCTCCAAAGAAGACCTACACATAAATAATAATAATAATAAATTAAAAAAATAAATAAATTAAATTAAATTTAAAAAAAGAAGACCTACACATGGCCAACAGACACATGAAAAAATGCTCCACATCCCCTCTGCCTGTGTCTCTGCCTCTCTGTCTCTCTGTGTCTCTCATGAATAAATAAATAAAATCTTAAAAAAAAAAAGGGACACCAGGCTGGCTCCATGGTTTAGCACCTCGCTTTGGCCCAGGGCATGATCCCTGGGTCCCGGGATAAAGTCCCACATCGGGCTCCCTGCACGGAGCCTGCTTCTCCCTCTGCCTGTGTCTCTGCCTCTCTCTCTGTGTTTCTCATGAATAAATAAAATCTTTTAAAAAAAAAGAAAAAGAAAAATGCTCCACATCACTTGCCATCAGGGAAGTACAAATCAAAACCACTATGAGATACCACTTCACACCAGTGAGAATGGCTATAACTAACAAAACGGGAAACAAATGTTGGTGAGCTTGTGGAGAAAGGGGAACCGTCTTACACTGTTGGTAGGAATGCAAACTGGTTTAGCCACTCTGGAAAACACGGGGGAACTTCCTCAAGAAGCCAAAAATAGAGCTACCTGTGATCTAGCAATTGTACTAATAGGTATTTATCCAAGGATACAAACATAATGGAGTGAAGGGGTACCTGCACCCCAATGTTTATAGCAGCAATGTCCACATTAGCCAAAGTATAGAAAGAGCCTAGGTGTCCACTGACAGATGAATGGATAAAGAAGATGTGAGATATACATACATACATACATATATGTATACACACACACAATGGAATATTACTCAGCCATCAGAAAGAGTGAAATCTTACCATTTGCAATGATATGTGGTTGGAACTAGAGGGTGTTATGCTAAGGGAAATAAGTCAGTCAGAGAAAAACAATTATCATATGATTTTACTCATATGTGGAATTTAAGAAACAAGACAGATGAACATATATGAAGAGAAGGAAAAAATAAAATAAGATAAAAAACAGAGAGGGAGACAAACCATAAGAGAGGTCGAACTATAGGAAACAAAGTGAGGGTTCCTGGAGGGGAGGTGGGTGGGGGATGGGGTAACCAGGTGATGGGCATTAAGGAGGGCATGTGATGTAAAGAGATCTGGGTGTTATATGAAACTGATGAATCGTTAAACTCTACCCTTGAAACTAATTAGAGAGAGAGAGAGAGAGAGAATCCGGCTGACCCTGACTTAGAAAAACCATCCTGACTCTCCTTTTTAGAATTTAATTTGCCTTGGGATTTTGCCTCCATAATTTCTTAGGGACTAGAAATTATGACTTTTTCGAATTAAATATGAAATAAATTGCAAGAGCAATGGGGGAAAAGATGGAAGGGGTGCAAGGGAGGAGAAGACATTATATTTAAAAGAAATAATTCCTGATTATAAAAGAAATGTTCACCATTTAAGAAATTTTGGAACAACACAGAATAGAATAAAATAAAAAAGGTGGGCAGCCCTGGTGGCGCAGCGGTTTAGCGCCACCTGTAGCCCAGGGCGTGATCCTGGAGACCCGGGATCGAGTCCCACGTCAGGCTCTCTGCGTGGAGCCTGCTTCTCCCTCTGCCTCTCTCTCTCTCTGCATCTCTATGAATAAATAAATAAAATCTTTTTTAAAAAAAGGCTGGAACATTCTATCCTGTCCTACAAACCATGCATCCTGTAAGATGTGTTTCTTTCCAATTTTCTTGCCATGCATGTTATTTTCCAGTGGTTATGATTAGCATCCTTACAAAATTTGGAGACTCCTTTTTGATTGTAATATTATCAAGTAAATTGTCTTATGTTAAAACATTTTGGTGATGGCAAAAACTCATAGATGTTGCTTAAATATTTAATCATCCCAATGTGGTTGGAAGTTGTCCTCTTTCTTTCCTTCTTGTGTGTGTGTGTGTGTGCGCGCAGGCGCGCTTGGCCAGTGCTTGACACATTTCTCTTGTAGAGACACCTAGTAGCTGATCATCAGAAGGAGGTTATGCTAATGTGTATGATGAGGCTTCAGGTTAGCAAATACCAAACTCCTAGGCACAGGACACAGTTCAGGGCCGTGGAAGAAATAGCATGAAATGGGGAGCGGAGGTGTGGATTCTTAGGGACTAGCAAAAGAACAGAACAGTCATCTGGGTTACCCATGAAAAAAGGTAGTTCTCCCTGAAGATCTCTGATCCATGCCCCCTCACTCACCGGTCAGGCCCACGGTGGACACGGGGCCCACGCGCCGCCCCCTGTCCAGGCCATACAGGTGCATCTTGTACTTGCGTCCCGGCTCCAGACCCCCAACGGTCACCTCACTCTCGTCGCCCGGGACACGTACCACCTGGGGCCGCCCATCCCTGTCCTTGTACTGGACAGTGAAGGAGTCAAAGTGGCCCTGGGGGACGGTCCAGGAGAGGCTCAGGGAGTCTGGGGAGGATCCCGTCACCATCAGCTCCCCCAGGAGGGGCTCCTTGGGGGGCTCTGGGGCCTCTGTGCTGGGTTCTGTGGGGCTGGGGGTCTCCTCCACCTCGGTGGGGGTTGGCGTCTCTTCTTCTGCAGCTGAGAAAGAGACACATGGAGAGGGTGAGGCAGGGTCCCCGGGAGACGTCCTCAGGTCTTAGGAGAAGGATGGAGAAGCTGTGACCGGGTCTGGGGGCTCCCGATTCAGTTCAGTGAAGCCCATTCTCGGGGCTGGGTGGGCTTGCTCAGCCCACATCTCACAAACATGCTGGGAGCCTCCAGGGTCAGCCATGGGGAAGCCTGTCCAGCCACCAGCACAGCTCACGGAGGCCCGCCCTTCTCCGCATGGGAGGACCCCCTTGGTCTTCAGGGAGCCCCAGAGGGGGAGCACCTTGAGCAGAAGGGCCTCCTGCACCCCACTCACCCATTACCTGAGAGAGGGGGGTCCTGCCACTGGCCCAACCCTGAGGCTTCCACTGGCTACTCACCTGTCACCCCAATGGCAGAGATGGGGCCCATGCGCTGGCCACCGTGGAAGCCATACAGGTTCATCTTGTACTTGTGGTCTGGCTCCAGGCCTGAGATGGTGACCCCGTCTTCATGCCCTGGCACCCTCACTGCCTTGGGCTGCCCATCCCCATTCTTGTACTGGACCAGGAAGTGGTCAAACTGGCCCTCGGGGATGGTCCAGGACAGGTGCAGGGAGTTGGGGGTAGCTTTGGTCACTGCCAGCTCCCCCAGGTGTGGCTTGATGGGAGGCTCAGAGGACATGGTGGATGGGGCTTGGGTGGTCACAGCTTCATATTCTGGAGGAGACAGAGACATACAGGGACAGATGAGGATGTGCAGGTCAGCCTCTAAGTAGGTGTCTACAAAAATAAGATCATAAGGAGCAGAGCATTGCCACCCACGGCGGCTCTAACTCATCCACTCTTCCCTTAATGTCCCAGGTTCCTGTGTTGGCCTTCTGGGCACATATCCTCATCTTGCCCTGCCCTCCCCTGCCCTTCCCCTGCCCACTGCTCTCTTCAGTACCCACCTCCCCTGCATCCTGGGCCCTAGACCTCCCTTCACTGGGGTCTCCTTGGCATCTCACTCCCTTTGGCTCATGTGTTTGCTCAGACCCCAAACACCTCACCCTTCCCCAGCCAGGGCGCTGGAGGCTTCCTGGATCTGTCTGCGTCCCCAGCTGCCATCAGACTCAGAGTGTCCAACCCACTCCTAAGTGCCTCCTGAGCTCCTCATACCTGTAGCCCCACCAGCCTGCCTTGGGGCCCATCCCAGTGCTGTCGCCTGCCACCTGGGTCACCACCTCCCCCCTAGGCTCCCTGCCTCCCTGCTCTCCTTGCCCACCCGTTCCTCACAGGGGGCCAGGATGAGCCCTTCAGTGCACATGGAACGGCACTGGGCTCAGCTTAACATTGCAACAACCGTCTCTATCCCCAGGAGGAGTCCCTGCCTTCTGAACTGCTCCTACTGCTCTACCCCTGTCTCAGGACTCTTTTCCCCACTCAGAGGATATCACACAAAATCCTCTCAGTCCCTCTCAGGGGCCACCATGATCCTAGTTCCCAGGCCTTGGCACCAGCTGTGACGTGGATCTGACTCTAACGCTGTCACCAAGCTAACACCTTCCCACCTTGGGTCCCAGCTGTCCTGTGGGTACCCGGCAGGCTGGCTCAAGCATGCTGCCCGGTCCTGGCCCGGCCCCAGGACCTCCTGCCACACACACACACACACACACACACACACACACACACACACACACACACACCTCTTTGCCTGATGGCTGGTTCGCAGCCTGTCTCCCCATGCCCGGAAGTCCCAGTATAATAAGAACTTTCTCTCTGCCATGATCAGGTTCACTCCAGTGAACTCCAGTCATGACCTTGAGATCATGACCTGAGCCGAAATCCAGAGCCGGAAGCTTAACCCACTGAGCCACCCGGACTCCTCTTAAATAGTCTTTTTAAAAAGAGTAACACACTAAACATGAAGCCACGAGGTACGGGATGAAGTATAGAGCATCTGCGTTGAGTTTACCAATACAGCAATAATATATCCATACAACGGAATGCTCTTTGGGCGTAAAGGAAATTAGACAGGGGTGGGACAACCCTGTAAATAGACTAAAAATCATTACGCTGTATACTTCAAGCAGGTGAACTTTGAGGCATGTAAACTACATCTCAGTAAAGCTGTGAATGAAGAATACATTCCAGTGGGGGGAAGGCAAGGGGTGCGCGGGGTGCAGAGGAGCCAGACTGGCCAGGAGTTAATACTAGGCTGCAACAGGGCAATGGACACGCGGGAGCTCCTTATGCTCTTCTTTCTCTTTGTGTGTATCCAATCTTACATATTAGGTATTTGGTGAGTGGATGAATTAATATTTCATGGCATTTCAAACCACGCATACACACACACACACACACACGCACACACACACGATCTTTCCAGGGTTCCCAGGCAAAACAGAAAGCCACACATGGGTCAGTGGATCACTGCCTCGAAGGCTTCCACCCCACATGCCTCTCAGGCACATGCCCGGCACGTCCCTGGCCGTCGGCTTCCACCCCACATCACACCTGTCCTGACATGTTACTGGGTGGAGGGCAGGTTACGTGAGGCTTTAGGTTCCTGGATTTCCAGTGGAGGACACTCTGGAGGCTCCACCAATGAGACTTTACCCAGCACAACCCTGAAGGTCCCCGCCGTCACTCACCGGTCAGGCCCACGGTGGACACGGGGCCCACGCGCCGCCCCCTGTCCAGGCCATACAGGTGCATCTTGTACTTGCGTCCCGGCTCCAGACCCCCAACGGTCACCTCACTCTCGTCGCCCGGGACACGTACCACCTGGGGCCGCCCATCCCTGTCCTTGTACTGGACAGTGAAGGAGTCAAAGTGGCCCTGGGGGACGGTCCAGGAGAGGCTCAGGGAGTCTGGGGAGGATCCCGTCACCGTCAGCTCCCCCAGGAGGGGCTCCTTGGGGGGCTCTGGGGCCTCTGTGCTGGGTTCTGTGGGGCTGGAGGTCTCCTCTATCTCGGTGGGGGTTGGCATCTCTTCTTCTGCAGCTGAGAAAGAGACACATGGAGAGGGTGAGGCAGGGTCCCCGGGAGACGTCCTCAGGTCTTAGGAGAAGGATGGAGAAGCTGTGACCGGGTCTGGGGGCTCCCGATTCAGTTCAGTGAAGCCCATTCTCGGGGCTGGGTGGGCTTGCTCAGCCCACATCTCACAAACATGCTGGGAGCCTCCAGGGTCAGCCATGGGGAAGCCTGTCCAGCCACCAGCACAGCTCACGGAGGCCCGCCCTTCTCCGCATGGGAGGACCCCCTTGGTCTTCAGGGAGCCCCAGAGGGGGAGCACCTTGAGCAGAAGGGCCTCCTGCACCCCACTCACCCATTACCTGAGAGAGGGGGGTCCTGCCACTGGCCCAACCCTGAGGCTTCCACTGGCTACTCACCTGTCACCCCAATGGCAGAGATGGGGCCCATGCGCTGGCCACCGTGGAAGCCATACAGGTTCATCTTGTACTTGTGGTCTGGCTCCAGGCCTGAGATGGTGACCCCGTCTTCATGCCCTGGCACCCTCACCGCCTTGGGCTGCCCATCCCCATTCTTGTACTGGACCAGGAAGTGGTCAAACTGGCCCTCGGGGATGGTCCAGGACAGGTGCAGGGAGTTGGGGGTAGCTTTGGTCACTGCCAGCTCCCCCAGGTGTGGCTTGATGGAAGGCTTGGGAGTCGTGGTGGGTGGGTCTGTGGGGGCTGGTATTTCATGGTCCTTTCCTGGAGCTGGATGAGGATACAAAGAGAATTTCTGGATGTGCTTCATGGGCCTCCTTCTAATAAAAGATGTTTAGATGTCTCCCAGACACACCAAGGCCCTCCAGCCTGGATGCCAGCTTCCCAGGGTTAAGACGTCATTTCCCTGGTTTGAATGTTCAGTTACCAAGGAACGGACCACGCTCTTGTGGTGCCATCATGATGGGAGGCCGGGACTGCCATGATGCTCAATACATGCATTCATGCACTGAGCCCTTGGGAGCCACAGAGCAAATCTGCATAGAGAGACAGAGCTAAGGGTTTCTAACACCACCAAGCATACCAGGCAAGTCACATCAGGAGGTACATCTATTCCGGTTTGGATAGTCTACTTTGTGAATATTTTCCTTTAATACCTCCTTGTGTTTAGAAGGCTTATTTTTTAGAGACAAATTTAGCTTTTACAGTTGAGGCCAAAGAGATGAGACACAGGAGATCAACTCTGCACCTGGGTGGTTTGGGGCTTTTATTTGCTCTCTCCGTAATTTATGGCATGGATGACTTCTCACACCCCAGGTCTCTTTCAGGTTTTCTGTTCTGCTTAGGGTTTCATTCTTCCTTCATAGCTGAATTATGAAATCATTTTGTTTCCTATCTGCTCTGTTTGGGAAGCAGGTCTTAAGCATCAGGGGGTAATAGCTCCAAAAGAACTTAACAAAAGCAATGAACAGCCCTGTTAGCATGTAATGAATGAAGAGAAGGTGCCTTAGGAAGTTGCAGATACAACGAATACTAACTAGCTGTTGAAGTAACAGCATCCATGGTAGCAGGATTCAGTGTTCATTTAGCATAAATAAGGATCAGTTTGGGAGTTGAAGAACACATACAATTTTACCCATTGAAATCAATAATTATGAGAATTCATCCTAAGAGTTCAGAAATTAATTTTCTTCCTCTTCCTTCTTTACAGATGAAGAAAGGGACGCACAGAGAGGTTGAGTAACTCTCCTGGGGTCATACAGCTCAAATGGGCTGAGGCTAGGGTTAACCCCAGGTCTGTCTGAGTCTGTTACTTCTCTGGTTCCCTGCCTCTTCAAGGACCAAAAAGCCTGTGTGTGTGGTCACCTGACTGGCTAGAACACGTGGCTCTTGGTCTTGGGGTTGTGAGTTCCAGGCCCATGTTGGGAATAGAGATTTAAAAAAAAAAAAAAAGAAAAGAAAAAGAAAGCCTGTGTGTAAAAGGTAAGATGGCTGGGGCAACACTGAAGGCTTGGGATAGACATAAGCAGAACTGTTCTCAGGAACTCGGGAGGCTCAGTCTCAGGGACAGTGGGGCAAAAACACCTGAATGTCATGTCAGTAACATGAAAGAGAAACTGAGTCCAGCTGGAGCAGGGCTCAGTGTCCTACTGCATACTCACCAGTTAAACCAACAGCTGAGACAGGGCCCACACGCTGGCTGTGGTGGAAGCCATACAGGTTCATCTTGTACTTGTGGCCTGGCTCCAGGCCTGAGATGGTGACTCTGTCCTCATGCCCGGGCACCCTCACTGCCTTGGGCTGCCCATCCCCATTCTTGTACTGGATCAGGAAGTGGTCAAACTGGCCCTTGGGGACAGTCCAGGACAGGTGCAGGGAGTCAGGGGTGGTGTCCATCACGGTCAGCTCTCCCAGGTGCGGCTTCAGAAGGGTGCTGGTAAGGGGCTCCCCTTCAGGGTCTGGGGATAGAGGCAAACAGAACTTTTCCTATTGCTGGAAGAAGTAGTTGAGGCCTTGGCTCTCCTGGATTCAGGCCAGAAGGTGGGCCAGCTCTGTAGACCTAACTTATGATCCATTTCTGCTTATCATCAACGTTTTTTTGTGGCCTCCTCAGGTCTGTCAAACTTACCAGGCAGCCTCCTGCCTCAGGGCCTTTGCACTGATTATTCCCTTTGCATGAATGTTCTGACCCTGGATGCCTGCATGGCTCATGTACACACTTCTTTAAGTTCATTGTTCAAATGTCATCTCTTCAGGGCCAATCTTGACCACCCTATTTAAAATTCATTTCTCCCAACGTAAATGTATTCTCCTTTTTTTGGACCTGACCCCAGCAACAGATTGCAAAACAACACTTAAAAGACAATCAGGAAACTAACATTACCTACATACTTAACGACACTAATGAATGATTGTTCTTTAAAAAAAAAAAAAATTGATCCTGGGTTTCCAGATTCAGGCCCTGGGCTGGAGGCAGGTGCTAAATCGCTGCGCCACCCAGGGATCCCTGATTGTTCATTTTTAAAGGCAAAATAGGGCAGCCTGGGGGGCTCATGGGTTTAGCACCACCTTCAGCCCAGGGTGTAGTCCTGGAGACCGGGGATTGAGTCCCAAATTGGGCCCCCTGGATGGAGCCTGCTTCTCCCTCTGCCTGTGTCTCTGCCTCTCTCTCTCTCTCTCTCTCTCTCTCTGTGTGTGTGTCTCTCATAAATAAATAAATAATATCTTTTAAAAAAAGGAATGCCTGGGTGGCTCAGCCGTTGAGCATCTGCCTTGGGCCCAGATTTTTAGACTAAAAATCATTACGCTGTATACTTCAAGCAGGTGAACTTTGAGGCATGTAAACTACATCTCAGTAAAGCTGTGAATGAAGAATACATTCCAGTGGGGGGAAGGCAAGGGGTGCGCGGGGTGCAGAGGAGCCAGACTGGCCAGGAGTTAATACTAGGCTGCAACAGGGCAATGGACACGCGGGAGCTCCTTATGCTCTTCTTTCTCTTTGTGTGTATCCAATCTTACATATTAGGTATTTGGTGAGTGGATGAATTAATATTTCATGGCATTTCAAACCACGCATACACACACACACACACACACACACACACACACACACACGATCTTTCCAGGGTTCCCAGGCAAAACAGAAAGCCACACATGGGTCAGTGGATCACTGCCTCGAAGGCTTCCACCCCACATGCCTCTCAGGCACATGCCCGGCACGTCCCTGGCCGTCGGCTTCCACCCCACATCACACCTGTCCTGACATGTTACTGGGTGGAGGGCAGGTTACGTGAGGCTTTAGGTTCCTGGATTTCCAGTGGAGGACACTCTGGAGGCTCCACCAATGAGACTTTACCCAGCACAACCCTGAAGGTCCCCGCCGTCACTCACCGGTCAGGCCCACGGTGGACACGGGGCCCACGCGCCGCCCCCTGTCCAGGCCATACAGGTGCATCTTGTACTTGCGTCCCGGCTCCAGACCCCCAACGGTCACCTCACTCTCGTCGCCCGGGACACGTACCACCTGGGGCCGCCCATCCCTGTCCTTGTACTGGACAGTGAAGGAGTCAAAGTGGCCCTGGGGGACGGTCCAGGAGAGGCTCAGGGAGTCTGGGGAGGATCCCGTCACCGTCAGCTCCCCCAGGAGGGGCTCCTTGGGGGGCTCTGGGGCCTCTGTGCTGGGTTCTGTGGGGCTGGGGGTCTCCTCTACCTCGGTGGGGGTTGGCATCTCTTCTTCTGCAGCTGAGAAAGAGACACATGGAGAGGGTGTGGCAGGGTCCCCGGGAGACGTCCTCAGGTCTTAGGAGAAGGATGGAGAAGCTGTGACCGGGTCTGGGGGCTCCCGATTCAGTTCAGTGAAACCCATTCTCGGGGCTGGGTGGGCTTGCTCAGCCCACATCTCACAAACATGCTGGGAGCCTCCAGGGTCAGCCATGGGGAAGCCTGTCCAGCCACCAGCACAGCTCACGGAGGCCCGCCCTTCTCCGCATGGGAGGACCCCCTTGGTCTTCAGGGAGCCCCAGAGGGGGAGCACCTTGAGCAGAAGGGCCTCCTGCACCCCACTCACCCATTACCTGAGAGAGGGGGGTCCTGCCACTGGCCCAACCCTGAGGCTTCCACTGGCTACTCACCTGTCACCCCAATGGCAGAGATGGGGCCCATGCGCTGGCCACCGTGGAAGCCATACAGGTTCATCTTGTACTTGTGGTCTGGCTCCAGGCCTGAGATGGTGACCCCGTCTTCATGCCCTGGCACCCTCACCGCCTTGGGCTGCCCATCCCCATTCTTGTACTGGACCAGGAAGTGGTCAAACTGGCCCTCGGGGATGGTCCAGGACAGGTGCAGGGAGTTGGGGGTAGCTTTGGTCACTGCCAGCTCCCCCAGGTGTGGCTTGATGGGAGGCTCTGAAGGTTCATCCTCCTCTTCCCTTGGGACTGAACACAGACAGGAGAGAGAGAGAGTAGGACGTGAGAGAGAGAGGCCAGGCCACCATGGGGACTTTGCTCTCCTCCAGGCTCTATAGCCATTTGGAAGGAAGCAGATAGAGTGAAGTTCTCCTCACTCACCTGTCAGGGCTTCGATGTGGGCAGGACCCACTCGCTGCTGGCCATGGAAACCATACAGGTTCACTAGGTATCTGTGGTCAGATTCCAGGCCAGAGAGGATGATGTCATTCCGGTCACCATCTAACCTGACTACTTGGAGTTGCCTATCTTCGTCTGTGTACTCGACTTCAAAGGAGTCAAATTCGCCCTCCATCACAGTCCAGGAGAGATGCAACGTGTCTGGCGTGGCTTCCTCCACAGTCACCTCCCCTAAGCGAGGCTCAGGCCTTCGAGGACTTAGGGCCTCGGCTTTCATAGGTTCTCTGGGCACTGTACAGAGAGACAGGTAGGGATGGGTGACTGGGCTGCTGCTACAAGACTCTCTAAGGAGAGGGAAGGAGGGGAGTAGGTGAAGGCTAGAGGTCAGTAATAAAAATGACCAACTATGGAACAGGGGGATGAATTCCCAAAGAATTATGTTAGAAACCCAGTGCAGAGTGCTTACTGTATGATTCTGTTAAATGAGAGGCTTACAAAGGCAAAACCATAAGGAGAGAAAGCAGTTAGTGCCTGACAGAGGCTGGGATTTGGGGAACTGATTGCAAAGGGGCAAATGGGTCCTGGGGTCGCTGGAAATGTTTTATATTTCAACTGTGGTAATGGTTTCATGACTTATACATCTACCAAAACTCACTGTTCACATAAAATTTTATGTGAATTATGCCTCAATAGGGCTATCGCTTCCCCTAAAAGAAGGGAAATAGGAAGCTCAGAAATCCCCTGGCTCGGTCAGACCAGGAGAGCTGACACCAGAAGGAGGGACGGCACATTCTGGTCACAGCCTCACTCACCAGTCAAGGCGATGGTAGAGATGGGACCCACACGTTTCCCTTGGTGTAGCCCGTAGAGAAGCAGCTTATACCTGCGGGCCGGATCCAGGCCCGAGATGCTAACCTCCCTGAGGCTGCCCTCCACAGGCACCACCTGGGGCTGCCCATCCTTGTCCTTGTACTGGACCACAAAGGAGTCAAAGTGGCCCTCAGGGACTGTCCATGCGAGGCTCACAGAGTCTGCTGTCATGCTGGTCACCTGTAGCTCCTTCCCAAGATGGGGCTTTGGGGGATGCTTTGTTCTAGCATCATCCACATCACTCCAGGGCTCTGAGATAGATACAGAGATGAAGCGGCTAAGCTGTTTCTGGTAGCTTGGGTGACCTGAAAGGGCAAGACTGAGAGGTCTGGGGACAGGGCTTTGCCATGGCTGAGTCCTACAGGGCTAGTACTATGTGAGGAGAATAACTACTGCGATGGCAGCCATCTGCCTCCCTGGCCTGGCTGTGAGCTGCCACCTTCCCCAGGGGAGCCCCAGGAGCAGAGGCTGGCCCTGCCAGAGACACCCTCACCTGTGGTGCCCTCGGCAGTGAGGGGGCTATGGCGGCTCTTGCCCAGGAGCCCATAAAGGAGGAATCTGTACTTGCGGCCAGCATCCAGAGGGGTAATTGTGACCGAGCGCTTGTGGCCCTCCACGGGCACCACCCGGGGCCCATCCCTGTCCTTGAACTGGACCACAAAGGAGTCAAAGTGGCCCTCAGGGACTGTCCAGGAGAGGCGCAGCGAGTCCTGGGTGGGATCTGTCACCCACAGCTCCCCGAGCTGGGGTGTGGCCCCGAGGCTGGCGTCACCTTGGGAAGCTGACAGAGAGAAAAGATTCTTGTGTTTATTTTTTTTCCAGAATGACTATTTGACTGCTTCCCACTAGAGTTGGAAAAACCCAGGGCTGTCCAAATGATCAGCACTTCCCCAAAATATTTCCATCATCCTCCCATCTCTGTCACCATCCCCAGCCGGCCCATGCCTCCCTCCACTTGGCCAATGTGACATCTCTGGGGGAAAAAAAAGAACCCCTAGCTTCCTGCATCTTATTTCTCCTGCTGTCCAGGCTCTTTTCCTAGCAGGGTGCAGCTTGGATTACTTATTTTCTTTTACCAAGGAGCCTACCCTTTATGATCTGACTGACCCTTGGGGACATCAGAAGGTGCACAGGATACCTGATGAGTGTAGACAGCAGATGGGAAAGCAGGGTATTGTGACGGAGGTGGCCCTCATGGGACCTGGTGGAGGAGTGGGGGCTGCCTACTTGGTGCGGGGAAGAACGGGAGTTCACATGGAGAAAGGATCTGGTGTCTGCCCTAAAGCCATCCTGAGGCCTGGGAAGGAGCTGGCCTGCTGCCTTCTTGGCCAGGGAGGATGCTGACAGCATTGTTATTGCTAGAGTTTTCTGGCATCAGGGAACCCCCAGGGGCAGGGGAAGGCCTGGACTGAAACCCAGAAAAGGGGCACAGCTGCACTGGGCCCGACGGGGCCTGGCTGGGCAGTCAGCCCTGGGCTCCTCTGCTTCCCAGTTTCCGAGCCTCCGGGAAGAGGGCACAGGAGGAACAGGGCCCTCTGGGGGAAGCAGACAGGGGACCTGACAGGCCTGAGACGGTAGAATGAGAAGGTCATGACCCAAAACTCCCAGGAGGTGAGGGCTGTGTAAGGCTGAGGGCTGCGAGGCCCAGGCAGATGGAAAGGGCCCCTGGCTCCCTGTACTCCCACACCCCAGTCTCCCATGTCCCACCTTCCAGGAAGGGTCCTAAAGAGGCTTCCCCCATTCAACAGGAGTAGAAATGAGAAGAGAGAAAAAGTCAGTGGGGGAAGCAGACCCAGGGACTGGCCTCATCTTTCACTAGCCTTGAATTGGGGCAGGCAGTGTGGCTTTCCAAACGAAACGGAAGAGATGGACAAAGGGAAGCCTTTGTCCTGGGGACAAAGGAAGGGGAAGCCTGGGAAAGGGATGCCTGGCAGGGAAGCCTGGCAGAAAGAAAAAGATCAGGCGGTGTGAAGAAAGGTGGGAAGGCTGCTGGGGGCCGGGGCGGGTCTCACCTGTCTTTGCCTCCACAGAGACTGGACTGCGTCTCTTCCCATTCTGAAGCCCGTAGAGCAGGAATCTGTACTTCCTGCTGGGTTCCAGGCCAGGGACGGTGACCTCACGCTGGTCTGCGGCCACAGGCACCCCCCGGGGCTGTCCATCTCTGTCCTTGTACTGGACCACGAAGGAGTCGAATTCACCCTCGGGGACTGTCCACGAGAGGCTAACAGAGTCCAGGGTCACGTCTGTCACTGTCAGCTCCCCCAGCTGTGGCTCTTGGAGGGACTCTGTGGCTGGGGCTGGTGGGAGGGGAGCTAGGATCCAGGAAAACAGAACATAGCTGAGATCTCGGGCAGAAGAATTCCCCCACCCCAAGGGCTCCTGGCCTCAAGGAGGCCTTGAGCTAAGATGAGACACAGGCACATCTACTTTTTCTCTGACCTCTAACTGAAATGTAGCATTTCCTTCAATGATGAATACAGGCAGCCAGTCACTGTGATGCCAGCAGTACTTGTGACATCAATGGATGTTTTCATGTCACCTTAGAATGACTGCAAAAACTTCAAAATACCATTTATACTCATCCTGCTTCTAAATGTGGGGAGGTTATGCCACTAGTCTCATTATTTAACGGATAATGAAGAAGTTCCTGTATTACTAAATCATAAATTTGAATTAAAAATATTTTAGCAGGAGGCGCCCAGGTGGCTCAGTCCATTAAGAGTCTGCCTTCAGCTAAGGTCATGATCTCAGCCACTCCTGGGATCGTGCGCCCCGAGTCAAGTCCAGTCAAGTCCGGCTCCCTGCTCAGTGGGGAGTCTGCTTCTCTCTCTCCCTCTGCCTGCCGCTCCCCCTGCTTGTGCTCTCTCTGTCTCTAGGTCAAATAAATAAAATCTCTAAAATCTCAAAAAAAATAAAATATTTTGATAATTGAATATCAATATAATTGATTTCCTCTCTAACCCTATGCATTCATGTTGTAGATTTTATTTTATTTTTATTTTTTTTTAATTTATTTATTTATGATAGTCACACACAGAGAGAGAGAGAGGCAGAGACACAGGCAGAGGGAGAAGCAGGCTCCATGCACCGGGAGCCCGACATGGGATTCGATCCCGGGTCTCCAGGATCGCGCCCTGGGCCAAAGGCAGGCGCCAAACCGCTGCGCCACCCAGGGATCCCCTATGTTGTAGATTTTAAAGCACTGCCCTGAGAGGAGTCCATGGGTTTCATCAGCCACCATGGCAGGAAAATAATGGCAACCTGTGCCCATGAAGCCAAGAGCAAGGGTCATTTCCAGCAGAAAGGCAGACTATAACCCCAGGGCACTGAGGGCCTCTGAGAAGAGACTCAAGGGATGCCTGTACTGTAAGCCCAAATGAAAAAGCACATCAGGAGAAGTCCAAGTCACAGCAGGGTTTTGAGAGAAACAAAGAAAACAGCTGTGGACAGTCAGGGGAGACAGAGTCTGCCAGAGGATTTAGGTCAGCTGGAAGCAGGACATTCCTGCCTGGGGAGAGGGCAGTATGGAGGGGCACTGGAGGGTAGGGCAGGTTCTAGCCTGGGGAGAAGCCAAGGGGTCAGGGAACAGACAGTGCCTGTGACCTCAGTGAGGACCCATGAAGGCCACCCAGGAGGGGTGCGGGAGGGCTTGTGGGGTGGGGGGATTCTGGGTGACCTGAGAACTGCCTCACCCCTGCTCACTCACCAGTCACAGCTACCACAGAGAGGGGGCCCATGCGCTGCCCATCATGGAGCCCGTAGAAATTCATCTTGTATTTGTGGGCAGGGTGCAGGCCAGGGATGGTGACCTTGCGCTGGTCTGCGGCCACAGGCACCACCTGGGGCTGCCCGTCCCTGTCCTTGTACTGGACCACGAAGGAGTCAAATTGGCCTTCAGGGACTGTCCATTCGAGGCCCATGGAGCTGGGCATCACATCTGTCACTGTCAGCTCTCCCAGGCGTGGCTCCAGAGGGGGCTCTGTGGCTGGAGTCTCTTCCAGTTGTGGAGCTGAGACAGACGGTGGAAGGTGGTGGAAGGCCGTGAGGAAAAGCTCCTTTTTCCCTCATTAGTAACTACATCTGTTGTTTTTGTGTGCCCACGAGGTGGCTCTGAGGTAAAACTACACTGATTGGCAACATCTGTCTGGCCACAACCCCTCCCTAAGTCCCCGTCAGGATCTGGGGCTGTGCTGGGGTTGAGGAGGGGCATCCATGGTCACTGAGACCCTGGGAGAGCTGCTGACCCTCCAGCTGTATGTCAGTGGCTCCAAGTCCCTCCCTCGGGCCCCGGAGACTCGTGTTTGCCTGGTGTTTTCCTCGGGTGCCTGCTGTGTCTCAAACTCATGAAGTCCACAACCAAGTTCCCCTAGGGACACCCCCCCACACCTACACCGTCACAGCCTCCCCACCTCAGTGAAGCCACCACTTCATTCTGGGCATCTCCCATGAGTCCCCTCCCAACCTACAACTTGCCTGGGAGTAAGTTCTGTCAGCAAGACCTTCAGAAGCTGAACCCCTCCTAACTCCACGCCACTGCCGCCATCTCCAAGCACCGTGGCTCTTACTGGATGACAAGGGTCTCCTAAACCCTCTCCCTCCACCACCCTCACCCCCCCTCCACCGTTAAGACATGAGTCAGAGCCTGTTCCTGCAATGACTTCCATCTCACTGGGGCAAAAGCCAACTCCTTACATGGGGCTTTGATCATCTCTTACATATCATGCCCCAGCCATTCCAAACATTCCTGGCTTGTCTACAGATGGTCAGGGCCCCTTCCTCTGCCTGGGGTATTCTTCCCAAAGTGCCTTCTCCTTTCCCTCCTTCAGGTCTTCCTTCAGAGAGGCCCTTTCCATCCTCCTTCCCACCATTCACTATCTCACCTGTTGGACTTTGCTTTCCTCCAGGTCTCATCACAGTCATATACAGTACCACAGAGAGATGTGTAGAGTTTGCTGTCTCTTTCCCTCTGCTAGAATGTGAGCTCCACAGGGAGGGGCTTTGCCTTGCTCAATGCTGTGTGCCCAGCACCCAGTGGGTGCTTCACAAATGTTTGTTAAATGAACGAGTGGTCTCGGCTGGGAAAGGCCCAGTTCAGGTCCTGGCGGGCACCACACCCCAGAATCAGCTGAGCCTGAGAGGTACTCCTCAATAATGACCAAAGCTGGAAGGTGGTCCCAAGAAATAAAACAGTGGAGGAGGTAGCTGGGTGGGTGGGCTCCCAAGAGCTGTTTGGTTTCTGTGGGAGGATAAAGACTAGGCTCTAGAGAGATAAAAACCTGTTTTAAAAATGTGCTGTTTTGGAGGCCTCTGAAAGACACAAATGAGTCTGAGTGGGGAGGGCAGGGACGGAGGGGGAGTAAGAGTGGCTAACATGTACAGAGCACCTGCTAGGTACCAGGTAGCAGGCCTGATGGTGTTTCATGCTCCTTCTAGCTCTGATAACTCCTATAGCATCTACTTCCTGCTCACTTTTGCACTCTCCGTACTTCTTCCTATGAAGGAGAATAACTGTCACTCTGCCATCAAATAAGCCTTCTTGTTGTGCCTTGGCTTTACTGGAAAAGGTGGAATTATAACCACCCACGAGCACAGCTGTCCCCATGCAGCACTTGACACAATGTTTTTCTAATTTAGAAATGTTTCCAAAAAAAAAAAAAAGAAATGTTTCTAATAGGCCATATACACCTCTTCTGGCAATGGTACAGCATGTGCCACATGGTACCTTGGGCAGCTCAGCAAGTTCCAGCTACCCATCACCTTCCTGCTCTGATAATGAACATCATGCTTGATCACAAAGCCAAGAACCAAGAAAGCCATAAGCAGAACTCTGTCAAATTCCCAAACTTAATTTTCCTTTTACCGCACTGCCTTAGCCAGCTCAGTCAGTGCCCAACACAGTCTCTTCTTACCCAGGGACCAGGGACAGAGACTCAAAGAGCCCAGTGTGGCTGCCTGGGACAGACAGCAGATGGAGGGTCACTTAAGAGAAACCTTAGCAGCATGTCTGGGCTGGGCACGAGCCTCTACCCTGCTACTTTAGGCCTGCAGGACAGTAACTGGGGTGGCTTTCCCTCTCCCTACTCTCAGTGCTAACTGAAGAACAAAAAGAAATTAGGAGTAGAAGGTTCTGGAAACTAAGCCAGCCAGGTCACTGTAAGGTTGGGCTGTGTGGGAGTAAAGGAACCAGGTTCTGAAAACCTGTTTCTCTGCTTTTAAGTTTTTAATCTTTCCCCCTATAGTAAAAGTTGGTTTTGAAAAAATAAGTGTCATTGTTTCAGTGAGTGAAGGGAAAAGAGACACCCCTTCTGAGAGGCCTGCCTCTGTTCTGGCCCCTGGCGCTGGGGCTCTGGAGAGAAGATGCCTAGCTAGGGTCCTCTGTGGTGCCAGACGGGATGTGCCCAAGAGAAGGGATGGGACAGATGTCCCTCTTTGCTATAAGGTCACTGACTGGATGAGTGGCACAGAAAGTTTCCAGCTACAGTGATGAAGAAGCCATGTCTCATGCACATCTGTCAGCTAAAGGGGACAGAGCAGACCCCAGGCTAAGGATAACTATAACCATCATTATGGCAATGCTGCTAGCATGTGCACTCTGTGCTCGACCCTTTCTTAGTGCTTTGTGTTGTCTGTTAACTCATTAACTTATTCACTCTTTGCTACAGCTCTGCAGGGCAGCTGTTCCTATCCTCCTCCTACACATGAGGAAAGAGAGACACAGAAAGGTTAAAAATCGCTTGAGGTCACAAAGCTGGTGATAGCCCACTCCCCAGTGAGCTGCTCTTCTGGGTCTTCCCCAAGCAGTGGGGGGCCTCAAGCGACCACCACAGCAAGGGAGAGCCATGGCCTGGGGAGGATAGGGGGCACTGGTGGGAGGAAAAGGAAATAGGCCCCACCCTCACTCACCGGTCAGGCCCACGGTGGACACGGGGCCCACGCGCCGCCTCCTGTCCAGGCCATACAGGTGCATCTTGTACTTGCGTCCCGGCTCCAGACCCCCAACGGTCACCTCACTCTCGTCGCCCGGGACATGCACCACCTGGGGCCGCCCGTCCCTGTCCTTGTACTGGACAGTGAAGGAGTCAAAGTGGCCCTGAGGGACGGTCCAGGAGAGGCTCAGGGAGTCTGGGGAGGATCCCGTCACTGTCAGCTCTCCCAGGAGGGGCTTCTCGGGGGGCTCTGGGGCCTCCGTGCTGGGTTCTGTAGGCGTGGGGGTCTCCTCCACCTCGGTGGCACTAGGAGTCTCCTCTACAACGTCCTGAGGGGCTGAGAGAAGAGATGGGGGATATGGGCTTACAGCGTGACTTGCTTTGTTGGTCATTCAGCAAATAAAGTCCTCAAGCTACAGGCTTTGGAGTTTGGGTAGCTTTTGCATTAGCCATTCAGTAGCTCATTGGAGAGAGTGGAGACAGACCCCTGACCCGTCAGGTACTGCTGGTAGAATGGTGCTGGCGGGTTCTGTTGGGGTGGGAGTCTCCTCTCATGTCTGAGAAAGGAGCTGAGATGGGAAGAGAGGAATCTCTGAGGAATTTCCTAGCGTGTCAGTGAAAGTGACAGTGCTGAGCTCTGGGGATTGAAGGACATTAAGGCCTCTTCCCATCTGCCTTCCTCCCTTTCAGCTCCAGCACCTCCCCAGGGATTTCCAGTGGCCCCCACCCCACCTACCAGGACACCAGACAGAATGTGCCCCGGCTGAGGCTTCCCTGGGCAACCCTGTGCCTCCTTTCAGACAAGAGTGGGAGAGAGATTTGAGGGTGGAGGGCTCAGGAGGGCCATGCTCTTCCTTGGCTGAGTCTAGAATCACCGCCCCGAGGGCACCTACCCACTTTCTGACAAGTAGGTCTCTGCTGAGGCTCCTTGGAGAAGGGAGCCTGGCTTCTGTGACCCACTCCCTGGTCCTTAGAGTACTACTCATGGGACAGGAGACTGAGGAAGGAGCAGGCAAGGATAGGCAAGGCAGGGAGATAAGGAGAAGAAAAGGATACTGGGAAGGAAGAGAGCTAGGGATGAGGAGCAGGTCACTCTTGAATAGCAGTTTGGTGTGCGGGGTACTGCTCTAAGCACATAGGTTTGTACACTGACTGTTCATTATCCTCACTGGACAGATGAGGAAGCCGAGATACAGAGAGGTTCATAATTCACACAAGGTCCCACAGGTAGTACATTGTAGAGCTAGGATTAAAGTCTAGGCACTTGGGTCCAGAGTCTGTGCTCCAACCACAAGGCTACACAACCACAGAAATGGTGCTGACCAGGGAGAGGGTGGACAGGCGGAGAAGTGCAGAGTTGTGGGGGAATGAAAGGAAGGCCTTTGCCCCATTCCCAGTTGCTTGGGAGTCACGGATGTGGGGTCTAGAATGAGGCCTTTTCATGCCAGAAAGAAGCTGGGGAAATGAGGGACTCTTGTGCCTTGGAGCTGTGAGCTCTGAGCAGAGCAGCAGTGGTGGGAGGGTGCGGGCAGTTGCCAGTGGGAGCTCAGAAATGACAGCAGCCCCAGCCAGGCCAGCGTAGGGGAAGGAACACAGTGGCTGAGGATATCTGTGGGCAGGGCAGCCTGGGGTGGAGGTGTTCCAGGTGTTCAGAGTGGGGAAAATGAGACCTGTTTTTGGAGATGGAGAAACAGGGCCCAGAAAAAGGTCAGGGGCTGGTGGCTGGATGAGAAGTCCTGGGATGTGGGGAAGTAGAGGGTAGAGGCTTGGCAGACATGCAGCCCAGAAAGAGAAGGCGGAGGGAGGTACAAAGGAGCCCCGGAGCAGGTCCTGCTCAGAAGACAGGGCTGGTGGAGGGAGGCCTGAGCAACCCTGACTTACCTGTGGTGGCCACCACAGACACAGGCCCCACACGCTGCCTGCCATGAAGCCCATAGAGGTTCATCTTATACTTCCGGTGGGACTCCAAGCCAGGGATGGTGACCTCATTCTCATCCCCCCTGACAGGCACTGCCTGGGGCTGCCCCTGTGCATCCTTGTACTGGACCACAAAGGAGTCGAAGGAGCCCTGGGTCACTGTCCAGGACAGGCGCAGGGAGTCTGGGGTTGCATCAGTCACCATCAGCTCCCCCAGCAGGGGCTGCGCTGGGGACTCTGGGTAGAGGGATTCCTCTCTCTTCTCCGATGCTGTAAATAAGAGGATCCAGTGAGGGCTGCACTGGCAGCCCCAGATTGGGGCTTGGGGTTTGGATGGGCTGCCATATCTGAGTGGGGAGGGAGTCGCTATTCAGTCAGCATCCATTGGGAGTGCTGAACTCCTGGGAAGTCTGGCACAGCCAGGGTATGACACATCCTCTGGGCCTTGGGGAGCAGCTGAATGGGATGGAAGGGACCCAGCAGTACGGGGACGCTGGCTTCCCCTCAGCCTGGGAGTGGGGCCAGGCATCCAAGTCAGCCATCACACTGGGAAGCCCCAGCTGGTTCCTAGCTGAGGGCAAGTGTGGGGAAGACTGGGAGGGGTCACAGGGAGACTTAGGTAGTTGCCACTTACTAGTGGTGCCATCAGCTGTGAGGGGGCCATGCTGCTTCTTGTTGGCAATCCCGAACAGAGTGAATCTGTACTTGTGGTTAGGGTCCAGGGAGGAGACGATGACTGAGCGCTCAGGCCCCTCCACGGGCATCACCTGGGGCTGTCCATCCCCGTCCCTGTATCGTACTACGAAGGAGTCAAACTGGCCCTCGGGGACAGTCCAGGAGAGGTGCAGGGAGTCTGGTGTAGGATCTGTCACCCACAGCTTTCCGAGGCGGGGTGGAGTTGCTGGGCTGGGATCACTCGGCGGCACTGGGAAGAGGGGTGGGAAGAGAGGAGGAACACAGGTCAAAGGAGGGGGGGGGACTCTGTCTCCTACATATGGATGTTGTGTGAGGTGGTACAGGCTGTTCACTGCACAAAGGTACATGGCTGAGGGAGCACAGAGGTACTGAAATCCAGCCAGCCTCTGCTTGCCAAGCTGTGTGCCCTGGTGTAGAGCTGTGCTCACCTAAAGGAAGGGTGCCATGTTCTAGATGGCACAGAAGCACTGTACGGACTGGTGTGGCCCTGACTATCTGCAGCGTAGTGGACGGCTTCAGAGAGAAGGGAGCCCGGCCATCCCTTTCTGTGCCTCTACAGCCAAGGAAGTCTTCCAGGACAATCTCTACTGCTTCCAGGCTTAACTACCAGCTGGTTTTTCCTCCAAGAGAGGGATGCACCATTTTGGAGTACTTGAATGCGGGAGAGCCTCCCACCTCCTTCTCTCCCACCCTGCACCACCAACCCTTCCCTCCCTGCCACTGTGCCCTCAGCCTTTGCGGGAGCTCCTCTCCTTGGCTGCTAGCTCCCTCCAGCCTCCACCTCCCTGCTTGCTCTCTAGTCCTAGTCCAGCTTCCAGAAAGAGCCGTCTACACTGGTTGTAGCCATGTCCTCACCTCTATCTCCCTCTTAATCCAGCTCCACCCTCCACTGGCAGCTCTCACCAGGGTCAGTGGTGACCTGGCTATTGCTAAGTCCTGTGGACGCTCTACAGCCCTGAATCACTCTTATGGAATCTGATATGTCTAACCGCGCCCTTCATTTTGGCATCCAGGACACCACTGTCCCTGGCTGTGCCCCCGTCTGCCAGTCACTCCCTTGGGCTACTCTGCATGCTCCTCTTCCTCTGCCCGTGCTCTGAGTGTTGGCCACCATCTCTTCTCCACCAACACCCTCACCCTGGCTCCTGTCCCCCCATGCCCCCTTTCAGGCCTTCTCTCTGCTCTCCAGACCTGTGAGGGCAGCAGTGACAACCCCATGGCCCTGCCACTTCTGCTCAAGTGCCCTGTCCTTCTCTGTGCCTGGACTCTCCTCATCTATAAACAGGCATGCCTCACGGGGCTGCTGTAGGCAGTAAGTGTGTTGATACACTTAGAACATCTTGTTAACCTATGCTCCAAACAAGTTTATCTAAGTGTCCCATGCTGTGCTGTTCATCTCCTCCACTGTTCCTCGCCTCAGGGAACAGGACTGTCTGCTCTAGAAACATGGGACTGCCTGGGCCTCCTCATTGTCCTCCACCTCCCTCATCCAGCCTCACTGCCACCATCCTAGGCAGGCCAGTATCATTTCTTGTTGGCTCTTAACTCACTTCTCCAGCTAGCTTCTGCAACAGCCTCAGTGTTATTGGTAAGATAAATATTAAATCATGTCATTCCCAGTTAAAACCCTTCAGACCGCCCCTCCCCCCCAACCGCCCAGGGCCCTCAAATGAGCTCTAAGCTCCTCAGTCCTACACAGGCAAGCTCAGTCCCCTCAGCTGCCCTCATCTCCATCGTGAGGTAACAGATTCTCCTCCAGGGCCACACTGGCTCCTGCCTCTCCATGGCTCCCTCTGTTGGCACTGTCCTCCTCAACCTCTTTGCTGAACCCACCACTGTTTTCCCTTCTGCATTCATCTGAGGCCCCACTGCCTCCAGGAAGCCTTCCTGGTGTTCCCAAAGCACAGGGAAGACCCCCTTCAAGGTTGTGCAGGGGGAAGGGGCAGGGGTGTGTGTGACCATCTCACTCACAAATCTTGGCTTCAGCCACCAGAGGGCTGTGCCTCTTCTTGCCCAGGAGCCCATAGAGCAGGAATTTGTACTTGCGTCCCAGGTCCAGGTTGGTGATGAGGGCTGAGCGCTGGGACCCCTCCACAGGCACCACCTGGGGTCCGTTCCTGTCCTTGTACTGGATCACAAAGGAGTCGAACTCGCCCTCTGGGACTGTCCAGCGCAGGAGCAGGGAGCTAGAGGTCTGGTCAGTCACTGCTAGCTCACCCAGGCGTGGTGGGGCAGAAGGCTTCCCAGGCTTCGGCCCATCCCTGTCTGGAATGTGGAGGCGGAAGTTGAGCAGGTGGACTCAACCGTTACCTTTGTCCCTGGTCTCCTTCCCTCTCCTCAGCCCTCTGGGTCCCTCCTTCCTTGACAGCTCCCTCCCCCAGAGCCTCCACTTCCCCACCTCAAGCCTCTGTGGGCAGCCCTCCTCTGTTCTGGAGTGACAGCATTAGCCCTCCCCTTGTGCTAGTTTCCCCACCTCTCACAAAGGTCCCAGTCCCTCTCCACATCAAGACCACTGGGGGAGTTTCCAGTCATCCCTGGTTCTTCCGGAGTCAGAACCTCCTCCTTGCCACTCTGGAGCAGCTGAAGACTCCTCTGTCCACTTTTCTCTCCCTCTCCTCCCTCTCTTCTAGTGCTAAGCCTGACCTGGAGTGGCAGGGAGTATGCTACCCTAGTCATAAAGAGGGACCAGGAGGGAACATGAGAGCCAGGAAGTCCAGGCCCTGGGCTTCACTGATACCACAAACCTCACCTGTCTCTGAAGCCCTGATCGCTGTGGAGCTCCCTACCCTAAAGAACCTCCATCCCCAGCAGAAACTGGCTGCTGGGACCGTGGAGCACAGCCTACTACAGGCCAGGCTCCCAGAATGGGGGCTGCTGTTCTAGGCTGCCCCCTGAGGGGGTGGTGGGGGCTATGGGGAAGGGAAGGGAGAGAGGGGGCTAAGGGTCAGTATCATCAGGGCTGAGGCCTTCCCATGCCTACCCTCAGAGATCTGTAAGTGACCAGGAACTGGGGAGGACACAGGAAAAGAACACTGTAAGTGGAAAGCCAGAGCCTACAGCCCCTCTCTTGACTCCCAGGCCCACCCTCTGACTTTTCTCTTCCCATCTCCCCCCTGCGCCTCATCCTTATTCTGAGACTCCCTCCATTCCTCTTTCCCCTGAACCCTCAACTCCAACCTCCTCTCTCCTTGTTTGCTCTTACCACTCCAACCCAAACACCAGCCCAGCCCCACAATCCCCATGCCACCTCTAAAGCCCCAATGGCCCAGCCCCTCCCCATCCCCAGAACACTGATTGGAGCAGAGTTCAGGATATACCCATAATGCCTTGGTAGATGAGAGGGGCAGAGGGCTCGCCCTCCGGGGGGACCCCACGCAGTGACAGCTCATAGGGGACTCCAGGAGGGGGCGAGGGCACCAGAGCCTGGCGGACATCCCCGGGCAGGAGCTCCTCATGTGGCCCTGGCCCCTCAGGCACCCGGAGGTGCAGCTGGAAGTGGGCAAACGTGTCAGGCTGAGCAGTCCAGGCGACACGGAGCTTCCCCGTCTTGTCTCTGCCCAGCACCCTCAACTCTCCTAGCTCCTGGGGGCGCTGCTGCAGTTCAGGGGCCCGGGCCCCTTGCGTTGTTGAAGGGCCTGAGGGAAGAGGCTCATCAGTGGCCCCCAAGGGGCCTGAGGGAGAGGACCCTGGGAAAGGACAGGGTGAGAAAAACAGGAGAGTTGGGAATGAGAGCAAGAAAGGAAATCCAGCCCCCAGGTCCTGCCTTCTATCCTCTAAGAGCCCACAGAGCCTCCCTCTTCTGCTTCCAAGTCCACTCCCTGGGCTACTGCATCCTCCCAACACCCCTGTCCACCACATTCCTGAACAGACAGGCCTGCAGGCAATAAATGAAAGAAAGAAAGCGGACCATCCCTCCCCTCACAAGGCTCCTGTGGCCTCTAGCCCCCATAGACTTCCACGTCCCTCCCCAAGCACATATCCCTGCCCACGGGGTGGTGGTCGTAGCTTCCATTAGTGCTGCAGTGAGAAGCCTGGAAGAAAGGAGGGGATGTGGTGTTAGGGAAGGCAGATGCAAGGGGAGAGTGGGTAGTGAGGAGACAGGGAAAAGAGGGTGTGTGTGGGTACATCCAGCTCAGGTGGCATCTGGGCCCTAGGTGGGGAAGAACAGGTCCACATCCCTCCCCAGGGCAGCCCGAGAGCACCCCTTCCCTGAGCTTGGCATCATTCCTGTGGAAGAGATAAGCATGAAGTGAGCCAGGAGGTCTGGAAAGACAGCTCAAGAAGCAGTGGGTTCACCGCTCACAGACACAAGCTGCCTGATGACTTCAAGGCCAGCCCCACACTGTTCTGATGCGTCCCTTCGAGGTCCAGGCCAAATTGTGGAAAGCTCTAACCACTGACCACAGCCTCTGGCCACCCTCACCACAGTGAGTCAGAGTGGGGAAGTGATGGTTTCACTCTGGTGCCCCACTCCCACTGCTCCAGGGAGTTTCTGCAGGCCCGCCCCGGCGTTCCCAGGATGGCAATCCGGGCAAGTGTCCCAGGAACCCTGAAGACCAGGTCTGGCCCTGGGGATCCCCCCTGAGGCCCCTGGGGTGGAGATGGCTTCTAGGCGCCCAGTAGGGCATGCTCTGCTGTGGGGTCCCCTGGAGTCTGGGCCGGGCTTGAGGGCCCCGGGGTGGGGTGGGGTGGGGTGGTGGTCCGAGCAGCGAGGCGGCCAGAGGAACTCTCCGATGGGGACTGCAGCGTCGGGCGAGGCTGGGCAGGGGATGGGTGGTCCCGCGGCCCCAGCGCACGCTACCTGTGGTGGTGACGAGCGCGTAGGACTTGGAGGTCTGCCCTGCCCGCACCCCGTGGACCTCCACGTGGTAGGTGGCGCCGGGCGCGAGGTCGGGCAGGCTGACGGCGCGCGCGGTGCCGGGCACGGTCAGCTCCCCGCCGGGGCCCTCGGCCGGGGGCTGGGGCCGCCAGCGCAGCACCACGCGCTCGAAGTGGCCGCGGAGCCCGTCGAGGGACACGAGGAGCGCGCCGTCGGCGGAACTGCCCAGCACCTCGGGCTTGGGGTGGCGCGGCGCGGCCTGCGGGTCGACGCCCTCCGGCGAGAGGCCGTGGACGCCGGGCTCGGAGTCCCGCTTCCAGGCGGCGGGGGCGGGGCTCGCGGCGGCGGGGGCGGGGCTCGCGGCGGCGGGGGCGGGGCGCCGGGCCGGGGGGGCGGGGGAGCCGGCGGGGGCGGGGGAGCCGGCGGGGGCGGCGGCCGCCCGACGCCGCTGCAAGTACTCGTGGACGCGGCGCGCCACCGACGCGTAGGTCTGGTTGGCCCGCAGCGGGTAGCCGTGAGCTCTCAGGTGGCGCTCCAGGTCTCGCACGCTGCCGCGGAACCGGCCCAGCTCGCCCGTCAGGTTGGCCCACGGCCGCCGAGGGGGCTGCGGCGGGCTGGGCCCGGGCCGAGGCTCCTCCTCCCCCTCCTCCTCCTCCTCCTCCGCTGGCCGCGAGGGCCGAGCCGGGCGCGCGGGGCGCGGGGGCCGCGGGGCGGGAGCCGGCCGCGGACGGGGCTGGGGGGGCGGGGCTGGGGGGCGCACCTCCGGGTAACTGTAGCGGCCTGGTGCTGCCGGGGGCAAAAGAGGGGGGAGGGGAGAGCCGGTCAGCGGCAGCCCCCTCCCTCGCGCCCCTCCCTCGCGCCCCTCCCTCCGTCCCTCCCCCGGGCGCTGGAGGCCTCCGCCGGCGCCCCAGCCCCACCTGGAAAGAGAACCAGACCCAACAGTCAGTGTCCCAGGGGCCCCTCCCGCTCGCCCTCCAAGCCCGCCACTCCTGGTGCCCTAGAAAGGAAGAGAAGCCAGCGGCTGGGGCCCTGTGTCTGAAGGAGAGAAAGGGGAGGGGCAGGAGACAGTGTGAGCGTCCCTCCGTCCCTCCGTCACAGGAAAAGAAAATAAGTATCCATCTGTTTAGAGACCTTGAGGATTAGTGGGAAATTACTGCTCTGAGACCTAACTCCCTCCAACCCCAATCCTAAAGTCAACAGGAATGCGGATCTGCCTGATTCCAATCTTTGCAAGGGCCGGACCACTGTGAGCCCAGGGCTGTCCTCGTGCCTGTTTCAAGCAGAATCTGCCCCATCTAGGTGGGTCAGAGGGCGTCTCTCGCGGGGGCAGGTCCTCCCGGAGTCGCACCGCAGCCTCCCTAAAGGCCTCCAAGCACCCTAAGGCTCTGTCTCCCCACTGAGGCAGTTACAGAGCAAGTCCCCAGCAGGTGCTTTGGGACCACCATACAGCCTGCCAAGGTGCATTCAGAGGAGCCTGTGAATCCTAGATGGGGGCTCCCAAGGAAACGGCTGCTGCACAAAGAAACTGGGCTCTTCTCTGACCCCGGGCCAGCCGTACCTGTGTTGGCCCTGACAGAAGCCGGGTAGCTTACTGCCCGGCCCCGCTCTGCCGTGACGGTCACGACATATTCCACGCCTGGCATCAGGTCAGTTAGCAGCGTCCCATCTGCCTCAGGAGGCACTTCCAGCCGCACCCTCTGGTTGCCAGCACTGACATAGGACACCACGAATCGGTCCACCTCAGCCTGCGGTCGCAGCCAGCTGAGCTCCAGTGTGGTTGGTGTCACAGCCACCACTCGGAGGTCTTGTGGGCCATCGATCACTAGCCAGGTTAGAAGAGGGATCAGGTGGGAGTTTGGTCCTTCAGTCACCAGCTTTCCCTCTAAGAGGTCTGTCCCCACCCCACCCCTCTCTTCTGCCTTCCTGGGGCAGGAGGGGAATGGGGGTGGGTGAAAGATTCCCTGCCATTCCTCTCAAATCTAAATCTCTACCAGGACCCTGCCCACGGCCCCAGCTCTCACTGGTGGTGATGGTCTTGGAGGCAGGAGGGCCCCAGCTAGTCCCTCGAAGAGCACGGACTGTGACCTGGTACTCCTGACCGGGAGCCAGTCCTCTCTGGTCATAGGTTGAGGCAGAGCTGGGTACCCGAGCTGTGAATGGGGGGCTCACCCCCTCGGTCTGCAAGAAAGAGAGCACCAAGGGGATCAGGGCTGGCACTCTCACTGCTGCTGTTCAATCTCCCTTATCGCTTCTTTCTCCAGTTCCAGGCACAGTCAACATGGAACTGTGTGGAACTTGGTCCTGTACAGCTGGGGAACATGGGTGTTAGCCGCAAACACATCTAAAATGGGTAGTCTGTCCCAGGTGCTGTTCAAGGCAACTTACATATATGAACTCACTTAATCCTCCTAAGACCCTTATGAGGGAGGTCATGTTATTCCCATTGGACAGATGAAGAAACCGAAGTACAAAAGGATTATGTAGGGAAGCCCCAGTGGCGCAGCTGTTTGGCGCCGCCTGCAGCCCAAGGTGTGATCCTGGAGACCAGGGATCGAGTCCCACGTCGGGCTCCCTGCATGGAGCCTGCTTCTCCCTATGCCTGTGTCTCTGCCTCTCTCTGTGTCTCTCATGAATGAATAAATAAAATCTTTAAAAAATAAAAAATAAAAATAAAACAAAAGGATTATGTATCTTGCCCAAGGTCACCAACACCAAGAAAGTGGCGGGGAATCCAACCCAGGCAGTGTGACCTCACAGCCACCTCTCATGGGGCCTACCTTTTAAGCCGGTCCTCAGGTGTCTGCCAAAATCTACCCAACATACCCAGGATTCTCCCTCTGGCTTCCCCAGGCAACCCTGCCTACCTGGGTGCGAGGGAGCTTCTCCCAAGCTCACTCCTGTCATAAGAGAGGAAGTAACTGAGGGATGCACCTTTCAAACCTCACTTCCTCCTTACAGCATCTGCCCTGGCCCAAGCCTGCCCACAGACACCTGCTCCTGTTTGGGCAACATGGCTGTGACCCTTGTCATGATATTTCCCTGTAGGTGCTTCCCTTGTCTCCTGGGCAGGATTACAGGCTCCTCAAAAACAAAGCCTACCTGCTCTAAGTCTCACAAATATGATTCCCAATTTCATACCTGGCAGTATGCTGGGTATGATGAAAAGATGGCCTCCTGTCCTCAGCTCGTGTTCTAGTAGCTAAATGTATGGCCACATCTTAAGGTGGGTTGGATCCCTACCCAAATCTGTGTCATACATGCCTGTGAACAAACAACCTCACTCCAAGTACACCTGGAAGGTGTTATGAGTATCTGTGGTGACCCGACAGGAAATATGCCAGCTTCTGCTCCAGGCAGCGTCTCCTTGGAGGGCCAGCCACTGGGGAAACGGGAGGAATGGACATCTGTAAGCAGCCTAACTGCCCCAAAATTCACTGGGCTGTTGAGCTGGGGCAGCTAATAAGGACGCTCTGTTCTGGGGATCCCTGGGTGGTGCAGCGGTTTGGCGCCTGCCTTTGGCCCAGGGCGCGATCCTGGAGACCCAGGATCGAGTCCCACATCGGGCTCCCGGTGCATGGAGCCTGCTTCTCCCTCTGCCTGTGTCTCTGCCTCTCTCTCTCTCTCTGTGTGACTATCATAAATAATAAATAAAAATTTAAAAAAATGTATTAAAAAAAAAAGGACGCTTTGTTCTGCTTAGCTATGTTGGCTGTGATGGGGACACCTCCATTCGGCCAAGTAGGACTGGAAATTTCAAAGGGTACTCTCCTAAACCAAGAAAATTGTGGGGAAATCAACACAGTAAATACCAAAGTATAAAACTAGATGAGAGGCCATGTAGAGATTTCTGGGTTGAGGATGAAATGAAGCTTTGTCAGTTTTGTTGGCTGAAAAGTTTTTCTGGGCACACAGGACCCCTGTTCTTCTCCTACTCACCCTGCCCTAGGATACCCCAGCCTAGGAACCCTTGGGTGGGCGTCCACTGAAGGCCTGTAAAGTCCTCATCCTTGCCAGAACTTTCTCTCTCTTTGTTCCCCCAATCCAACACATATACACACCCTCAACCCCCAGTACACCCCCAGGCCACACAACCCCTGGGTGCTCCTTGAATATGTCTGGTCCTTTCAGTGAAACAAGCACATCTTGATTTCTCTTCTCCCTTCAGACCACCTACATGAGCCTTGTAGACACCTCTTAGTGCCTCCTAAGATCCACTGGGCATTAGTCCCCTTAAAGTCCCACTATCCGTCCAATGGACATCTCTCATCTGTCTGGTCTGAGGCAGGCTCTCTAGGCAGATGCTGGCTGCTAGGCTTCAGAATACACCTGGACAAAGAATGCCTGACCCTCCTCTTCCAGGGCTCACCTCTCTCAGTTACCTCTTGCTTCCTCTCACATTCAGAGAGGTACTGGCCTCTTGAGCAAAATGACAACATTCCTTAAGTTAGTGGTCCTCAGGCTTGGAATGTAGCAGAATCACCTGGAGTGCTTGTTACAATGCAGGTCACTCGGCTCCAGCCCCAGAGCTCCTAATTCAGTAGATCTGGGGCTGCAGTCTGACGTTCTGCCTGTGTACCAAGCTTCCAGTGATGTTCCTGCTGCAGGTCCAAGAAATATGCTTTGAGAACCACTGAGTCAGAGTACTGATGCCACGTATGCAGGAAGAAGGAGGAAAGTTCCTCTTCTGTGTTCTGAAGATCATTCCAGTGACTAGGTGTGTCCCTTTGCCAGGAACAGCAAATGGCTGGGCTTTGAGACAGAAGTGCTTCTGGAAAAGGGAAGGAGGTAAGGTGGAGATAGGCCTCTAAGAAGATGGCAGCACCAGAGGATAGCTGGCTACCAATACACTCTGTGCCAATAGAAATGGATAGAGAGCGCTGGCCAGGACAAGAGGCACCACTCCAGGGGCTAGCCACAGAAAGCTTAGAAAGCAATCAGGGGGCCAGTAGCACAGGCTAATGTGTAGTCCAAGAGAGGTGTCTGGGGACCAATTTCATAGGAGCATTTTCCACACCCAGGTTCAAAGAGATGAGCTGAACCAGCTTGACCCCACCTGGCCCCATGGTGAGGGGGGAAGCCTAGAGCTTCAGCTGGGAAGACGCACTTCTTGAAAACACCCAAGGATGGATTATTTACTAAGAGCAGAGAACAATGCTACCCTGCAAGCTCTTTCTATCTTGAGTGCTTATTTTAATTCTTTTTCCCTGAAGTTTCTTAGGACAGTTCCTTTTAAAAGTCCCATCCTCTCAAGATCAGAACTATGTCAATAATATACACATAGGAAAAGAGAGTGGGAAAAACACTTAAAAATGTTAACAGTGCTTGTTTTAGTGTGAAGCAGCCAAGAATTATTTGTTTTTTTTCTCTAGTTGCCAAATTCTTGTCTTGTGATTAAACTCCTTTTACGACAAAAAACAAAAATGTTTTTAACAGAAGAAAAAAAATCCAAGCCAAGCTATATTGGTTGCACTGCAAAGGAAGGATTTCTGCCTCCGCTTCTACCAGACAGTGAGGAGAGACAGAGCATGGCCGGATTCTGGTGTCATAAGAAGACTTAGAATGCCCAGACCAATGAGGGCAGGGATGAGAGCCAGCACCTCTGAGCTGTCTCTTCTGTCCTAGCCCCTTCCTAGGGTTTAGTACCCAGGAGTTATTTATTCTTCCAGAGTTTTGGAGATTAGGGTAAATGGCCTATTCACCCATGTCATTTCTTGGAAGATGCAGGAAAACATGAGTTAGACAGTAGAGATCTCAAATTATTTGGAGCTGGGAGGCCAAACATGTCATAAAAGGCCAATCTGCATAAAAGGGGGTCTCTAATGAGAGGCCACAAGGCTTTGTCCTTCAGGTGCCCCCAAATATTTTAAGAGTGAGACAGATACAATGCTTTGCAGTGCACTGATGACACAGAGGCGGGAGAACAAGTTCACAGACTCAAATCATTGCAACAGCCTAGACAGCTTGGCCCAAACCAAAAAAGATAACACTAAACAGAGCCACATGCAAAAATGTACTATATTTAGACTAAAAAAGTGCATATAGTTGAATGTCATCTTTTTTCCCTTTTTATCTCCATTCCCTTTCTCTTGTTTATATTTTCTTGTTTATATATTGAGCCTACATGACTTTTATAATAAAAGTTACTTTAAAAACAAATATGATCAAAACAGCTGCCAGTTTTTGTGACCACAGTTAATATACATCAATCCTGAGAAAAATGCCAGTGTTTTCAGAGTTAGCCAGAACAACTGGACCCCTCCTGCTCCCACATTTTGGGGGCAAATACAAAAAGCACAAGGCATTAGAGGAGGAAATCCAGGAAGAATTGGGAGAACAAAGTCTTAGGGCAAAGGAGTGAAGAAACCAGGGGGTTTGGCCTGGAGAGAATGGAGAGTGCAGTGATGGTTGAAGTCTCCAAATACCTGAAAGCCTGTGGTGGAGGAAAAGCAAAGACAACATTCTGACAATGGTGGAGGCCCAGCTAGGGCCAATGGATGGATGCACAATGGGGCAGATTTAGAGTCAGCAACAACAGAAAGAACTACCAGTAATTACCAACAATGGACTGCACAGCCTCAGGAAGTACTGAGCTCATTGTCACCAGACGTAGTTCCACTGCAGTGAACCGATGCTGCAAAGGCCTTCTGGACCCAGTGTGGAGTCGGATGAGAAGGTCTTTATAGCAGCTTCAGGAACCTACCCAATCTGAACTCAACCACTGACCACCTAGAACTTCCTGATTGAGGTGAGCACTCCCTCTCCTGAATCCTGCCCACTCAACTTCCTCCTGCAAGCTTGGCTCTCACCGTGGGAATGAACTGAATTTCATAGGCATCCACAGTGTCAGGAGCCCGGGTCCACTCTGTCCGAACCGTCGTTTCCTCCAAGAGGTGCATCCTCATGCCCTCAATGGCTGGCACCTCTGCCCAGGAGAATGAGATATGGAAAGATGGTTAGCCCAAGGCAGTCCCCTACCCCCTACCCCTGTCATCAAAGATCCCTGTACTCAGGGCCACACCAAAAGATCGATCCAGTTCCTGCTCCTCTCTGGAGGTGGGGCAAAACTGGCAGAGGCCTGCACAAGCCCTGGGATCTCCTTCGCCGCCCCCCTCCCCATCTCCAAAAACAAAGATTCCCCTAAAAGCAACTCGAAGAGCCCCAACATGCTCATCAGAGATCTGAAAGCAGGTCCTGCCTGCAGGCATGCCCCTGTGGCTCTGCTGCCCCTGGTGACACTGGCTCTCTGGCTCCTATGACTGCCTTCCACCCTAATAGTTGACCTCCTTTACTCTTCCTCCAGGTCCCTGGGCCACTGCCACAGGCTCAGGCCTTCCCACTGGCTCTGGTTCCCAGTCCCTGCCCCAGCGGCATACTCACCTTCCCCACAGTCTTCCCCGGCATAGCCATCTTGACAGACACAGCTGCCCTCACGACACTCTCCTCTGCCACGGCAGTCCCCAGGGCACATCTGAATGGCACAGTCCGGTCCTCGAAAGCCCTCGACGCACACACACTGCCCGGTGCGGCACAGTTCCCGGGGCCCGCAGCCCCCAGGGCAGGCGCTGGCGGGAGGCTCTTCCTGCCCACAGTCCCGGCCGCTATAGCCCACGTGGCACACGCACACTCCCTGCACACAGCGCCCGCGGCCCCGGCAGTCGGCGGGGCAGGTGCGGGTGGCACAGGAGGGGCCAGTGTAGCCTGGGTCGCAGATGCAGCGCCCATCCTCACAGCGGCCCCGCTGGTGGCAGTTGGAGGCGCAGGTACGGAGGCCGCAGTCCTCGCCTGCGTAGCCCTCCCAGCAGGTGCACACACCGTCCTGGCACACGCCGTGCTGGCTACAGTCGCGCGGGCACCGCCTTACGCTGCAGTCCTCGCCCGAGTAGCCATCGTCGCACACGCAGCGCCCGTCCAGGCACTGGCCGCGGCCGTGGCAACCACCTGGGCAGCTGCGCGCGCCACAGTCCGCTCCCTCGTAGCCCGCGTTGCACACGCACACGCCATCCTCGCAGCGGCCGCTCCCGCGGCAGTCCCCAGGGCACCGACGACTTCCGCAGTCCTCGCCCGCGAAGCCAGGGTTGCACACACAGCGGCCGTCCACGCAGCGCCCGCGGCCCCGGCAATCGCCAGGGCAGGCGCGCGTGCCGCAGTCCCGGCCCGTGTACCCGGGCCAGCACATGCAGCGGCCATTGTCGCAGCGGCCCCGGCCGCGACAATCCCCGGGACAGCTGCGCACGCCGCAGTCCTCGCCGCTGTAGCCCGCGTGGCACACGCACACGCCGTTCTCGCAGCGCCCGCGGCCCCGGCAGTCGCGGGGGCAGGCGCGCGAGCCGCAGTCGGGCCCCGTGTACCCGGGCCAGCACACGCAGCGCCCGTCCTCGCAGCGGCCCCTTTGGTTGCAGTCCCCCGGGCAGCTGCGCACGCCGCAGTCGTCCCCGCTGTAGCCCGCGTCGCAGATGCACTCGCCGTCCTCGCAGCGCCCGCGGCCCCGGCAGGCTCGGGGACACGTCCGGGTGCCGCAGTCCTCGCCCGCGTAGCCGGGCCAGCACACACAGCGGCCGTCCACGCAGCGACCGCCCTCGCCGCAGTCCCACGGGCAGCTCCGCGAGCCGCAGTCGTCGCCAGTGTAGCCGGGGTCGCACACGCAGCGGCCGTCCTCGCAGCGTCCCCTCTGGCTGCAGCCCCGGGGGCAGCTGCGCTTCCCGCAGTCGTCGCCAGTGTAGCCGGGGTCGCACACGCAGCGGCCGTCCTCGCAGCGTCCCCTCTGGCTGCAGCCCCCGGGGCAGGAGCGCAGGCTGCAGTCGTCGCCCCAGAAGCCGGCCCGGCACACGCACACCCCCTGCACGCAGCGCCCACGGCCATTGCAGTCCCCGGGGCAGGAGGGCCAGCCACAGCTGGGGCCGCTGTAACCGGGGAAGCATACGCAGCGCCCCCGGACACAGCGACCCTGATCGTTGCAGTCATCTGGGCAGGACCCAGAGGCTGAGGGTGGGGAGGATGGGAGAATGCCAGGGCCTGTGGGGTCTGAACAGGTGGGCCCATCCCAGCCTGGCTCACAGGAGCAGGCACAGCGGCTCAGGTCAAACACGCCATGGAGACTGCAGAGAGTGCGAACATCTGTCTGGCCTGGAGTAAGAGGGAGAGGCAGGCCTCAGTGTCTCTGAGGAAAGAGACCAAGCCCATACAGTGCTCTCCTAAGTCAGCCCCTCCAGCAGGGCCAGGCTCACTTCATAAGGTTGTCTTTGTTTCCAGGTACTACTGGTGGATACCTGTGGCCTTCCAAAGCCATAGCATATGCGTGGGGACAGGGGAGGGAAGTGCTAACATCTCTAGCCTGGTGGATTCTCTGAGTTGTGCCCTGGGCTGTACTCAGTACCCCTAATGGGGAAGAAGGGGTGCCTTCTTCTAATTCCTACCAAGGTCCTTTATGGACTAGTGATACCCACAGAACCCTGACTGACTTCCCCACTTCCACTTTTCCTGTGCCTTCTCCCATGATCACCTGCTCACCTGTGCCTGCCTGGGCCGAGGCAGGACAACATCCCCCAGTGCACTGTTCCTTGAGCCCCTTCACCAGCTCCTCCAGGATCTCTAGCCGGACCTTCAGGGCCTGCACCTCTGAGGCAGAGACTGGGGGCTCTGTGCCCGGGGGACAACCACAGCCAGTTGAAGGGGGCAGGTTGATGCGGTGGGTGAAAACCACCTGCTTCTCCCCTCCTTCCACAGTGTGCTCATAAAGCTGAGAAGAGGGGCTTCCCCCTATGGACTCCACTGTGCGGCCTCCAGGCCGGGGAGGAGGACGTGGAGCTGGGAGAGTCACATTGGACCGTGGAGCGAAAGGGCCTGCTCTGACTGTGCCCAGCAGTACCAAGAGGCCCAGTCTGGAGATTAGGAACAACTGGGCTGGCATCACTCAGGAGGCTGCAGGGAGAGATGGCACATGTGAGCAGCTTCACAGAGAAGGAGGCAATATTGCTCCCCACCGCCCCCGATACACACACCCACAGTCCCAACACCTACAACTAATCTACCAGCTCACATGCATGTGAAACTCCACCTTCAGCCCAACACTAACGGAGACCCTCCTTGGGCAGATTTGGTCTCTACCTTGCTCTCTGACGTCATTTGATTACCCAGCTCCCTGCACTTACCACTTTCTTTCTTTCTTTTTTTTTTTTTTAAAGATTTTATTTATTTATTCATGAGAGACACAGAAAGAGAGAGAGGCAGAGACACAGGCAGAGGGAGAAGCAGGCTCCATGCACCAGGAGCCCGACGTGGGATTCGATCCCGGGTCCTCCAGGATCGCGCCCCGGGCCAAAGGCAGGCGCTAAACCGCTGCGCCACCAAGGGATCCCACCACTTTTTTTCTTTACCGTTCCACCTACACCGGTCTTATGTTTGTTTTACAGATACTACAAGCTTTCAGTTTTTTAATTTTTATTTATTTATGATAGTGAGAGAGAGAGAGAGAGAGAGAGAGAGAGAGAGAGGCAGAGACATAGGCAGAGGGAGAAGCAGGCTCCATGCACCGGGAGCCCGATGTGGGACTCGATCCCGGGTCTCCAGGATCGCGCCCTGGGCCAAAGGCAGGCGCCAAACCGCTGCGCCACCCAGGGATCCCACTACAAGCTTTCATTACTTTAAGGTCTTTTTAGCTATATGTTCTTTCTGTCTGGGATGCTGGCTCCTTCACCTCACATGTCATGCATCCCAGAAGACCTTCCCTGGTGCCGGGTCGGGATGGTCTTCTGTTACTTTCATTGCAGTATCCTACCTATGTTCTTCATGGCATTTACTGCTGCCTGAATCACCTGTTCGTGTGGGTACTTGTCTGTTATCTTTCTCCCGTGACTAAAATGGGAACTCCATGAGAATAGGGACCCTGTCTGTCCTGGCACTGCCATACACCTGTGTCTGACATGTGGGGGCTACTCAACACGTTCACGTCGAGTGAATTAGCGGATGAGTATATAAGGCCAATCCTACAAGCACCTGGAACCCAATTCCTACTGTCTTTTTTGATGAAGATTATCCTCTCTCTCCCTTTTATTCATTTCCTCACTCTTCACTAAATCTCTCCTGTCAGCTTTTATAAGACCTCAAATATCTCCTGTTGTTTAAAAAAAATCCTTCTCCCTCAGTACTTATATTACCAAATATCAAGACTTATTAGGTGCAAAGATAGATAGATAGAACAGAGTAGTGTCCAGATACAGACCCACATGTATGTGGTCACTGGGTAAATTACAATGGTGGCACTGCAGTTAAAAAGAAAATGGATGCTCTTTTTGATAAATGAGAAAATGACAAAAATTTATCTCCACCTTATGTCCACATACAGAAATTAATTTGAAGTGAATCTATTGGACATAATTATGAAAGGCAAAGCAATACCTTTCAGAACAATACTGTATAGAAGAAAAATAGGAGAAAATCTTTACAACCTTAGAGTAAGCAAAGATTTCATAAAACCTAACCAAATAAAATTTATTTTTTTAAAGATCTCATTTATTTATTCATGAGAGACACAGAGAGAGGGGCGGAGACATAGGCTGAGGGAGAAACAGGCATCCTGCAAGGAGCCCAATGCAGGACTTGATCCTGGACCCAAGGATCACGCCCTGAGCTGAAAGCAGACACTTAACTGCTGAGCCACCCAGGCGTCCCTAACCACATAAAATCTAATCATAAAAAGTTTCGCACAAAACTTAACCATAAAAAAGAGACAGACACATTAGGACTTCTGGTCATCCAGAGACACTGTCTAGAGAATAAGAATAGAAACCAGACACTAGGATAAAATATATGAGAAATGCCGAGATGTTGCTGGGGAGGGAGAAAGATAAAGATAGGTGTTGATTGAGAGTGTGAGAGAGGATTAAAATTTAAATAAGAACCCCTGCAGGGCAGCCCCGGTGGCGCAGCGGTTTAGGGCCGCCTGCAGCCTAGGGCGTGATCCTGAAGACCCTAGATCGAGTCCACGTCAGGCTCTCTGCATGGTGCCTGCTTGTCTCTCTGCCTCTCTCTTTTTCTCTCTCTGTGTCTCTATGAATGAATAAATAAATAATTTAAAAAATAACCCCTGCAAAACAAAAACAAGAGACAGGCAACCCAGTGTTTTAAAATGACAAAAGTCTTAAACAGGTACTCTAGAAAAAAATATATCCCAAAACGCCAATAAACATATGGAAAATAAATACATATATAAGTATAACAAAACCAGTAATCAGGGAAATGCAAGTTAAAACTACAACAAGGCGCCATTATATAGCCATCAGAATGGTTAAAATTAAAGGGATTGTCATTGCTTGATTATGGCAAGAATGTGAAGCACCTAGAACTCCTATCAATTACAAGCAAGAGCATAAGTTAGTGCAACCACTTTGGAAAACTGTTATGCAGTATCTACAAAGACATATAGCCTACAATTCAGCAATTCCACTGCTTGGTAAATATCCAACCGAAATGACTGCATATATCCTCCAAAGGATATGTACAGGAAAGTTCATGAGTTTTTTTTTTCATATTAGCCAAATGAAACAAGTGTCCATTAATAGTGGAACAGACAAACAAATTGTGGCACAATCATACAATGAAACACTACCCAGCAATGAAACCACCTTCTTGCTACACGGAACAATATAGGCAATTTCACACACATAATGCTAGCAAAAGAAACCAGACACAAAAGGAGAATGCTGTGAATGATGCTATTTTACATGAAGCTCAAAAACTGGCAGAGTTAATCTTCACTATTAGAAGATAAATAGGGGGATCCCTGGGTGGCGCAGCGGTTTGGCGCCTGCCTTTGGCCCAGGGCGTGATCCTGGAGACCCGGGATCGAATCCCACGTCGGGCTCCCGGTGCATGGAGCCTGCTTCTCCCTCTGCCTGTGTCTCTGCCTCTCTCTCTCTCTCTCTCTCTGTGTGACTATCATAAATAAATAAAAAAAAAATTAAAAAAAAAAAAAGATAAATAGGAAGGGCGCCTGGGTGACTCAGTTGGTTAAGAGTTCGGCTCAGGTCATGATCCCAGCGTCCTGGGATGGAGCCCTGCATCAGGCTCCCTGCTCAGTGGAGAGTCTGCTTGTCCCTCTCCCTCTGCCTCCCTCTTGTGCTCTCTCTCTCAGGGCACCCCCCAAATAAATCTTTTTTTAACTATAAAATAAATAAAATATCTTTTTTGAAATTTTTATTTATTTATGATAGTCACACACACACAGAGAGAGAGGCAGAGACACAGGCAGAGGGAGAAGCAGGCTCCATGCACCGGGAGCCTGACGTGGGACTCGATCCCGGGTCTCCAGGGTCGCGCCCTGGGTCAAAGGCAGGCGCTAAACCGCTGCGCCACCCAGGGATCCCAATAAATAAGATCTTAAAAAAAAAAAAGAAGATAAGATTACTGGAAATATTTTGTACTTTGATCTGGGTGGTGGTTAAACAGATGAACACATATTCAAAAATTTACTGAACTATACACTTTAGGTTTGTGCATTTCACAATATGAAAGTTAAACAACAAAACAACAACAGGGTGCTTGGGTGGCTCAGTCAGTTAGGCATCCAACTTCTGATTTCAGCTCGGGTCATGAGATCAAGCCCCACTTCGGGTCTGCTGGAGATCCTCTCTCTCTCCCTCCACCCCTCCCTCCCCCTCACACTTGCACACTCGTGTGTGCTCTCTCTAAACAACAACAGCAACCACAACTAAAACCTTCCCCAATCTCATACTCCTTCCAACCAGCACATATTTCCCTCCTCTACTTCATGGCTTCAGTTGTCAAAAGATTTATAACTGTACTTGCTATTTCCACTCGCCATATTCCACGTACACCTCAGTGCACTCCCATCTGGTTTCCCCACTTCCTTTCAACCTATCAAACAGCTTTCCCTAAGATCTCCCAAAGACTCAGTGTCACAAAATCTGAGAGACATTTATCTTCCTCTTACTTGACTTGTCTCAAAAGTCATTGGACACACTGTTAACCACATCTTCCATTTTAAAACATTCTATATCTGTGCTGTCAATACAGTAGCCAGGAAAGCCATGTGGCTCTTAAACACTTGAAATGTGTCTAGAGTAACCGAAGCACTGAATTTTACTCAGTACATTTGAAAAGTGCCCCACGTGATTGTAATGTACAGCTAAACTTGAGACCTACTTCTCTAGTCACTCACCTAGGTACTTTCACCCAGACCCAGGATTTTAATTTCCAAACTATACCCCAATTTATAAACTAGCCCAGTCATCTCCTCAGGACTCCAAGCAATATATCCAACTTGGTGTCTCTTCTTGGGCACCTCAGATTCAACATGTCTGAAACTGAACTCATGGTCACCTTTCCTGTACCCCATCCTCTCTCCACTGTATTCTCTGCTTCTGCTCACGGCTCCACCATTCATCCAGCATTACAACCTAGAAACCCAACCCCCATCAACACCACCATATTTTGTCATTTTTGCCCTTACTTTCATAAACATCTCTTTAATTTGCCTACTCCTCTCCCTCTTACCATTGTTAGAGTTCAAGGCATCATCTACCTTTTGCTTGACAACTGCATTTGCCTCCTAGGTGGTCCTTCTGCTTCCACTCTTGCCCCCTACAATCTCACAAAGACAACTAGGATGTTCCATCCCCTAAAAGCTCTCCAGTGTCTCCCTTCAATCACTGACAAACAGCCCTGCCTCATCTGGCCCCTGCTAGCTTCTCCCACTCCATCTCCCATAACACTTCCTTCTGTCTCTCTACTCCAGTCCCATTGACCTTACATCCCTCACACCCTTCCCAACCCCAGACTTTTGTATATGGCGCTCCCTCCGTGTGAAACGCTCTTCCCTTTCCTTGTGGCCTCCTTATCCCTTATATCTCAGTCCCATGTTGCCTCCTCAGGGAATTTTTCCTGCCCAGGTCCCCCTAACATGTGATATCAAAGAGCCATGTAACTCCCACTTGTAGCATGTATAACAAACAGGTCCATGAAGGCAGGCATGGCACCCATTTTTTCCCCTGGCTGTTGTATCCTTGCATCTTGCACATATTAGATGCATCACAAATATTGACATATGAATGAATGAAAAGTTCAATTTAAGCTGAGGACTAGCATCGGGGGCTGGAACCAACGACAGGACCAGGGTCAGGGCTAGCACCACGGACAATGTCTGGGACAGAAAGCTGGGCTAGAGAGAGGGCCAGGTGTGGATCCTGGCAGGGCCAGATAGTACAAGCACTTTGGAAAACCTTAGCAGAATCTACAAACTACCAGAGCTATATGCTGACCCTCTGATCCGCCAGCTCCACCCCCAGGAATACACCCACCAGAGCAGTACCAGGCATAATGGCCCCAAACTGGGAGCTACCCAAATATCCCACATCGGTAGAATGGATTAAATAAGGTGTGATTTATTCATACAGTGAAATAAAATTAAGCAATGGGAACAAACCACAACTATATGTAGTAACACGGATGGATCTCCCCAATAGAAGAAGCCAAACACAAAAGAGAACACACTGTAAAGTTCTGTTTATATGAAGTCTGAGGAGAGATAACATTAATCTGTGGTGCTACATGTCAGAAGTGTGGTGCTGCTGGAGGAGTAACCAGAGGGACATGGCAGGGAAATTCTAAGGTGCTAAGAATAGCCTTTTCCTTGATCTGGGTGCTGGTGCCCAGTTGTGTTTGTGGAACCCATTGAGGCATGGATTGGGGAACAAAGGGAAACCAGGGCTGGAGAGGCATTCAGGGTGAGCCAGGACATGGGGCTGTGGTAAGCAACAGAATGTGGAAGGGTCAGTGAGGGTGAAGGGTTAAGGAGAGGTGTGGGCAAGTGCCCAGCTCTTTGCGACCAGAGAGGGTGGAGAGAGGAGGGCAGGGCGAGTGTGGAAACACTGACTGGTGAGAAGGGAAGGGACAGTGCCTAACACACACACACACACACACACACACACACACACACACACACGTTTCCTGTGTTTCTTAAACTTCTCCTCTGGGTCCAGGAAAAAAGGAGTTTCAGGGCTACCAGTCATCACACCTTGCCACCAGCCCAGGAGAGACTGAAGAAAAGCTGGACAAGAGGGAAAGACCATTTCCACACTAAGAGGTTGGAGAAGCCCAGGCAGAGAGGCCTGGCAGGCAGACAGCAGCCCTCCCCTGGGCCCCTCATTGCTCTGTCAGCTTGAAGTGTAGCCCAAGGTATGAGGTGGGCTCCGACCTACCCTCAAATCCTGTCACTCTGTGTCTAAGGCCATGCCAACCAAGGGGTGCATGTATACATACAGACGTGTGTATACATACAAATATGCCCGAGTGTGCACGCATCCACAAATACAAATATGAACACACTTGTACACAGATACACATATCCATCCAAAGAAGCCTGCATCTTTACAGGCACACCCACACAATCTCCTCTTCATGGTTCCTCCACTTGCATTCACTGGGTGCTACCTAAGCAAGCCGATTTCTCACTGGCTCAGGGGGCAGCTGTGTGAGTCAGAGAACATAGCTGGAGTGAGGGGAACCAAACAGAAGGCTCTTCTCCAGAGGGAAGCAGAGGATGCCTGGTGCCCCACAGCCCTCGCGGTCTTTGCGAGTGGTCCAGTAACCCTCCCCACCATTGGATCCAGGATCTTTCCCGGGGTTGGTGGGGAGGGGGAGAGAGTCTCTGCAGTAGCAAGAGAGAAGCTGGAAAGTAGTGAGACAGGTCTGAGAGGAGAGGAGTAGCCTCCACCCCACGGATCAAGACCCAGAGCCTCCTTCTCCATCCCCTCTCCTGCCGTGTCATGGTCACCTCTCCAGCTCCTCACTTCCAACTCTTGGAAGACTTCCCCTCTTCTCTCGGCACCAGAAGAGGAAAGAACTCGGGTGTCTCTTGCATTTCCCCCTCATTGTCACCACTACCACTGTGTCTGAGGCTCCCTTCTGCAGTGGGGAGGGGGCATGCGGCCTCAGCCTCTTGGCGTCCTCCCCACAGTCGGAGGGCTGGCAGAGGTGGGGGCAACATCCCAAGCTGTGACTCAGCCTGCCTGACATTCATGCTGTGGCCAACTTTGACACTTGGCTCATCACGGACTGCTGGTCCCAAGAGGTGTGGAGACAGGCGGGCTTCCATGAGGGATGCTCCAGAGATGGGGCATCTGGGCCCCACCCTGTGTCTCCCTCTACCCCTCGTGCCCCAGGAGGGGGGAAAATAGGAGTCCAGGGGCATGAGAGGAAGGAAGGAGGGGAGGGGGTTCTAAATACTGGGTTGGAACCCAGAGGTAAGGAGGCCCCAGGGAGGTGAGATCTGGGGGATCCAGAGGCCCCTTATTCTGGGGAGCTAGTGGGCCAGAGGAATAGAAAGGATTTTCCAGCCCTCTGGTGGGAAAGAGGAAGGAGGCAATGAGAGACAGGAAGGCAGGTTCTGATCCTGTCCTGAGTGACCAGGACTCCAGGGGAATGGAGTCTGAGGAACTGAGGTGCCAGGTCCCCAAGAGAGTGGGGGCAGGGAGAGAGAGGGAGAGAGGGGGGGGGAGGAAGGGAGAGGGGAGGGAGCCAGGGATTCGGGAAGCGGGCAGGACTGGAAGCAGACAGCCAGCAGCTGCGGTGTTTCCGACTTGCTTCCCAGTAGTTCCTCTCAGTTCCATTTCCAGTTGTTTCCAAGCCATCAAATTCTTTCCAGGCAAGATAAGGGGTGCGCCCACCCCACCCAGGGTGTGTCACGTGTAGTGGGTGGGGAGAGGCTCAGACGGGCAGAGTAGGGAGAGCCTAGAAAGGGGACGGGAGGAAGCCGGAGCCTCTGCGCCCCTGGAGGCATCTGTCCGTCAGCCCAACCGTGAGTCATGGGTGCAGAGCTCCTGGCCAAGAACAAGCTTTAGGATCCTCTCTGCAGGCTCTGTGCCCTTCCCAGACCTGGGAATCCTGACTCTGCTCCATTTCAACATTTCTTTTTTTTAATTTTTATTTATTTATGAGAGAGAGAGAGAGAGAGAGAGAGGCAGAGACATAGGCAGAGGGAGAAGCAGGCTCCATGCACCGGGAGCCCGACGTGGGATTCAATCCCGGGTCTCCAGGATAGCGCCCTGGGCCAAAGGCAGGCACCAAACCGCTGCGCCACCCAGGGATCCCCATTTCAACATTTCTTAAAGGCTTAAGACCCCTGAACCTCCCTCTCAGACCCTGCAACCCACATGCTGAGAGACTGCCTCTGGCACCTTCCTGGAGGTCCAGCTCCAGCCGTTTGGATCAGAGCACTTGGGGTTTCATCAACACTTTCCTCCCGAGGTTCAGCTGGCCACTAACTAGCTCAGCCTCTGGCCCCTGGTTTTCTTCTGGCCAACCACCTCTGAGTCCGCACACCCACCCCCCAAACACACATACATTGACCCATCCTCCAGACATACCCTCCATGAGGAGTCTAGTCCCCAGTGCAACGTCCCATTTCCTCTGTCCTAGCACAAAGTCTGCTCTGCCAGGCTCTCCTGAGAGCTCTCGGGCTACACCTCCGCCTGGGGTGTAGGGATGGGATAGAACCCCACCACTCCCAGCTCTTCCCTTGTTTTCCCCAGAGCTCTGTTCCTTACCTGGGCAACAAGCTGTTGCAGTGCCTCTGCACCTGCTTGGTCTCTGACCTTGGGAGGGGAGCTCTCAAGACAGGGCAGGGCTACCGTGCCTTGGCAGCTCCGAGCTCCCCGAGGTCCCCTTGCTTGTTTCCTGCAGTAGGGTCTCACTGAGCTGAGACCCGACTGCAGACCTGCAGACTGTCGATCTCACAGACAGTAAGAAGGAGGGAGTCTGCAGCGAGCAGGGGGAGGAGAAGGGGAGGACCGGCATGAGGTCAGGGAGGGGAGCGGAGATGGGGCAGGTCCTCCCACTCCTCCAGTCCCTGCCAGGCCCTCCCAACGTCATTGCATGCCCCCTCTCCCCGCCTCCCAGTCTGGGATCACTGAGTCCCACAATACAGTCGACTTGCCCCTGCATCCTTGGGGCATCCCTCCCACATCCTTTCCCCATCGCATTTGGACTCTTCCTTTCCACCCCAATTTTTGCCCAACTTGACATCCCCAAACCTTATGCCATTTCTCTTTTCTCCCCACCATTTGCCCACCTGCTGCTCCTGCTCTCTCACTGGGTTCTCCTCTCTACCAACACCCTTCCACAGTGGCCAGCCCTCTCCCTCCTCCCTCCTTGGCACCTCCTCTCCCACCACTCTGCTCCAGCTGGGATCTTGCCCCACCTACCTGTTGCCCAGCACCCCCTTTCTCTTCCGGCCATTATCTCCTAGCAGTGTGTATGTGTGTGGGGTGGGGGAGGAAACCTCCCTCCCAAGCCCAAATCCCTCCCTGGCATGAGGCCTTCTCTGGAACTCCTTGTCCCCACCCATCCCTCCTGCCTGGTCCTATTGCTCCCAGCTCAGCCTCATCTCTTCTATCTTTTCTACTTGCCCTGTCCCTGTACTGCCTCTCCCCCTCTGTTCTGTTTAGTCCACTACCTGTTTTCATCTTGGGATCACTGGCCCCTTTTCATTCTCTCACCTCAGCAAATTCTAGAGAAATGGCAGATGAGGAGGCTTGGGTACCGGCCAATCAAGGGTTTGGCTGAGCACCAGGATGTAGAAGACTTGGGAAGGAGGTTGGGGTTCAGGGGAGACAGGGAAGAGGAGCCGAAAAATTAGGCAGGAGGTTTAGGAGAGAGGTTTAGGGATGGTGCCAGAGCTAGAAGCAGGAGGCAGATGTGGGGGTGGGCCTGTGAATAGCTGGGCTAAGTCAGTGGAAGGCTGAAAGGTGCGGCAGGGGAGCAGAAGCAGGGGTAAGGAGAGCTGGGAGCTGGGAGAGGAAAGCACTTTGTCCCCAGGCAGAGGCAAGATGACTGACACTAGAAGACAGGACAGCAGAAATACCCCTGTGTGGCCCCATTTTCCCTTGTGCTCACTGTCTTGACCAGGGGCTAAAGAGACTTTTGCCACAGAAGTATCCAGGCTGAGGCATCCCTGCCCCAGGTTTCACAAGGAGAGTTCTTGCTACCCCACTACCAACCTCACCATTGGGGAATAGACTGGCCCAGTCATAGGTGATGGGTGAAAGGGACCTTTGTGTGTCTGAGTCTGTCACTTGGGTTGGAGCATAAGGGTCTGCACCCTAGATTGGATTCCCCTGGTTGCAGGGTGTGTTGATCCTGGGTCAAAGCACACAGGCACATGTGGCTGCCACATGCCCAGTCAGTGACCTCTGGCTGAGGGCAAAAGCTTGCACAGACCCTCGCATGGGTGTCCCCGTGTGTCTGTGTGTCTGTATGTGTGTGTGGCTGTTTTTTTCCTGGCTTTGATGGGGAGGATGAAGTCAGCATCTTGGACGGAACTGGGCTCAGCTTCCTTCCTCTGCCTTGGCCCAAAGCCTCCAGAGCCTGGAGTAGGTAACAATTTCCCTCTGATCTGGGGGGCTGGGGGCCAGGGGAGCACATGAAAGGGTGAGGGAGGGTCTGAAACAGGATTACTTGGGGAGAGCAGACTGCACAGAGGATGGATTTTCCCTTATATCCCCAGGTTTCAGTAATTCTGTCCCATGGTCATAGCCACTGTTTGCCCTATGCATTAATCTTGGTCTTATTATTTACTAAGTATGGTCACCATGAGTATACTTGGCCCAAGGAGAGGCCAGGAGACCCTGGAAATGTGAGAGCTCAAAGAACGGCCACAGGGTGTTTTGGAAGTCCATGGCAAGGGGCAAATGGGACACCAGAGTCTCAGAGAACAGAGGGGGATTGCACAGGGTTACAAGGCATCTGAGGAAGCCACTGGAAGCTCAACAGACAGAATTCCAGGTTTTGAAGTCATCATTGTCTACAATTTGACTTAGCCCCTGGATTTAGGCTCTTGGAGGAGCTCTCATCTCACATATGTTTGCATCTTGTTGGGGAAGTACCAGACCTTGCACAGCACAGGTGCCTAATAAATGCTTGTCACTAAGGAATTGTGAGGGCAGCCCTGGTGGCGCAGCAGTTAGGTGCCACCTGCAGCCTGGGGTATGATCCTGGAGACCCTGGATCGAGTCCCACATTGGGCTCCCTGCATGGAGCCTGCCTCTCTCTGTGTCTATGAATAAATAAATAAAATCTTTAAAAAAAAATAAAATAAAACCTTAAAAAAAAAAAAACTAAGGAATTGTGAGAGGACTGGGTGCGAAAGATGGGGAAAGGGAGTCTGGTAGGAACCCCAGGCGTGGAGGCAGGGAGGCCTAATTGTCAGAGCCAGGCGCCTTCACGAAGGAGGGGTTTCAGGCAGTGAGGAGAAAGGTCGGAGCTGTTGACAGCTGTCCATGTGCTCTGGCTGATCTCAGAATCCTCAGTCCAGGGTCTCGTCTCTGGGCTTCCCTCTTTGCACGAACCTTCTTGTTCCTGTCCTGACCTTAGGAGGATGAGGGATAAAAGGTACAGAGGGAAGGCAAGAAGGGCAATCAAGGGCAAGACCCTGCAGGTGCAGACAGCGAGTGAGGAGAGGCCAGGGGCTGCGGGCCAAGGGAGCAGTCCTAGGGAGGGGGACAAGGCAGTTGTACTGGGCTTCCATTGACAAAACACTCTGCAGCACAGCGCAGGCCTTGGATTCATCTGGCCTTGTGGCTGAGGAAATGGAGGACGGCAGAGGTCAGGTGACCTGTCCACGGAACTTTGCCAGGGGTGAAAGTGGGCCTCCACCCGGGTTTTCCAATTCCCAAGCTTGTATTCTCTCCCCTCCCCCAGGAAGAGCCGTGGAAAGATAGAAGACTCAGGGCAGAAAATCTGGATTTTTGAAACTCTTTTCTGCATCCAGTTATTACACAGATTCAGTAAGAAAAAATCACCAAGTCTAAGCCAGGAGACTCAACGATCCACTATTGAGAAGATGGTGGGGCAGGGGGCTCAGAGAGAAGAGACGGCCTGACACAGGACATGGGAAAGAACCAAGAGCCTGGGGCTGGGAAGGGGCAACAGAGCCACAGAAGGCAGGCTTTGGACCCTTAGGACCTCCTCTGCCGGGAGACACGGGTGTGGGGAGAAGGGAGGAGGGAGGACATTTCTATCTCGTGACAAAAGAAAGTCACACAATTGTTTTGTTCTCTGCTCTGGGGCGGGTGGGCGCCTATATTTACCAGAGGGACTGAGGTTGCTGTGGCAACCACACATCTGGGCCCTGGAATCCAGATGTGCTGTATCCAGAAGCCATAGCAGAACGATGAGGCAAACATTAGGCTCTCCAGGCTCTCCTGGCCCCTACAGCTGGGAATAGGACGGGGGATTGAACAGGGGAAGGGTGGGGGAGGGCCAAAGCAGCAGTTGGGGAGAAGAGAAGAAGTGGACAAAGGGGTGTGAAGAGAACTAGGGAGGGGGTGGCATGAGGAGGGGAGAAGCCAGAGCACAGAGTCAGCAGTAGGAGGATGGAAGAACTGAAGGAACAGAAAAGAGTGAAGCAGCAGGGAGGAAGGGCAAAATACAAAAAGGAGTGAGGAAACAAGGAAGGAGGAATGGAGACTAGAGACCAAAAGAAGAGGTGAGGTTGAATAGAGGAAGTGAGGACTCCTGGCTGGGTGAGGGCAAGGAGAGGCGGAGAGGAATCCAGAGCAAAGAGGCAGAGGCAATGGGTCAGGGATGATAAGAGGAACAAAAGGCTGGATCCAGAGAAAGACTGGGTGAGCCTGGGGGTACAGGAGTGGACAGCAGCCCTGTGCTGAGGTGGCCTAGTGACCTGGGCTGCACGTGGGCCTGGTGGGTGGCAGCCACAGCCAGAGACTCACCTCCCCTTCCCAGCCCTCCCCCCTCCCTCCACGCCCCTCCTGAGCCTTCTGCCACCCCATAACTCAGCCAGCAGTCAGCCGACTGTGCCAGTTCACAGCACAGTGCCAGATGTCCCCTGCCACTTAGCCAGAGGTGCAGCAGGCCCCACCCCAGGGCCCCCAGTCCAAGATGCCAGCACTTGGGAACATCCCTGTGCTGCGGTCAGGAGCGATGTCACCATGGGATGATGGGACGATAGGACGGTGATGCACCCAGTTGGGGTAGGAGTAGAACAGAGGAGAAAGGGGCAATGTAAATGCAGAGACAGGTGTGAGGGACAAGGGACAGGTGTGCCTTTAGTGACATCGTTCATCCTCACACCATCCCTGAGGAGTAGGCAGGAGTATTCCATGCTACTGATGAGGAAACTAAGGCCCAGACTGTGTAAGTTACATATCAAGGACATCCATGGATGAAAGGTAAAGCAGGGAATCAAATTCAGGCGATCTGCTTCCCAAATCCCTGTCCTTGCACTCACTGCCTGAATGAGGCTCAAGGGACGCAAGGACAGGAAGGCCCAGAAGCCAGGGCTGGGCTCCTCCAGAGGGAGGAGGCGCCTAGTTCCTGGGAGCCCTAGTTCCAGGTTGCCATAGTTACTCAGTGTTTTCGCCCCCAAACACAGTAATGGGAAGTGGGGGAGCCTGGCTGGACACGTGAGTTTCTCCCCTCCTCCTTTAGGCCTGGGCTCAAGGCCTGGGCGGCCCCTGTCATCTGGGCATTGAGCCCAGGCTCAGCCCACACCCTCTAGCTGACCCAGGACACTCCTGCAGGGCCAGGCCAGAGGTGCTGCTGGACAGAAGCCACTGACAGGATCCCCCCAGGTGGAGTGAGATTTGGCCCCTCACCCTCTGTCCTATCCCCCTTCCTCCTAATTAGAACCACAGCCTTTCCTGCCAGATCCGTTCCATCCTTTTCTTTCAACTAGGCTCTCAAGTCTCAGTGTCCTCCAGTTTGGGGCTGAGAAGATGTTCCTCAACATCCCCCTTCCCTCCAAAC